TTCCGTCAACCAACATATTCGGTCACCTGAAACCTGGGAATATCTCCGCTCAGCCAGGGTTGTCTCCATTCCCGCTCTCTGCAGCTACATCTGTTGACCCTAGCCCTGCCCAGTCGGATACGGATGCCACCAATGACCCAAGCGATGAGACGGAGAAGCATTCGCAGGCCGATTTCACTCGCAGCGGCCCTGGTGAAGAAAATGAGGATGCAGTCTTTGAATGCCGCTCTCGTGCCTACCAGCTCACCGAAGGCAAATGGGAGGTCAAGGGTGTTGGCGTACTCCGCATCCTCAAACACCGCACCAACAAGAAATCTCGAATTATCCTCCGTGCCGACCCTAGCGGTTCCGTTGTCCTCAACACCAATTTGATGCCTGAAATTGACTACAAGCAGAACAGCAATAACGTCCAGTTTTTTGTTGCCTCCGAATCTGGTTTCCAGCAGTGGATGCTTCGTGTGAAGACCAAAGAAAGCGCTGGCGAGTTGAGAGACTCCATGGAGCAGCATAAGAAGAGAGATTAAACCAACCTAACGAGTTTGATTTCTACCTGGAGTTTCGGGCTTATGATCGCGTTGTCTATCTAGTTCTTCTTACTGCTGATGCTCTACTTCCCCCCTATCTCTGTATTTTTGAATGTACTATCTGACCTGAACGACACTGATTGAACTTTTTACCCATTGCCTGCTTATTGTTTGCTTCTCTGTTCTACAATTGACCCGTATTTGTTTTTGCAGTCCAATTCGACGCAAGAAATACATATGATGGGATGGGTCTTCCTACGCTTTACCATATGTCTCCCTCCCATTTTCTTCATTCTTGTTCAATCAGGATGGTTTATATCTATTTTCAAAAGCCTCTTGCCCTTTTGCCTCGAATATTAATCATCTGAGCTTCCTTTCCCATTCCCCGAATTCCCCCAAATACATTGTCCCTCTTCATTTACATAAATTAGTTTACTCCTGTGGCCCTGGGTCTCGATTTACAAGCATAGCGTTCGCCCTTTTACTTCCTAAATTCCACGTTACATTCCGGCCTACACCCATTTTAATAAATAACCAAAACTAGTTCTTCTGCATGCATGATATTAGGAGCCATCATAGACAGACATCGGAGATTCCCCTTCCCTTGTGACTTTCTGCATTCAAATCGGTACAATGCACCTGTTGCCTCCCAACTTGTATCTAAACAACCAATGCATATGTCAATCATAATACGAGCTCATACAACCCGCAAGTTACTGTGAGAAGACCAGAAATTACTGGATTTCTCGTATAGAAGATAAAAATGAACCTGTACTTATTTTCGAATTTTTATGGATTTGAAAGTTTTATAAAGCAGGAATTACAGAGAGTACGCCAACCTGCCAGCCCAGTAAGTACACGAAGTGATCCATTCCTTTCGGTGCCTGGCGTCGCAATGCTTCATTTTTCATGAATGGTACGGAAAAGAAGAGCCTTATATCAGCATGTTCAGTCGTATTATTTTTGAGTTTGATTTTCGGTATCTTCATCCTCAAGCAGGAACTCTCAGTCCTGAGACGTTAAGGAGTCATCTAAGCATCCTCGATGACAGCGGTCTGGAGACCCTTGGCATCCTTGACGTTGACGGCCTGGACGAAAGAGTAGAGCTTCTCCTTGGCACCCTCCTCGTCGTTACGCTTACGGCTGATGCGGACACGGAGTCTGAATGGGACACCCTTGATACCGGATTCCCAGACCTTCTTGTTCAATTGAGGGTCGAGGCGGACATCCTTGGTGCCCTATTTTACATGAAACACAGTTAGCCAATGATTCAATTTCGCGTGTAGGAATAGAAGGAAGGAAAAATATAGACTCACCATAGCCTGCTCAGCGAAAGCACGGATCTCCTTGATAGCTCGTGGAGCTCTCTTCTTGAAAGATACGCCATGAACCTATACCCACAAAAGAAAATACAAATCAGTCTTCCGTCCAAAATGCCCATATTTCCATGTTCAGCGACGAGGAAAGCATTGCTTCCGGGGCCATAGCGGTGGACTTCATAAAACTAATTCTTATTTTTCCTTTCGAATTTCTCCCTCTCGCTCTTGAAGTGGCGCCGTGGTAACAATTGCGCCAACTGCAGTCATAGCTCAAGGCAGTATATATGAAATTCCAGCAACTTCGCGCAGCCTGACGAGGGATACCAGCACAGGTGTCAAGTTTGCGACTGTGACAGTGCAAGGTTCGCGGCTCCCATGTGTAATTTCCCTCGTCGTCAATTGACTGAAGCATCTGTTGCTTTTCCCGCGGCCGCTCTTGAACTTGGGGGGAAATATCCGTATGCAATCGGATTGCTAGCGGTATATTTGATGTGGTTCAACGTACTCTCTTGTGGAGGTGGATGGTGTACTCTCGGGAGACAACATCAGAGATGGCCGAACGGCCCTTCTTTCCGGCTTGTGCGCTCGACATTGTGATTCTATGGCGCAAAGAGCTGTCAACTAAGCTCATATGTATGCATATAGGATGATATAACTTACCGTGAGTTGCAGAGACAGCTGTAGAATCTCTGTTGTCGGAGGGAATGTTGCTGATATCGAAGTCGAACAAAATTCACAAAGTTCGCTTGCCTCTTTCCATTTTACAAAAGTTGGTGTGGTTCGCTTATTACGTAATACTCTCTATAACTACTCACGTGATAGTTATACTAGACTGCCAAGGATTTTATCTTGGCTTCAAAGTCTATTATATAATCAAGGGTAAGAGAAGAAAGAAGAGGGAGAAATTTTGGTGGGAGGCAGCGAGCAATTCATTGGAATGTTTTGATTGAATATCACTTAACAATTACTCCGTATTGAGGGTGATATTGCTGCATCGTTGTAATATAGTTTTCCTTTTTCATTCCTCAAACCTGATCTTCCCCTTACTTACATCGGGATATACATCGAATCGCCTTTGTTCATATATGGGGATTCCTTTTCGGGTTTCTTCGATGCTTTGCGGGTCAATTTCAGCGTATACGATCTCTTCCTTCTCAGCAGCCTCTGTTATAACTTCCGCCTTGGGATTAGCAACCAAGCTGTGACCCCAAGCGTGGTACGTGGCATCGAGATCTCTAGCCGGGCTGCAGAGAGCCACATAAACCTCGTTATCCATGGCACGAGCACGGCCCAGTAACGACCAATGCAACGGCCCTGTGGTCAGGTTGAATGCTCCTGGGTAGACTAACAAGAAGCAGCCGTTACGGGCGGCAATCATAGCAGTTTCCGGGAAACGAATGTCATAACAAATGGCGAGTCCTATCTTGCCATATTCCGGTAAATCAACAATAGTGACTTTATTGCCCGCAGAGAGAACCTCACTCTCCTTGAATCTAATCTTTCCTGGGATATCAATATCGAACAGATGGGTCTTCCGATGAGAAGCAATCAATGAACCAGTTGGTGAGAACACAAGAGAGGTATTGTAATACTTCTTGCTCTCTGGAGCGAGCTCCGGGATACTCCCGCCAACAAGGTATGCTTTGGCCTCCTGGGCGATAGAGGATAATGCGTGGAAAGATGGCGACTGTTCTTGGGACGGAGGAGATGGAAGAAGCGTTTCTGCGTATTTCGAGAAGTATTGCGTGCCATAGGGTGAATTGAAGCATTCCGGCAAGACTACTAGCGAAGCCCCAGCCCGTGCAGCTTCCAGTACCTTCGTGCGCGCATGCGCAAGGTTGGCGGCCTTGTCAGCTCCTAAAAGAATACAGTTAATCAGCCCTGACTCTGACATGATAACTAGCGATATTTTTGGCTGATTTCAGCCCCCAAGACTTACCCGAAGCCAGCTGAACTAGGGCAATCTTCAGTGGCTTTTTGAGAAGTGAAGCCATGATACCGTTACCGTCTGGTATATTCTTCGATAGTTTCTGCTTGCAATGATATCAGCTTCTATCTCTTTACTTCAGGCTTGACGATATTCGGCATTTCCATCGCGGGGGATCTGATTACTAAGCACACTTATGCCGACGACGACAAAAAAGTCAAAGTATATTATTATGATCAACATCATCATCAACATCGACAACGACAACAACAAACCAACTGAATCGATTATTGATAGATGCAAAATAATAAGATATCTTGATTACAATTAAAAGTATACCAAAGTTACCCAGGTACCCCATGCGATGAGATAGTTACGAGCTCTTCCGTTGCGAACGGAAATTTCAAGCCGAGCTTTCAGCCTTGCGGTATCGCCTTGAAACGATGACTGGCATGACATATCAAGATCGATGCCGTGGGGCAAGATCTCGGTTAGAGGCTTGCATTATGGGCTGTAGCACTTGCTGCCGTGATGCCAAAATCACGTACATGAGCTGATACGCCATTTTCGGTGTTTGAGATTGATGAGTGCTCCGCCTTGATGCACGCCGTCTACTTATTTATCTCTTGATATATATTTGCATATATCCACCGTAAAACGCGGTGAGATAGCTCCGTTTATGTGAGCATGATGATGCTTCTCCGTGGACAGGATTCTATTATGTGGTCAACCCACGAGGGATACAACCTGAGCTGAAACCCAACAGACAAGAAAGCCAACATCATGATATTGTAATGTTGGTTTATGGTGCTGGGAAATATCTACATTAGTACCGGCATCGTGGACCTATAGGGCTCCTGTGCCCTTTCGTACGTATGGGAATACGATACGAACTACTTTTCTATGCCCGGGGTCTTCCTATCAAAAGGTACCGGCAATTTTCTAGCCACCGCTGTTAACATACGGGTATACTACTCTTATTATATCATTCAATGAGGATTCCGTTTTCCACGATGAGAAATAGCTGTGAACTCGAGTCACCCCTAGGTTTTCATACCTTCAGTGTCGGATTTACGCTGGCTGAAAGGGAGAAATGTTGAGATCTCGATAATTTTATCTTACATGACCTGGTCCGCTATTCTATTCCTCCCGTTGTACCTAATGCATCAACCAGCCGATGTAATCTTATAATACACCCCTCCAATTTGATCCAAGAAATCAAAGTTAGGCAACCACGCGAGTCAACGCATCAGGGAACGCAGCCCAAGCCGTATTCAGTTCAGCTCTGGATCGCCTGGATCGCCTGGCCCAAGTGGCTCCAGTGGCCTTGAAACTTTTACCCTCGCGGGTGAATTGCTACTCTCTAATTTTCAGTTCTCCAAATACAGTTTATCATACAGGGTTCGTTCAACCACCTTGCATAGGATTCCTTCAGCTCAATCTTGGAAATCCATTTAGCTAGGGACTTAACTGTTAAGTTTTACGCTCGCAGGCGTTTTCCTTTCCTTTATTTCCTTTTGCCATCCTTTCTCGCTTCCCTGCGAGGATTGCATGGCTAGCGGCCCAGCTTTTATGATAAATGGCAGGGATGTAAATCCCCCGGGTTGAATATCTTGCCTCCTATTAGTTAAGGGCAGTCTATTCTGCTACAAGGACGACATATGAGCCCTTGCACTAGTCTGCTCTGTATTTGGTCGTTGCTGATATCAATCCTTTTGTGGGATCTGGGCAAGGATTTACTCTCGGAGCTGGCTGATGACCCTGAACCTCCTTGTTGTCAAGTACCTTGATCCTTGGCCGAATTTTCTAGAGGTACGCTCATGGACCCTGAGGATTCACTTTGTTTTCTGCTCTCTTTCCTTTTTCCCCAAAAGACAATAGGGGTCCTTCCAAAATAGGCCGCCAAGTACGCATACCCACGCTACGGAAATGGCCCATCATAACAGACGGCCGCATTAAAATTTGCATCCTAGGTAGCTAGCAATGGGAAGGTATTTTCGTTTTTTATCGGAAATACCCTTTACCTTGTGTTCTTACGGATATCACTACCGCAAACACAACTAATGTTAAAGTTACTTCCCGATTCCGCCGACGGCCCTACGTGATAACCTCGCCCTCTAACTATCATATTGCCAAGTTATTTCCCCTTTTCTGGCAGTGCGAGGTTATTGAATTTGAACCTTTAATTGGTGATCACCATGCTGCATTCAAGCGGCTCCCGAGTAATCGCTTGGAGGCTAGTGATACTCGGATCTGCCCATAATTCAGTTTTCATGCATGCAGGCATTCCAAGCCTACGAGGCCGTTGCCAGACCATATCAATCCTTTATTATTATGCCTGCTCCCTTAGCTTTTCTGCCTTGTGCTGTTAGCCCAATTATGACTCGCAATGCACGTTCTATGAATTTCATCCGCTCCACAGGCTCTGGTTTATATTTTGAATTCTCATTTTTACAATACTCTGATTACTAGTCAGTCAGTGCCTACCTATCTGCTCGTTTAAGTGCGGAATGAAGAAGTATCGCTTACTGCGTGCCGTATAATATTCCACGCTTATGATCATCGTCATACTCATACCTCCTGATTCTAACGGAGTATCCGGTGGGAAGGCAATGCAACCGACACATAGAACGAAATATCATCCCAGGCGGCTTTCTCGCTAATTGAGTATGATCGTATGATTAACTAACCTTGTATGGCTAATAGACTAGATACAATACATCTGATGAATTTTTAAACCTTCTGGTAACATCTCGAATGTAATGGGTAATTGAATATATTTTGGTAAAGGAAAGAAATCTAGATGGAAAGCGGAAAACAGAATGCCGGCACCTTGAACGCTAGGAACAAAAAAAAAAACGTATAAGGGAAAAACCGAATCCAATGCAATGTGAACGCCAATTAAATCCAATGTGCCCGTTGCTGGGTTGTTATCTATTCTTTTTTGTAGGAAGATATGCCGTAGTCGTCGTTAAAGTTGCTCAGTTTAACCAAGGTAGCCCAGATCTAACGGCATGAAGCCGTTTTCACCTTCTATGCAAGTTAAGTCAGGCATGGCGTTGAAATCTCCATGGTTATTGGTGTCCAGGGGGTTTCCAAAGAGAAGAGGTCCAGACCCGAAATCAGGGTCATTTTCTGAAGACATGAATAGCTGTTGAGAGAAGTTCATTGGTTCCCCAAGGAACTTTTTGTGACCATCATTCGGTGTCATGTCAAGTCCCATCAACCCCATTCCTCCTCCGTTGCGGAACATGGAGCCGCTGTTAAGAGACGGTGATCCACTGCTGCGTGGGATATGCTCTGGTTTAGAGGACATGATCGGCTCTGAAAGCTCAAACATGTTAGCTTTCCCATGACTCTCAAATGAGGGCGGACTAACTGTCCGCCGTATCTTTCTGGGTGGCTGTAGTGGCGACATACCAGACGGAGTGAAAGGCGACGTCATCCCACTGTGATCCAGTGGTGCAAGCGAAGAACTAGCAGAGTGCATATGCAGTGTGTCGAATCCATCCTGGCTAGATACCGGGGAGGTATCTGACCCGAGGAACATATCGAGAGATAGCTGGTTGGGAATCGACGACAGGTAGGATGCGTCATCTGGGATAGGAGAACCTGGCTGGGAGAGGCCCCCTGAAACGCTTGTATTGCTGCTGTGGGAGAGGTTCTGGATTCTTGAGCGGAATTGCGCAATAGGAGAGGGATCACCATGAACAAGGGGTGGTGTAGACTCGCTTATAGATGAGAAAACGACCTTTGCAAACTTTAGTCGTTTCTTAATGGTTCGCATAGTTGCTGATGCTCGTGATAGCTCTCCCCGGCTGATATCGTGCAATTGCTGGGCAAGGTGAAGCAGCTGTCTGTTTTTAGACATTATTGCCTGGTATTCGTCACGACCGCAGTTCGCACGACTGTGTATATATGCAAGTGCTCGGCTACAGGCATCAAGGCCAAGGGCGAAGATATCGGAGACATTTTTGGTCTTGAGACCAGGGCCAGGGAGTAGGGTGGTGGTTTGTGGCGAGATAACGGAATGTGAAATAGCAACCAAGGCATTGGCAGACTGACAGAACTCGTTAATGCGCTCCGGCGTCATAATAATCACGCTGTCTGAGGTCTGTCGCTGGGGAAATAGCATGTGGACGATCATGGTATGGTACGCAATAAGAACCACTGCTTGTGTTGAGCCGGGGGTAACCTCAAGTTCAACCTGCCTAATAGCTTCAAGGAGGATATGTCTGATTTTCCCACAGAGAGTAGGAAGCTCTAGTTGGAAACTTAGAAGACGACGGAGTTGATGGATATGTCTGGCTTGCCATTCGACTGTCTCTAATGTATCTTTCAGATCTGGGTTTGGGCAAAGGGCATATATATGAGCTGCAGTGCTAGCTACCTGGCTCAAAGGCCACAGCTCTTGCAAGGCCCTGGATTGAGCCCTTAGTGTTGAGACGTTATCAGAAGCCAGGTCCAGGCTGATTGTCATTGATGTCGACTCGTCAACGAAGGGGAACTGTGAAGGGGTTTGTTCCGGTAGGAGAAGGTTGTATGGCTGGTCAATTTGCATCAAGGACCAAACTGTAGTTGACCAACATACCCAGTATATGTTCCGGATGAGTTCACCGTCCACATATCGAACGTCGATACCGTTCAACTTAGTTCCATTGGCAGAGACTCCTTGGTTCAGTCCTCTGTGTAGTTCTGAAACGATTCGACAGGCATACGCTGTTAGGCATGAGCCTCGTCGAGCATTACCCATGCAAATCTCTCTCCAAGCCATGAGTATCAAGGCTTGGGATGAGGCAATGTCTCGGTTCAATACGCTTCGGTTTTGAATTTGATAGGTTGCAAAGTCGAAGAGGAGCTGTCCCTCGGTATCGTAATTTTGGCCATTTTCATGGACGAGACAGGCATCAGAGAGAATTGTTGCGAGAAGAGCCTCGTCGTAGGTGCTGTTCTTGAGAGAGCTGAGCAAAAGGGTTTTCGAAATCAAGGAGGACAAGGGGTGGACGGAGAACCACAAGTCGATGAGCTGGAGGATACGGTGAGAGGAATAGGACTTCAGTGGGTTCTTCCTTGGGATTGTGTTGTCGAACATCTCGTGAGTTGTATCGCGAGCGAGGCTGGTGATGCAGTAGCGTCGAGGGAAACTGTCTTCCACTTCACAGTTCAAATCTCCGAAGCGAAGAGATATCATTTCCACGATTTCTCGGGTCATGGAACTCATCAGGCCGTCGTAGCTTATTCTCTGTGGTACCTCCTGAGGCGAAGCATGGCTGCCGGTCTGCTTCAGACGCTCATGGCCAGCAGCAATAGCGCCTTGGAAAATTGTTGCACGCATACCTACTTTGCTAATGAAGCATTCGTGGAACATTGCTGTTAAATCATCGCCCATCAGGGGCCCCTGGAGGGTAGGATCCCATTGCCCAGTAGACTTCCCGTTCCCATCATGAGAACCGGTCCCTTTGCCAGCCTGGCCGCGGTCGGAGGCTAGCTTTGGGTCTCTTGACTCAATATGCTTTCGCTTTGGTCGGCCTTTCGCTGCCTCGAGGTCGTAGACACAGTCTATATTTCGCTCCTGGCAAGCTTCACAAATGCTCTGTCCGGAGCATCTGATCTTTCGGCTTCGACAAAAGTGGCAGCTCTTTCTCAGCACAGGAGTTCCTTCGATGCAAAATAATGTTAGCCAGAAGTTTCGAGTGTTAGGTATGTTTCCAAGAAAGGTGCTTACTGTGTGAAGAACTCATTATGGATTATCTCAATAAGCAGTGTGATGTTCAGTCAAACAGCTAAGAGTCTCAGTCCTTCCAGAGGAGAGGGTATCCAGCAGCGATTATGTATTAGGATTATGGTTATTAGTTGCCTTCCGTCTGGTTGTATAAAGGTGCTTGATCCTAGATGCCAGTCAATGGCTATTCTAGGTGGATGGGTGTTATTGAAATCAGGGTGAGAAGGTAAAGAAGTCGAAGGTGTAATGAGAATGATAGAAGAAATAAGTGGCACGATGCAGAATATATAGTTATATAGTTTGTTGACTTTCTGGGGAGCTTTCGGTTATGTAGGATGGGCAGGGTGAATATATAGTTGATTGACTTGTATCTCGAAGATGCTGAATCCCTTGTTGCGCTCTCTCTGCGATCCTTTCTTGACTGTGGTGAAGGGATCGGCAAGGGGGGCTTTTGCACCTGGCAAACCTTTATACCCAGCATCTCGTTCCCTTCACACACACCCCCCGGTCCGATGCTGCATCCACCCCAGCTTTGTCCACGCGATGTAAGGTTGTTTGGCTTTGCAAAAAAAAAAAAAAAAAGTACAAATCAAGTATGTCAGGGAAAAGAGAAGAAAGTCCTTCGGTGGGCTGTGACAAATCTGAAATAAAGATGAAAAAGCAAAGAAAAGGAGGAGGAGGCAAAAGCAACCAATCCGTACGATAGAGCAGACAGGGCACAGACAATCCCTGCAGACAGCCAACTACCGGCGCGGCTGGACGCATACGATGGAAGAGACAGAGTAGGAGAAGGACAAAAAGGAGAGAGAGTCACGAAAAGGACCGAGAGAGTTTTCTACGCTAGAGATGCTAGACTGATTCATCCCCAAAAAAAAGAGGAATTTTATAGCGACGCTAGAGGTAACGGAGTATGCGCTAAATGTCACTTCCACCATAGCATCGGCCCTATTTGAGATTAGCTATGCCCTAGCAGCATTGCTCCGTGCGAAGAATTCCGTCAGAATAACCAGAGGGAGCTGCACGCCTTCGATCAGGCAAATCACACTAGTCACTTGCTTGACGGTCACCGAGCAGCGCCCGCAAGGCTGGTGCTGTTACAGCATGTGTAGATCAGGGGCCAAGAAGACTCCAGTAGGTAGGGGCTGAGTGGTAGCCGGGCTAGTCTCTTCTCTCTTTTTTATTTACCTCATACATGGTTGCCTGTGCTGAATACATACTGTGCCATCCCATGGGATGAACCGAACCCGGCAGCTCAGCTCATAGGGCTCGCAGGCATCAGCTGGTTGCCTAATCCTCCGATGAGATACACCCCTTTTTGTATTTTCTTTCCTTATTTTGTTCCATGTCTTTTACGCTTTTGGTAGGAGAAGAGAAGGAAGGGCAGGGAGGAAGAAAAATAGAAAAAAAAAAAGAAATAAAAAAAAAGAAGACGAAGTTATCCCCAGAATGCACCCAGCGTTCCATCCAGCTGCCATGTGGGAGACCGTGGAACCCGATAGACACGGTTCGCTCAGTACCACGCAATACCCATTTCATGGGCGTGGTGGTCAGCTTTAATTTCCTACCAAGAACTCTCGCTTGTGTGCCCTATCTATTCTTGTCTTGATGTTACTCAGGATGAGAGTAAAGTACAGCCAGCCAGCCTCACCAGCCGCTGTCTCGCATTTTTTACTGTATAGCGTAAACTTTAACGCTCTATACATATTATCACCAGCGGGTCGAGGCGAGAAAGTGAAAGAAAAGGGAAAGAAAAAGAAAAACAAAGTAACTCAGCGTGTTTTGCTGCCACGTTTTATTCTAGCGTTAGAGTAAAGCGCATCCTCTTTTGTCAAAGCGTACGCTTTCTAAGGTGGAGATTTTGCCAAACAGGCATGTTCATCATGGCAAAAGCACGGCATTTGGCTACTCTAATGGACATGCAGGGATGATATCCTTCCCGTGCGCCCCCTGTTCCCATGTTGTTATGGTCTTCGGATCCTGGCATTTAGTCATACCACGAGGGAGACGAAAGCAGAATTCACTGATTAGTGAGCGTCTCGTGGAATGCAGGGAGACTCGTGCAGCAATGGCTGGGGATGACCTCTTACGCCTGTAGTTTTGTCTTGTTACATACATCAATGCTATTTCCCTGGAAAAAGCACAATCCATCTTTTCTTCCCTATATGGAGTTGGACGTCGTTTTTCTACTGGTTCCCGAGTGGTATTGTTTAAAATACCCCGAAGGACATGACAGTTAGATTATATCAGTGGACTGCCAGCCAGAATTTGAGTAATGATAATGTATATTATTCTATGCTCGTTGTGGCATGTGGCCGAAAAAGGAAAGAATGTAAACACAGCTCGCAGACGCTCTGAAACTGAAGAGAGGAGTTCCGGAATATTCAACATCTTTTATCTGATCTTCACGGGGAATTCCAATAGGTCGTTTTATATATATTAAATCCACGTGTGGGAAGGTTTTTGTCGGTGGTTTCGAGATATGTGCTCCATATCTTTTGGTAACCGGTTCTAAGTAGTAATGCAATAAGCCTCTAACTGTGTAACAGATCCGCGGATCGATCGCCAGTGAGCAGGACGAACTGACGAAATACATCTCGGCCGGAAATGGAGTCTACCCTTTTCCGTCTGGCCAACACCCCGGCAGCACGACCGATTTAGCGCTGAAGGAGGGAGGATGTGGCTCGCTGTTCCACACGAAGGAGTTCCAATGACCGTGGCTCAGTTAAACTATGTAATATATTTAAAGTTAGAGCTCAAACCCACCTTTCCGGTTATGGCCATAGCGTAAATGTTTCATTGGTCCAGCGCTCGAGTCCGCTCGGAGCTCGGCCCGCCGCGTGGAAAATGCCAAGCTTAAGTGGATCACAACCACGCGAAGAAACTTTAAATTATTCTTTGGAAGCCTCCAGGTTTGCTATTTACCCAAAAGAGCTATATCTTAAATCCATCGTCTCGATGGGAGTTGAGCTATCTCATTCCGTTCTCGATATCCCACTTCTGTTTCATGTTTGAGTGGGCCTCACTTTCAGGATCGACCTTACTTTTAGTTATGACTTAATCGGATGCCAGATCCAGGCTGGGGTTTTTGCTTCAACTTGCGTTCTCAACGAAGCACCCCGTACCACACCAGCATTCGAGAAGAAAGCTTACAATACTCTAGAAAGTGGGCTTCTTTTCCCTTGGATAAGCAGCTTTTGCTGATGAAACAAGGCGGATGAGGGTAAGCAAGCCTATATTGTGGTGAGTATACGGCTCCATCAGGCTCAGCATTACTGACCTTAAAGGTAAAGTATACGGACGTAATACATCGGATATAAAGGATCTCACTACGTGGACTGCCTTCGTTAAGCGGTCAATTTTGAATTTATTTATCGCATTACCACTTCCTCTCTCCCAGGCATAGGTCAGACCGTTTCGTGTGATGCACCCCACGCGGTTCGACGTAACTGGCGTCATATTAAAGAGACCCGTATATATGAATCTAACTTGAGTAAAAAATATGACTTGGCCATTTATACTAAGACACCTATGGTTGCTATCTTATCTGCGGCAGGGAAGAGAGCACAGACGTCATATTCAACGCGAATTCGTAGGACAGTGTTTAGCCTCCGCTTATGTAACAGTCATTGCCAGAGTCCTATAATGGTGGTCAGCCAAAGGTGATGTTCAACCACTTACAATGTGTTAAGTATAAAAAAATCTTGGCCCACAAACGTTCCTTAAGGAAGAAATTATTTCCTTGGGTCAAGGCGAAAGATATGGCTTAGAACAAAGTATTACTGTGTAAAGAATCAACTGACACGGAAGATTATGATTTCAATATATTTGAGACACATATAAATGGCCTGGTAGTTACAGTTTGCTCAATTTCCTAGTATACATGATTATGTAGAAGTAACATGTAGATACATCATTTATTTATAGGACATAGTTATGACCTTGTGACACTCAATATAGATCAAACTCATGTCTTAGCAGGAAACGAGAAAACTGAACGACTAATGTTTTCCACTTCTGACAATAGTATCTTCGGTGAGATTTGATGCTATGCTTTGCTAAAAGTTTCTAAGTTTAGATTGAATAGCGCATTTATCGTGATACTATGGTAGGCGTTTTTCGGGTTGTGAGAGAACAGTGACCGGTCGTATTTATCAATGAGAAAAGAGGAAAGAGGAATAAATGATCATCGGGCCAATATTAAATTAATTTGTCCGCAACGGCAAGAATGCAATGTACAACCACGAGTCAGTGATTAATCAAGTTGTTTAACTTGCTTTTAGGACGAAGTATTTTACCATTATTACCTCACAGGACTGTAACAATAATAATATCTTCATGGTTCAAATTATTTTAATTCTAGGTTTTGCCTGGTACATAGATACTTCAAAAATAAGCTAAATTTATATTACTTAGCCCCCCTGAGCTCCCTCTCGACTGGGAGATTTTGGTAGTTTCACTTAGGAACTATGTCACTGGAAATATTGTGCGCAAAACGTATCCAAATCGAGGCTTTGTGATACGCATTTAAAACATCTCAAAACTTAGGGAAAATTAGGTACACAAATATCAGACCCATGACACATATTGGGAATTACACGTGTAATCAGTGCTACGTGGGAATGATATACTCTTTCGTGGAAAGAACTTCCAGGACCCCGTATACGGAATTTATTTTGACAAATTCTTAGAAGTGAGAGAGATATCAAATTCTGACGCTGTTATTGTTAATCTTACATCTGTAAAAACACGGTTGAAATGTCTAAAGTATAAGACAGGCTTATCATATATCTATTTTTGAATACTAGAGCGAACCTATACCTATCTTGAAGGAGCAAGCAGTTAGATATAAATAAAATGAAAGTCTATAAAATGAAAGTCTATATGAAACAACATGATCGGTAACAGAGTATCAAGTTCCGAGATGCCAATATGCGATAAAATTTAGGAAAGATATAGGGAAATTGAGTAAAAAAGAGAGCATCCATGTGCGACATCATTACATATCAGTAGTAGCAAGCCAATGCAGTCCTCGGCGGGCATGGGAATGCAGCATGTTATTAAGCGGAAGTTGCCTGACCAGCAGGAATATCCAGCAGTGGGTACTTAATGACTGGCTGGTAGTTGAAGAGCCATTCGAAATACCATACCCAGACACTGGTAGGGACGTATTTGTAAATAATTTTTCTCACCAAAGGCCCGAGCCCATATGGAAGTCTGGCTGTATGGACCTTTGCGAAGTTATCAGAGAACTGGACGAGGTCCTTTGCTCTTTTCTGGCGGACTTCAGAGTATCTGTCAAAGGCAGTGGGGTCATTGAGATGGAAATGCTCGTGCAAGGCGTTACCGAGCTCCACAGCGTCCTCGATGGCTTGACATCCGCCCTAATAGTCTTAGTGTTAGTTTGGCTGTGGATGTGGGTGGAGGAAATTAAGCTTAATTTACCTGACCGAAAAATGATGTCATTGAATGAGCGGCTGCCAAGAATATTAGTCATCACTTTAACTCTAATACCAGATAAAGGGGACACGAACCATCTCCGACAAGAACGATTCTTCCTTTCACCATGTGTGGGACCTCGAGCTCCATGAAAACGTTGCTAGCAATAACACGCTCAGAAGCGTCGACAACTATGTTGACATATACGTAAGTGGCACTAGTCCTCCTATGTATGGCAACGAACAAGTACTTACTTGATTTCATCTTGGACTCCACACCAAATGGGTGGAACCGTTCACCGTAAACTTCGTTAATCGTGTCCTTGGTCGCGTTTTTCCACACAGATCGATCGGGCTGCTCGCCTGGCTTTAGCTTTGCTGCCTGTTCTGGATATTAGCTTATTGCTCCTGTACTTCCACAGATGGCTATAAACAAACCGCAACACCAATAAACCACTGCCTGTTGTCCTTGCATGGCCAGGTGGTAAGAATTGCGTCGTCATACAACATCCAGTGGCCAATACCCTCATCCTTAGTAGTTAAATGTGTCAATGGTTCCGTGTATCCAGACATATGGACTCTGCCAGTAAATCGTATGGTGTTTGTTGCCTTCATTCCGCTTTTCTCGGCCAACTAAACGATTTCAAACGCCATCGTTAGCTACCTAGTTCAGATCTCGTATATGCGGGGAGCGATACTGACAACTCGGCGAGTATAACTGCGAATGCCGTCAGCACCGACAATGATGTCGGCGTGAACCTCTCGACCATCTTCGGCCCTGACAATAGCATAAGGAGCATCTGCTTCATCGACAACGTCGTTCACATTGAAGCCCAATCGAACGACATCATTACCGCCTGCTGCCTCCAGCAACAGATGGTGAAACCGGTGTCTCTCAATCTTGTGCACATAATATCCAAATGCCTCGTTGGTCATTCCAAATTTCTGGGAACCCCAGAACTCGTTGTTTCTGTAGACATGGACTTCGCGCAGCACCTCTGAATGCTTGGCCAGCTTCTCAAAAATCCCGAGCTGATCTAAAGCGCGCAAGCAATTGGGAGCGAGCGATATTCCAGCTCCTTGGGGGGTAATCTGTGCATATCGCTCCAAGACAACGTAGGATATATCTAGCCGGCGAAGGACAGCGGCCATGGTAAGACCGCCAATGCCACCTCCACAAATGGCGACCCGGACACGCTCCGGAGTTTGTGGCTTAGTTTCGGCCATTTTTCTGCGGTTGAAGCAACGGTTATTTAGGTGTATTGCGCACTACCTGTGTTTTTTCGATGGCCGGCCGTGGATCAGTAGAAAGAAAAGATATCGCCGATAAGTGTAAACTTTAGACTTCTATCTGCCTCTTTGGTGCTGGCTGGGAAATAAGCAAAGATATAGCTGGAGATTGAAGGTGAAGGAGCTGGTCGATGAGAAACTGGAGGAGGCAGATAAGATATAGCAAGCCGCCATGCTCCTAAAAGCCTTCAAACATGCCACCAGAAGGATAATGTTCCGTTGCAGAAGCCCAATCTGAAGCCGAATTGAAGCTTGTTTCTCATCTTTATGGGCTGAAAAAGGCTGAAACATAGCGAGGGTCTCCATGTTCGGGCGCATAATCAGGATTATCCCGTTATCCACCGGAAGAACAAAGTAAAGGCATACACATACTCTCGGAGCCTAGCGATGGCTGCCACGAATACTTCCCACGGATAGTTCTTCTCATTCCTGTAGCGAGTCTTGCGTGTTAGCCTACAATCCCATATCATATATATTAGCTGGTTTCCGCTTTGCCTCCATTTTTTGCCAATACAATAGCCGGTATAGATAATAAGCTGTAATGAGTAATTGGCTAATTTGAGCGGAAAATTTTCGCAAGTCGAAATCCAACCCCTGTAATATCCCAGTTGCCTTTCAAAAAGTATCACTTAACTAGTTGAGGCAGGGATGGGGGAAGCAGAAGGAAGAGAGAGCTTGATTTAGGAAAAACGTGGTATGAGGGAACATGGAACATTCTTAGCTGTCGCTTACTTATGCCTTCTTTTCCTTCTCCTTCTCCCAGCGGGCGACGAACTAATCAGAGAATGAGCCAAACCCCCTTGGTCCTAGCCTATAACGTGGGATACGGGGCTGATGATATTTGACCCATGTTTGCGCAGTTCTAGACCGAATACCCTCTATATCCAAGCTGCAGGGTCGAGAAGGTTGATTCTATGGCATGGTCTGGTCGGAAAATATATCCCCGTCTTTGGTCCCTTATTTTAGGTCGCTCTCCTGCGTAGCAACGAACCAGCTTGATACCACTGCATGTGTGGCGTGGGCCGCGATAGCTGTGGGATTTGCTGAATCCGTGATAGGACGCTCCAAACACAAGAAATTGAAATCAGCTCACTAGTTAACTACCAGTGGCTTAACTCCGCTCTTGAGGCAGCCAAGTCAGCCAGATACGAGCTATCAGCTTTCGGATGAGCTCCAGCTATATACAATGTGGGAGGGAACAATGACTGGTCGACACCGCACTGGGAAGAGACTGAAATGTGTGCAAAAATAGTTGTATTCATCTGTTCCATCTATTCTGAATTCATTAAACACCTCCCAAGCGAGAGAAAGAAAAAAAAAAGATAAAAGAATAAAAAAGCGAGAAATTATCTAGCCAGTAAATATGATTGCAAAAGAAAGTTGAACAGAGGGTGCGTCAACCCATCTTGTATGGGGCCCTCCTTTGGTTTCCTGCCAATCGATATAAAGTTTCCAGTATGCACTTTGGGTTGCGGTGTGCATAGGACCTCCAAAACACAGTTTTGCCGAGTAGAAGCGATCGCAGAGACTCCTGAGTCTGTCCTTGATAACAGGAAATAGTTGAGGTTAAGCAAATGTAAACGTGCGAATAAGTGGGATATGTCGGTTTCGCATAAGATGCGTTTTTACTCTCAGTAGTCAAGATTATCCAACACGTCCTTGACAAGGAATGTCAGTTCATCAGCGTGCTCAGAATCAAAGCAGCCGTCGTGTGTAGCATCGATAGTAAGGGTCCTGAACGACTTGAATGATTGCGCGGGCCACAGTAGTGTATTGTCCTGAGATCGCTTTTGTGCGAGCATTTTGCGCCGGTCGTTGACTAGGGAATCTATGCTGTCGCGAACTGTGCATCTAATCAACGTAACTTCTGTCTCACTAAAATCGAACTCGTCCACCCTGCTGCTCTGTGAGGCCAAAACACCAAGTCCTTGGTGGATATGTTTCCTCATCCTGCCTAGCATTTCAGGAACGGAAAGCTCTTCCGTGAACTCTTCAGTATCGCTGTCATTGTTGCTCTCTTCACCACTGCTGCTATAATAGTCATCTTCAAACAGGCCGCATTGGAATAGTGGGATCGCAGGGGCATTCATTCGGGTAGCAATAGCATTATAGGTAATTGCTGCTTGTATATCGTGCTGCTTCTTGTCTTGAAATGCAGGAAAGTACTTTGGATTTACTGAATCAATCAGTATGACATGTGGTACTTCGTCGCCCTGTGCCTGGAGTATAGCGGCCATCTCCATTGCGATCATGCCACCCATAGACCAGCCCCCTAGAAGGTATGGCCCAAAAGGCTGGATCTCACGACGAACAGTTGCAACATATTCCTCTGCTAGCTGTGCCAAAGTGCCATCTAATGGATTTGCCAAGGTCGATGTGAACATTGGTGAGGAGATGCCGTATACTGGACGATCCTCTTCGATCTCGGAGAGAGGACCGAGGGCAAAGTATGGCAGCGCAAGTCCAGAAATGGCGTGGACAAGAATCAGAGGAGTGAGGTTGGAGTCAGGGTCACCCTGAAGGAGAGTAATGGTATCCATAGCGCTTCAGTAGGATGGGGGGCCAAATGGAAGGAAGTCTAGTGAAGAGGATAGATTGCTTTTGCTTGGCTCTGAACAAAAGCAGACAACGAAAAATGGACGCAATGATTCAATCCTGCGTTGTATTCTGGGAGAGAAATGAATGTATATTGGATTTAATTTAGAGCCGGTCCGGTTCTTGGAAATGCGGGCAGGTTCTTAAATTAATAGAAGACTTGGACACAGCTTCTCTCCTCGATAAATTTGCCCTATTTCCTATGTAAATCCTTCTCAGAGTCATGCTTGCTTTGAAATGGAAGCATGTCGGTTGTTTTGGACGAAAAATCTATACAGGTATCAGCTCTGGGTGCAGTGGGACAGCTCCTGCTGGAAGCTTTGCCCTAGCGATATCCCTTTCCATGTCGACCATGGCTGGCGAGGAAGAGTAGGCGATAGGTAGAAAGTGCCGCCGGTAACCAGAACTAAGACACAGGGTATACATTAGTGCCTGTGGCTAGCAAGGGACACTCTTGTTACAGCTTCTACACGTGGAAATCGTGTGGCATTGATGGACGAAGGATGAGGCTTGAAAGCCTGGAATCAAAAGCACGAGTAATATTTCCCGGAGCCCACGCGATGCTGGTATTCTAGAAGGTGACAGCACAGGGATGGCTTTCTTCGATTAGTGTGTCCTCTACCATCCTTGTCTCACGACAGGGCAGCTCAAAGGATCATGATGTAGTTATCTAGCTTTGTTAGTTCGTTACTTAGTTGGCATGATGTGTTGTCGTTGGCGTCGATATTGATATTCAAAAAGGGGCACAAAAATATTCGGAAATGCCAAGCGAGATCACGTGAAATTACTAATGTATTTACTTATTAAGCACCTAAAAATAGGTGTGACTAAAGTACCGAAACTTTCTGTCAACGTCAAGGCTTCGAGCGCAGCGACTTCGAGCGTCCAAGGCCGAGACACAGCGGACATTTCTTGCTTAGCATCCGTGCCGCAAACATAGGAGATATGGCTTCTCTCCGGACGGAGTCTTCTATTGGGGGCCATTCTATGAATGGCTTTTGGCGTTAACGGTGACTGCCTCACGTTAAGAGAAACAGAGACAATATATATGATGAAGCATCCTTCGATCTTCATCGACTTCTTCTAGGTCATACAAATTACATTGAGGACTTGAGAAACGACACCTGTCTCAGTCGCTAATTCTGACCAAGTTTCGTGCTGGCCTGCGAGACTATCCTACTTGCATCGTTTCATCTACTTTTTTTCTCGTTCAACTGTACGACTTGACCTAACATCATGCGTGGAATCCTCACCCTTGTCGCCCTTGGGGCTGCGGCTATCCCCCAAGCAAGCGCCGCTCCCAATGATAGACAAAAGAGCATGATTGATTTGCCTTTGAAGCTATATCAAAATGGTTTCAATACAGACCTGATTACCATCGGAACTCCTGCCCAAGCCACCAGACTCTTCGTTGATTGGACCTGGATAGGTGCATACACCGTCTCTACCAAGTGCAACCATACCAATAATGCTTTTGGCTGTCTTGCTCCTGGCCAGAGGCTCTTCAATGAGACCCAGTCTACTTCCCTCGTCAACCAGACCAACCTATATCCAACTCGAACATGGAACCCCAACCATTTCTTTATGGACAAGGATCTTACCGCCGTCTTTGCTTCCGATATGTATCGAGTCGGCGATCGCGAATCCCGAATCACACTCCAGCTCTCTCAATTGAACTGGAAAGCGCCATTTCCGTACCCATTCAGCGGAATTTTTGGCATGTCTCCTGTCTTCAAGTCAGACAACGCGTCCATCCAGGCTCCATTCCACCAGATGATCCAACAGAACAAATTCCACTCTGGGATTACATCATTCATTTATTGCTATAGCGATGAGCCAGGATATAAGTCGCCGCCGAAAGAACGATGCAACGGAAACGATGGCATTCAAACTCTTGGCGGATATCATCACAGGGACATCGGATGGCGTGGGATCGAGTGGATCAATACTATTGTCTTCCCGATCGTGAATGACATCGACTTTATCTATAACCCGGCTTTCTATAACTACTGGTCTATCCCCGTCACAAAACACTTTATCGGTAATGAAGAGCAGGCTCTCAATACCACTACAGGCTCTGCAGTAGTCTTTGATCATGCCAGTTACGGCCGCGGTGCTGCTATGTCTGTTGCCAGTTACAGACGTCTTGTTTCCATTACCAATGCCCAACCTGTTAATCTTACGAAGGTCACTCTTCCCAACAATGGCAAGCAACAGTTCTACTCCGTTGACTGCGGCAAAGTTGATTCGTTCCCAGCCGTGAAATACCAATTCGGCAAATGGCGCCGAGTCTGGAGCATTGAGGCTCGGCACTACATCTCTAAGGCTAAGACCATGGATGGCAAGGACGTCTGTGTCCTCAATGTTCGTGTTGTTGGCGAAGGGGAGAACTTTATTATCGGTAACCTGGGCGAGAATTTTGCCAAGGATAAGGTTATTCTCTTCGACTTTGAAAAGAATAGGGTTGGCCTGGCTGATTTCCGTGACTAAATCTTCTCTTTCCACTACCATTTCTTCCCTGTGGCTTGACAGCTATTTTATTTTAGATTAATACCTTTATCTCCAGCTTGCTGGTCCCAACCAGAGTCCTCTTCTATACATTCTTTAACATTGTGATATTGAAGTGAATATAGCAATAATCATCCTTGTCCATAGAAATCAATACATTTATTCACATCTTCACTTTTTAACTACCTAGCATTCATTTGCCTAAGCCATCAACGCCTACCTAAAAATCTAGTCCCAGAAACATCCTGCAGGGGAAGTAATCTTACCACTTGGATGCAGCCATCATGGTCTACTAGTACGTGTGACTTGTTCCAATTAAGTGATTTGATTGCATATCTATCATTCATGGGAAGCATGCTTGATATTACCCTTGCGATTGGGCAAATCATTTGGACTCTTTTATATCCGTTAGTTCTGATTCAAATGTAGCCTGTTTACTGTCTAGAATTAGATACTCCGGCCGATGGAGGGAATTTCATAGCAATCCTCTCTCAAGTGAAAGGAAACTAGTACCGGTAGGCCCTCCAGGATTAAAATGCACGAACTGGAATACGAGGTAACTAACTAACTAGTTAGTTGACCATTTAAATATTCCAAGGCCTGACTATGTAAATCTAGAGCAGCTCAACTCTGGCCCCGACTATGTCCTGCATCTGGATTTATCTAGCCTACCATTAAAAGGAATAAGCGACCATTCAGGGGAGTAAATTATTTTTGATATGGGTAAATACAGGAACACAATCATGGTAGTCCATTCCAAGTACATAAGCTGTAAATAATATGCAAGGCGTCTAAGCTTCGCGGTATAACTTCACGTAAGAAACCGTGGAGAGTCGAAATTTGAGAAAAATAAACCGATAAGTTCATGGAAGTCACGAAGCAATATTTGAGCAGCAATGTGGGTGAATGTGAGAGGAGGTCTTTCGATAATGGCTAAATAAAGCAACATAATGTATGTAAAAACCGAACATGGAAGTAAATGTGACAAAAATAGAAAAAATCATGAAGAGGATTAGAAGAGGAAAAATCTATATTTTAAACAATAGCTCGCCTCAGGGTTAAAAAAATGGGGTGATAAATTACTTCATCTTGGGCTGAATCTTAACGCGAATATCACCCTTGAGCCACGGGCTTCCTATTTTAGCAAAGTCCAAGTCGGTGGTGTTTTGGTTAGCCTGGCCAGCAGGCCAATCCATGTCACAGGTCATAACGATTTTGGCAACAATAGTTCTCATCATCATTAGCGCCATCTTCTCTCCTGGGCAACGATGACTCCCGGCACCAAATGGTAGATAGCGGATGTTATTGCCCTCGTTCATCTTCTTCTGGAGGTTTGGCTCATCAATCCAACGCTCTGGAAGATACTCATTGGGGTTCGCCCAGATGCTTGGGTCATGGTGGGTGATATATGGGGAGATCGATACCATAGTACCAGCGGGGATAGTTATTGGCTTTTTGGAATCGGCGTTAGTAAGAGTTTTTGGTTGTCGGGTGAAGCGAAGGTCGTTGAATGCTACGTAGTGGCGGACAGTTTCTTTCATTAGGGCACCCATGAACTCAGACTCCTCTGGGTTCGGGTTAGCAGCAAGTTCCTTGCGAAGACGCTCGAGATATTGAGGATTTCTGAGAAGCTAATTTCAAATCCCTGGTTAGTGATTGAAGTTCCTTGTGGGTACATGGTTTTAATACTGGGGATTCTCACCTCAATGATGGTCCAGGCAACGCCAGCAACAGTACTTGTATGGGCAGCAAACATCAGAACTGTGTGAAGTGCACTGTATTTGTCCTTCAAATGAGCGGTGACAGGGTCTCGGAGGGTATAAGAAATGTAGTCCAATTCCTTCTTCCATTTCTCTGGCTCCTTCTCCCGAGCGGCAAGACGGACGTTGAATATCTCCTTGGTGCGATCACGAGCAGCCCATAGCTTCTTAGCAGCAGGATAAGGGAGCCATTCGGGGAGAATGAAGTTCCAGATACTGCCCAGATTAGCTTCCATGACGTGAAGAAGGTCAAAAAGTTCATCAGCAGCATCGTAGAAATCTGGGCCCATCATGCACTGAACAATTATCTTGTGTACAATGTAAGAGGTATCCTTGAAAAGATTCAGGGGTTCCTTGCGGTCTGCCCAGTCCGCGATTGCCTTCTCGGTTTCAATTCCAGCCAAATTGGTATAATGGGTGATGGCTGCGTTGTTGGAAATCCCTCTGCTAAGGGACCCTACAAGAACGCGAAGCTGGTCGAAGAAGTTTGGGACAACGACTTTGTTCAGGAACACGCCCATGCCATCACCGAATGACCAAACATCCTGTTGACTAGTTAGATAGGGCCGTTTATTGTATCCTGAAACAGAAAGATAACACTTACCTCACGAGCAAAAAGATATTCTTTATTTAAGGCAGGGCTATTAAGCCAGATGGTGTTGGTAAGGAGGAGGTTGATCTGAAAGACCTGTCCGTATTTCTTGCCCGACTCACGCACATATTTTTCCATATCCTTAGCATAGTCGAGGAGGTTTCCGACGACAGGAATGTTCGATTTCACAGATGGAATACCATCATCCTTAGACCATGCTCGGATTTTGAAAATAACAATGAGAACGATGATGGCCGGTATTATGTTGATCGGCTGTGTCAAGGCCGTCCGGATGTAGTCAACAAACATGACGGTGGTTAATATTGTAAATGTAGAGTTAAAGAATCACCCAATAGGCAGGGAGCAGGTATCTAGCTACTGGAGGTATTGAAAAAGAAGGGTATCACACGAAGACGAGATAAGACGAGGACGCGGTCTGTAGGAATTAACCAGATTCCATACACCACAGGAAACAGACAAACTATGACAGTGCTAAAGCAGAGGCCGTGTATATATATAAGTCCACAGTTGCCATATCAACGAGGCATCGGATGTAAAAAAGGCTCCGTAAGGATAAAAGTAGCGGACAACCAGCCGTTGCAAGTCGCTCATGGATGAGTCCGGTTCCTTTACTCTTGGTTGGTGTATCTAGCACCCGACGCGTAACGGATCATTAATAGTGGCCTTATTTCGTGCGCTGTCCCCGACTGGTAGACCAATTATGCGAGAATGGGAAGATAATAGGACTTTTATGCAGAATTAGCTTCTGCCCTTCAGCATGCTTAACTAGGAACGGGAGCTAAGCACTTGTACAGTGGTTTTCCGGGCAAAACTGCGACTTTGTTGGAGAAACCTTCAATGATATATACGCTGCGTATTTCCCTAGCTATCCATCACTTGCATCATCCCTTATTGATGGGGATAATGGGACATACCGTAGACGGCAAAAATAAAATCAAAAAATATCTACATACAGACAGCCGGGATTCGCTGGTGGTCACCCACCCAACTACTAACCGGCCGGCAAGTGGCTTAAGTACAGCTGAGCGGACGGGAAGCTCTGTTTTCCACTTCCTGTGGTCGTATGTGCTAGACACATAGAGGAGAGGATTGATATCGAGCAGGAGGTTATTGCGGGCGGTGCTTACTTTGTGATGAGATGCAGGCTTCATGTCCTAATGCTGCGTCAACTGTGAAGCTTAGCTGACGGTGAAGATTTGCAAAGTAGCTCACTAGTTATCTCGTGTCTTGTTTGAACGAATAGTCACATAGGAGGAGACACCAGTATTAGTCCATGCAACATATCCTGAGATAGAGGCATGGGGAGATGTTTCCCGTCTCCTCGCCTTGATTCTGCGGAGATCTAACTGTTACAACGCCATAGGATTCCGGAGGTAAAACGATACGAGAGGCCGTCACGGCGTCCAGCAGTAAGCAATCTTATGCCGGCTTGTCAGCATGCGCCGAGACAATTGCCACATGGAAGAGTGGCAGACAGGCAAGAAGAAGGAAGCATTAAGCATGCCAGCAATGAAAACAGTTCGTATCATTTCTTCTTGTTGTTTGTGCTTGTTGATGTTGATGAAGTCAAACTCAAAGTCCCAGCTCAATGTCTCGAACTGCTTAGTCAGCTCCAACATCAACAATCTTCAACCTCCACAACTCAAACTTCACGATCGATAATTCAACAACTTCATCCTCAGCCTTTTGCACGGGGGGCTCTGTCCTCGTATACATGCATCTGGCTGCCAGTCAGCTCAAGATGGGTACATCAGGATGTGTCAATAGGCTTCTGGAGCTCTTCTCTCCATTGACATTCGGCCGATCTCGAAAGTCCCACCTGTACCTGATGGGATGAATCGTTGATTATCTCACCAAATTCATGCAGCTACCGAGTAGATGCAAGGGTCTATTTCGCGCGGAATCCATATTTAGCTTCTTTGGGCTGTAGCAATAGTACAGATGGGGCAGTACTCGGTATTCGCCCCCGAGCCTTCGCGGAGGATTTACCACCAAGGATGCATTTGTTCCTCCAGCCTCGCGTTAAGCGGTTTCAGCCTTTATGCCATGTGCCAACATACTGGGCCCTTCCATACCACGCTATGGAGTCCCGCATCCTCTTGCAGGGGATAAGCCACGCGAGACTAGGGTTTGATGTCTATTTGCTCTCTCTGCATGGAGGAAAGAATGTCAGCTTAGCTTCGGGTCCCTAGTCTATGGGGCTCTCTTTTCTCGAACTAATGGCATCTAATCTACCCAAGTTTGAACCTACAAGGGGGCTGAATACATCAGCCCTGGTATTCTGGCGGCCACTCTCCCCGAGCTGGCCGACACAGAAGCTTTGGCCTCGAGTACTCGCTTTACCTTCTTTCAGCACAAAGCTCCTCTGACCAATAGGCCGCCTTCATAGGGGTCTGGAAACTACCCGTTATCCTTTTCTGCACGGCGACTTCGACTGTTCCTACCATGCAAGCCTTAGTCATATTTCAAGATGGTAGGGGATGGCTGAGATGTCGAGAACAAGTCAAATACTCTTCTGGCCCCGAGACGGTTGCAAGATTTCTTTCCAGAATTAAATCATTGCCGGGCTGATTTGGTTCTCTCTCTGTGTTCTTCTTGATACTTACTTCCATCTATCTATCTACTTCCTCTAAGCGCTCTGCTTCTGGGATCACCCCTTTCGCTTCAATCTATCTCAATATTTATATTGAGCATACATTATAGACTTTGTTTTTTTTCCCTCTTCAGTGCTCTACCAACCATCCAGCGGTTCGATATCGATAATCTGGATATTGTATACTCAAAATACATATTAGTAACTAATACGCACCGACCTATAGTCCTCCGCTTCGGACTTTCAACCTACCGAATAACATCCGAACATATTCAAAATCTCAGGTTAAGACCGTCCCCCCTTTTTTGCTACTAATCTTCAAAAAAACCACGCAGCAATGGAGACCATGACTAGCACCTCAGGTGTTAACACCCCTTACGTCTCTGACAATGAAACGGTTTCGAGCGCTACTACTGCGCCAACCCCTCGCGATGACTTCAGCGCTGTCATCGGCATGGCCTGTCGAGTTCCTGGGGCTTCCTCTCCTTCCAAGCTCTGGGATAACATCATGACCCAGCGTGACGTTCAGAAGAAGATGCCCTCCGACCGCTTCAATGTTGACGCTTACTACCACCCTGACGGAACTAACAAGGGAACGGTATGTTTACTTCCAGCCCCTGTCACGCAAATATCAACGGCTTTGATTCTAATTTTCTTAGACCAATGCCAAATATGGTTACTTCCTTGACCAGGACCTTGGCCTCTTCGATGCTGGTTTCTTCCACATTTCCGGCAAGGAAGCTGAGGCCATGGACCCTCAGCAGCGTCTCTTGCTTGAAGTTGTCTACGAAGCACTGGAAAATGGTATGAAACAAGCCTTTATCCCATTACTTTTCTTTTTGTGAATACCCTCAACTGACGACTAATAGCTGGCATTACCCTTGACGAAATCCGTGGTAGCCAAACCTCTGTTTACTGTGGCTGCTTCACCAACGACTACAACTCTATGATTACCAAGGATTTGGAATACTATCCCAAGTACACCGTGACCGGAACTGGTGATGCCATTCTTTCCAACCGTATCTCCTACTTTTATGATTTGCACGGTCCTAGGTAAGGATTCATCAATACAAGTACCTACAGCTGATTCTAGTAATTGACAAAAATGTCTCTAGTGTTACCATTGATACCGCTTGCTCCTCCTCCCTTGTTGCTCTGCACCTTGGAAACCAGTCTCTTCGCAGCGGTGAATCCGATTTGTCCATTATCGTCGGATCTGCTCTTCATTTCGATTCAAATATCTTTGTGACCATGACCGATCTTGGTATGCTTTCCGTTGACGGTCGTTGCCGCCATGGAGATAAGGCTGGTAGCGGTTACGTTCGTGGTGAGGGTATCACCGCAGTTGTTTTGAAGAGGCAATCCCGTGCCGAGGTTGAAGGAAACCGAATCCGCTCTATTATCAGAGCATCTGGTGCAAACCATGACGGAAAGAAGCAGGGAATCACTCTCCCATCGGCTCAGGCCCAGGCGGCCTTGATTGAAAGAACCTACAAAGAGGCTGGCCTCAGCCCTGCTGATACTCAATATGTCGAATGCCACGGTACTGGTACCGCAGCTGGAGACCCCCGAGAACTCCGTGCTCTCAGCTCTGTTTTCGCTTCTACCCGTGATGAACCTCTCTGGATCGGCTCTGTCAAGACGAACATCGGTCATCTTGAAGGTGCCTCTGGATTAGCGGGTATTATGAAGGCAACGATGGCCTTGGAAAAACACCAAATCCCTCCAAACATGCATTTCAACACCCCCAATCCTGAGGTCGATTTCAAGGGATGGAAGCTACGCATCCCCACTGAGCCTGTTGAGTGGACTGTTAGCGAAGGTGTTGCTAGACGTGTCTCCATTAACAGCTTCGGATATGGAGGCACCAACGCCCATATCATATTGGAGGAATATAACCGCCCATCTTCTACGAAGCTTGCTCTTCCAGAACCTTATGTTGAGATGACCAAGGGCCGCCCTTACCTTGCACCAATTACTTCCCACTCTGACAAGGCCGGCAAACTGATGGCTGATAAACTTGCAGCTTACCTGGAAGCTAACCCTGATATCAGCATTGCGGACTTTGCTACTACCCTTAGCATTGAGCGAAGCATGCACGATTTCCGCTCTTTTGCTTACGGAGCAACCAACGAAGCTGTTTTTAGCAGTCTCAAGGAACCGCTCCCAGTGGCTGCCTGGGCTAGCAAGATGACTTCCACTCCACGACTTGGTTTTGTCTTCACCGGCCAAGGTGCTCAGTGGTGGGGAATGGGTCGCCAGCTCATTGAAATGAGCCCCCTATTCCGTCAGTCCCTGGAAAAGTGTGATGAAGTTCTCCAGGCTCTTCCCGATAAGCCTGACTGGACCGTTGTTGGTGAGCTTCTTCGATCTCAAGAGGATTCTCGCCTAAGTGAGACTCGATTCTCTCAGCCAATTTGCACTGCCCTTCAGCTTGCTCTGATTAACCTCCTTGCTTCCTGGGGAATACGCCCGTCTGCTGTTGTTGGACATTCTAGTGGTGAACTGGCTGCTACTTACGCGGCTGGAATTTTGTCTTTCTCTAATGCCATGGTGGCTGCCTACTACCGTGGTCTTTACATGGGCAACGCAGCTGCTAGCTCTGATAGCGTCCCTGGCGCTATGATGGCCGTTGGTCTCACAGAAGTCGAGGTTACTAATGAGCTCAAGCCATACGCTGGCCGCATTGCGGTTGCTGCCATGAACAGTCCCACTAGTTTCACTGTTTCTGGCGACGAAGATGCTGTTGTTGAACTTCAAGCTAAGCTCTCTGAACGCAAAGTCTTTGCTCGCCGTCTCCAGGTTGGCCAAGCTTTCCACAGTCACCACATGCTTCCACTCGCCCCTGGATATGAGCGTGCTCTGAAGAACCATCCCGGATTTGCCCCTCAGCCTCCAACTGCTCGCATGTTCTCCAGTGTTACTGCCCGAGTTGCCGACTATCAAGCCATGGGACCAGCTTATTATGCTGCTAACATGACTGGCCAAGTCAAGTTTTCCGACGCCCTTACCGGAATTGTGCTCGACGAGGACGATGAGCAAAACATTGACGTTTTGGTTGAGGTCGGCCCTCACCCTGCTCTGAAGGGACCATCCAACCAGACTCTTAACTCTCTTAACGTCAAACTTCCATACATCGGAGTTCTCGATCGAAAGGTTGCTGCTTACGATAGCATCCTCAGCGCTGCTGGTCAATTGTTCGCTATGGGATACCCTGTTGACATCCCTGCCGTTAACCAGGACAAGTACATTGACGCGAACAACAGCCTTGTTACTGTTGACAGTGGTAATAAACTTCTTGACTTCCCTAGCTATGCCTGGGATCACCAGAGATACTGGTCTGAAACCCGTGTCATCAAGAGTCACCGTCTTCGCAAATTCCGACACCAAATTCTCGGTGCTCAGATGCCTGGATGCCTTGAAGACCGTCCAAGATGGCGAAACTATCTCCGCTTGGCTGAGATGCCCTGGCTTGTGGACCATGCAGTTTCTGGCAAAGTTGTTTTCCCAGGAGCTGGGTATATTACCATGGCTATCGAGGCTGCTATCCGCCTTGGTAACCCCGAAGACCCAATCAAGGAGATCCACCTCCGCGACATTGCCATTAAGTCTGCCCTAATGGTCAGCAACAGTGACTTGGGCACCGAGGTTTTGCTTGAGCTTCGTCCAGCAACTGAATCGGCCAAGACTGTTTACTCAACCTGGAAAGAATTCGCTATTTTCTCCTTTGATGGTGATTCAATGAGGGAGCATTGTACTGGACTGATTCAAGTTGAGATGGGTGAAGAGCGTCCCGTCCATCGCATTAAGCAGCGTGCTCCTGCTTCAGAACTTCGAGCCAGCAGCAATAGAACTTTGGCCCATACTAAATATTACCAACGACTTGCTACGATCGGCCTTCACTATGGACCGGCTTTCCAGTGCCTCAGTGGGAACGTTGAGTGTGGTAAAGGATTCGCAACCGGAGAAATCACCTGGGAACCTAAGAGGGTTTCTACTACCGATGACTCCAGCGCCAGTGTCCTCCATCCTACATTCTTGGATTCTTCCTTGCATCCAATCTTTGCTGCAGTTGAAGGTCTCATGGGCCACAGCATCACAGAGTCATTTATCCCCACTTTTATGCGCTCTTTGAAGATTTCTGGTCTCCTTAACCGCAAGGAGTACAAGTGTGATGGGTTCAAGGCCAATGTTGCAGTTGACAGCTGGATGCATGGACCCCGTGTCGCTATTAGCAATATCGGTATTGAATCCAAGGATGGCCGTCTCCTTGCGGATATTGAAGGCTTAGAACTGACCAGTCTTGGAAGTGATGCTGATGACCAACAGAAGAGAACACTTTTCTTTGGCATTCAGTGGAAGCCAGCTTTCGAGTTCCTGACCCCCGGTCAAGCCCAAAACCTCAGCGTCCCCGAGATTGTTGACCTTTACGTCCACCAGAACCCTAACCTGCAATTCCTTCACTACTCAGATTCCCACACCTCTACATTGGATATCCTCAACCATCTTGGCGGCTCTAATGGAGAGAGACGCAAGTTTGGCAAGATGACTGTGGTACCTGTTGGCTCGGCAGAAGAGGCAAGCTTCACTCCCCTTGTTGAGCGCTGGAATGGTCTTGTTTCCCTTGACGCCCCCCTCGATGAGGAGAAGTTCGATGTTATTATTGTCTCCTCCTCAGCCGAAGCTGCTTCCATTGAGAAACTCAACGAGAATGGCCTTGTTATATCCCATCCCGCAAAGGCCCCCGCCGCCGACAATCTTAGACAGTTATGGTCCACTTCAGATGTCATCGTGTTGAAGGCCGGTGAGGAATCATCGTTCACCCCCGAGACCTTGACCATTCTTATGCCATCCAATCCATCTGCTGAGACTGAAGCTCTTGCCCAACGAATTGAGTCAACCACCTCAGCAAAAGTTACTAGAAAGGAGTTCCTATCACTCAGAAACGGCACACGCATGGACGACAATGTCATTTCCCTCTACGCCCTCGATGTCAACATCTTCTATGATGAGCCATCCAAGGCTTTGAACGAATTCAAGGCAGTTCAGTCCCTCACAAGCGATGCAAACCGCAATATCGTTTGGCTCAGCCAGGGTACATTCATGGATTGCCCCTGCCCAGAGCAAGCCATGTTCCCAGGTCTTGCTCGCTCTGTTCGTCACGAAACTGAAGACTTGAGGATTGCAATTCTTGATATTACCAAGTCTGCTAAGGCTGATCTCTCTGCCGAACTCATTTTCCGTATCCTCAACCCAACCCTCCATGAAGAGGAAATTGCACTTCGAAATGGCCAAATCCACGTCTCCCGTCTGCACGCCAATGACGAGTTGAACTCAAAGATTGCTGGAGGCTACAATCACCAAGCCACAATGCAACCATTGCACCAGAAGAACAGGCCACTCAAGCTCGTTATTGGACGACCTGGCTTATTGGAAACCCTCTCGTTTGCCGACGACACTGAGATTACCGATGAGCCTCTCAAAGACGATGAGCTTGAAATTGCTGTTAAAGCATCTGCTATCAATTTCCGTGACATTGCTCTCAGTATGGGTATCATCGAGGATTACAAACTTGGAGACGAATGTGCTGGTGTCGTCATCCGCAAGGGATCCAAAGTTTCGGATGAAGAATTCCAGATTGGTGACCGTGTCGTCGCACTCCGTCCTGGCGAGGGTGCTCATCGGACCATTGCTCGCAACCCAGCTTGTTACTGTGCCAAGATTGGTTCTCTAACCTTTGGACAAGCTGCCGCCTTCCCCCTGGTTCTCTCTACTGCCTATTTCTCCCTCGTTGAGGCAGCTAGACTCAAGGAAGGTGAGACCGTTCTAATCCATGCAGCCGCCGGTGGTGTTGGACAGATGGCTATTCAAGTTGCCCAATTGGTTGGAGCCAAGATCATTGCCACTGTCGGCTCTCAATCTAAGAGGGATCTCCTCAAGAACACTTATGGCCTTACTGACGAGCAAATCCTCAACTCCCGTGATGACTCATTTGTTGAGGGTGTCCACCGCCTTACCAATGGCTGGGGTGTGGATGTTGTCCTTAACTCCCTTGCTGGCAAGCTTCTCCATGCTACATGGACCTGCCTTGCTCCATTCGGTCGATTCATTGAAATTGGCAAGCGAGATATCCACCAGAACAGCAGGATTGACATGGACCCATTCAGAAAGAATGCCACTTTTGCCAGTGTTGATTTGGTTACGATGTTTAACTTGAAGAACCGATCAATTGCTACCAAATTATTCAAGGAGTGCTGCGAACTGTTCCAGCAAGGAAAGATTCGCTCCATTCCTACCGTTGAGCTCGAGTATGCTGAATCAGAGAAAGCTTTCCGCATGCTTCAGCTTGGAAATGTAGCTGGTAAAGTCGTTCTAGTTCCTGGAGATGACAACCAAGTCCTTGTGCAGCCAAACACCAACGATAGCAAGGCAACTCTCAAATCAGACAAGATATATCTCCTTGTTGGTGGCCTTGGTGGTCTCGGCCAGAAGCTTGCTGAATGGCTTTACCGCCGTGGAGCCCGAAAATTGGCTTTCCTTTCTCGTTCTGGTGCGGATAAGCCTGAGGCTAAGGCTGTTGTCCAATGGCTTGAGGACCGAAATGTTAATGTTCAAGTGTTCAAAGCCGATGTAGCAAACTTTGACGGAGTGAACAACTGCGTTCAAAACATCAAAGACAACCTTGCAGGTGTCTTCCAGGCTGCTATGGTTCTCCAAGATTCGCCCTTCGACAAGATGTCTTTCGACCAATGGAGAATTTGCACAACGCCCAAGGTTATGGGAACCTACAACCTCCATACGGCTACCCTTGATATTCCCCTTGATTTCTTCGTTTGTTTCTCCTCCCTTTCTGGTGCTGTTGGAACTAAGGGACAAGGAAACTACGCTGCCGCCAACTCTTATATTGATTCAATCTGCCGATACCGACGAGAGAACGGCCTACCTGCCACCACCATGGATATTGGTATGGTTGTCGGTATTGGTGCAGTGTCTGAAGATGCCCAGCTTCAAGCTGTTATGGAACGAGTTGGCTATGACCCAGTCAATGAAGAAGAGCTATTCCACCAAATCGAAACATCCGTCTCTTGGGACCAGTACAAGACCCTCGACAGCAATGGCTTTGATGCCCATCAAACAATCACTGGTCTTAACATGAGACGTCCTGACTACTACTGGACCTCCGGCCCACGCATGAAGAACATCTACCAGAACCATGACTTCACCTCCTCTGGCAATCTTGGCAAGGCTCAGAAGAGTGTTATGGCCCTTCTTCGCGCTGCGGACACAGCTGATGATAGGCTTAATATTCTGATTGATGCGTTTATCGAAAAGATTGCTCTCATTCTGTCTATCGATATCGAAAACGTGCAGCCCAGCCGCAGTCTTGCTGATTATGGCCTTGACAGTATCGTCGCCATTGAGATTCGCAAATGGTTCTTCAAGACTGTTGGTGTTGAACTTGCTCTGTTTGATGTCCTTGGAAGCTCAAGCATTCGCGGTTTGGTTGAGAAGGTTTCAGAAGCAGTTGTGTTGGAAGAGGCCGAGACAGAAGATACCAGCAAGCAACAAACATCATCACGGGCTGCTCGATCATCCAGCACGAACGTTGCTGGAGATCACCCCCTTGGTGAAAGGTCATTCAAAGTGTCTCCTGAGGATGAGGTTCCTATGTCTACTTTCCAGAGAAGATTATGGTTCATTCACAATCTGATTGAAGACAAGTCCTTCTTGAACTTGCCTCTATGCGCCACTATTAAGGGCAAGCCTGACATCCAAGTCTTCCAAATGGCTCTTGAGGAGCTCAAGCGACGAAATGACGTTCTTCGTACTGCCTACTTTGAAGGAGAGTCATTTGCCCAGCAGATGGTCACTGATGACTGCTCTGTGGAGCTCAACTTCCTCGATTTCACTGATGCTCACGATGTTGAGGCTGATATTGAGGATTTCATCGAAGAGCAAACTCATGAGCCTCTTGACATCGAGAACGGAGAGAACATCCGCTTTACTCTAATCCAAACTGGGGAGGAGGAGTTCACTGTGGTCACCATCGCTCACCACATCTCCTTCGACCGTGGTAGCAGTGAGTCTCTCCTCGACCAAGTTTGCAATCTTTACAACTGCCTGCGCAACGGAGATGACTTGGATGGTGTCAAACAACCTGCCGCCTGCTACTCCGAATTTACTATGTGGCACAACGACCGTCTTCAGTCTGAGGAGCAACAAAAGGATGTCGATTTCTGGAAGGCCAAGTACCATGACCTTCCCGGCCCGACCAAATTGCTCCCATTCGCAAAAGCCGAGCGACCAGAGTCCAACGACTACAAGAGGAGCATACACCAAGGCCTGCTAAAGAAGGGTGCCCACCAGAGAATGAAGAGAGTCTGCGCTCGTCTTGGAATAACCCCCGCCCAGTTCCTCATGGCCGCTTTCAGAGCCTTCATCTACCGCTACACAGAACAGGATGATTTGACTATCCACATGATTGACGGAAACAGACCTCACCCATCTGTTAGCGATACCGTTGGGTTCTTCGTCAACGTTATTCCCGTCCGATGCTCTACTAATAACGATGCTGACTTTGAGAGTTTCCTTCGTGAAATGAGCGGTCTGATTCTCGAATCTTTATCTCACTCCAATGTTCCATTCGACCTCATTGTTGATGCGGTTGGTGTCCCAAGGAACCCAGCGTACTTCCCACTCGGCCAAGTTGTTGTGAACTATCAGATGCATGGAAAGATCCCAACTTACTCTACTGATGATTTCACCATGATTGATATCCGAGGAAAGGATGTTCCCACTGCCAGTGAAATGCAACTTGAGGCAACCGAGGACCCTGACGAAGGACTAAAGCTCTCCCTTGAGTTCTCCAGCACCTTATATGGAAACTCTGAGATGGAACGTTTCTTGGATAACTTTATCGCGTTCATGAACAGTGCCATTCGCGACCATCGCCAACCAATCTCTGAAATCTCAATGGTTGGCCCAAAGGAACTTTCTCACTTGAAGAACAACTTCTTTGCCATGGATTTCACTGAAAACACCTGGGAGAACCAGTCAGTCGCCGCCCGTATCATGGACATCGCCCGGCAGTATCCCAACGATGTGGCTATCGAGACTTCCAACGGAAGCAGCATCAACTACAAGACCCTCGTTGACAAGGCAGAGAAAATCGCGGCTACCATTGAATCTAAGGGAATCGATTCTGGGTCCAAAATTGGAATTTTCTCTAGCCCTGGAGTAAACGCAATTTCCGCAATGGTTGGTACTCTCTTTGCGCGCTGTGGTTATGTCGCCCTCGATCCCAGCTTCGCTACCGAACGCCTCTCTTTCATGGCCAATGACTCCGGAATGAAGCTTCTCTTAGCTGAAAAGGAGCTCGAAGCCAGAGCTAAGGAGATCTCCAGCAAGGCCACTTCCCCTTTGGACTGTGTTGTTATTGAGAACATCTCGGAACCATCACAGCCTATTCAGGGGCCACACAAGACTGCGAACAATGATCCATTCTACATGATCTACACCTCGGTAAGTTTCTTCTTCTCTACACTCCCCTGCTATGGTGAAGAGCGCTTTGAATCTACACTGTCGTTTGAGAATGAAATTTGATTTTAATGTATTCAAAGGGAAGCACAGGCACCCCAAAAGGTGTAGTTTTGAGTCAATCAAACACTCAAGAGATGCTTAGCACTCTGCATCATGACTATAAGTTTACCGCCAAAGACCGTTTCCTTCATCATTCTTCTATTTGTTTTGATTTATCTATTGTTCAAATTTTTTCTGCACTTACCTGCGGCGCTCGCGTCTGTGTTGCTACCGCTGCTACTCGAAAGGACCCTGTTGCTCTCGCCAAATATATGGAGTCCTCTCAGGTTACTGTTACTTATTTCACTCCTACCCAATTCGCCCTTCTCATCGAAAACGCAAAGCCAAACCTCCAAAACATCCGAAAATATCGAATTGCTTATTTCGCTGGTGAACGACTGCCAGTCCGTGTTGCCAGGGCATTCTACGACCTCGGAACCCCAGCTGTGGTCCTAAACACCTGGAGTCCTAGTGAGCTTGTGGTTCAGACCACCATCCAACAAGTTGAATACCCCAGTGAAGATGAAGTCAGCATTCCTATTGGATTCCCCATGGCAAACACCCGGCACTATATCCTTGACAAGAACTGCCAGCCCCTCCCAGAAGGATTCATTGGTGAGATTGTTGTCGGAGGCGCTCAAGTTGGCCTTGGCTACCTTAACCGACCGGAGGCGAACCGAAACTCATTCGTAGCTGATCCCTTCTGTTCTGACGAAGACCGTCAAGCTGGCTGGACGAGAATGTTCCGAAGTGGTGACAAGGGTCGATTCCGCCCGGACGGAAGCCTGGAGTTCCACGGCCGCATTGCTGGAGACAAGCAAATCAAGCTTCGAGGCTTCCGTATCGATCTTGGTGAGGTCGAGCAGAGACTGTTTGTGGAGTCCAAGGATGAATCCGGAGAACCACAGATTGTCGATATTTCAGTCGTTGCCCGTTCACCCACCACAGCTGATTCTCAGGATATCACCGATAACCGCCAATTGATTGCATTCGTTGTTACCAAGAAGCCATTCGCCGACCAGAAGAGCAAACAAGCTTTTGCCTTTGAACTGAACAACAAGGCAGGCCAGCATTTGAACAACTATATGCTTCCAAATGGTTACCAATTCCTCGATGCCCTCCCAGTCACCATTGGCGGAAAAGTCGACCGCCAACGTCTCCTCAACTGCGAGCTTTCCTTGACCTTCCCTACCGCTGCAACTGAAACGGTTGAATCTCAAGTTTCCGCGTCCAACGATAAGCCTGACGATAAACTTGTCAATACTGTCCTGCAAGGTTTCCAGGAAATCTTGAAACTGCCCGCAGACCAAGAGATCGGGGTCAATGACAGCTTCTTTGAGCTCGGTGGCCAGAGCATTCTTATGCTCAGACTGCAAGCGAGACTCAAGCGTGTTCTCAAGGTTACCCCAACGCTGGCAATGATGTTTGAAAAGCCGACTCCTATGGGCATTGCTCATGCCATCTGGAGCAAATCCAAAGATGCCACTGACGGTGAAATTGACTGGGACAAGGAGACCGAGTTGATCGACGCTCCTCAGTATACCCTAGACCAAAGCCTACCTGACATTTCTCCATCTCAGATTACTGACGTTCTCCTTACCGGTGTTGAGTCCTTCCACGGAATCCACATGCTCGCTACCCTACTCCGAGAAAGCCCCCAACTGACAATTCATGTTCTTGGTCTTGAGGAGCCGATGACCTCTGAGGGTGTTTTCAAGGTGTTGGACCAGTGGGACCTACTGCAATTCTTCCCTGACCGTGATGCTGTTACTTCCCGCATCCAGTGTGTCCCCGGTGCGATGGCTCACCCACACCTGGGTCTGTCAGCCTCCGACTTCAAGCAGCTCGGCCAGACGATCCAAGCCATCTACAACTTTGCCTCCCACGTCTCTCTTCTTCAATCTTATGACGACCTTCGAAGCTTCAACGTGGAACCTATCCGCGAGATCGTCGAACTTGCGACTCTTGGCCGGGTTAAGACTCACATCCACCACCTATCGACCTGGTCTGTCATGCACATTCAATCGTGGCAGACCACCATCCGCAAGCGAAGAGGCCGTCCAGTCACCCAGGAGACCAGTGCCAGCCACTTTACACCTGAAGGCACCAGCCGCTTCGGCTACTTCAAATCACGATGGGCGTCTGAGATGCTAATCGAGAAGGCTGCATCCCGAGGTATCCCTTGCACCATCTACCGTGCCTCTGCCATCACCGCCAGCACCGAGACGGGAGGAATCGAGCCCGACGACAGCTTCGCCCGCCGCATGGTTCTCGGCATCGTGGAATCCAACGGCATCCCCAAGATCGGCCAGCGCGGCCTGGAGTTTGTGATCGACTTTATCCCGATCGATTACATGACCAAGTGTGTGCGTGCTCTTTCGCTGTCTGACGGACTGAGCCGTCAAGAGAACGTCGCTACGATCCACCACATCACGAACCCGAGCCCGGTTAAGACCCCCCAGCTGGTCGACATGATGGCCGAGATTAAGTCTGAGCCCGGCGTGAAGGCAGAGATCCTGAGCAAGGACGACTGGCTTGATGGAATGCAGCGTATCGACACGGAGCCCGGCGCGGAGATCCGATGGACGGTGCTCAAGAGCTACTTTGAGGTCGGCCACAACATGTTTGCGCTTGACCAAAGAAAGACCAAGGCTATACTCAAGGACCTGGGTGTCGAGCCATGCTTCAGCATCGGCGTTGATGTCCTGAAGGCTGTCTATGAGAAGGAGAAGATGGCTCGCTCGCCCAAGGCGTAGGAGCGAATCACTGCCCAACCAACATCAAAAACACCACCGTCAATGAACCAGAGAGAAGAACCAGAGAGAAACGAGAACCAGCAGCCCAAGCAAACACTGTCCACCACTCTCGTTCCTTTCGAGTCGTTAGCCAGGCGTTGGGGAGTTGCATGATTTATGTCGAAAACCGCCAAAAAAAAGAGCAAACGAGAAAAAAATAAAGAAAAAAAAAACCTATTTCCTTTGTCACTGCGATACTCAGCTTATGGAGCACTAATGTCTTTCTGTCTTTCTGTCTGTCTTGTTTAGTTACTTTCCTGTCTGTTTGTTTCCTGGATTCTGGCATGATGCTGGCCCATCGTTGCCTGGCCGTCCATATAATTTGTCCCTGTACGGAAGCCATCAAGAAGAGCGTCACCAGCCTGCCCGGCAAAGATCTCAACTTGAGTCTCCCCTTTTTGTGTTTCGAATAGTTAGCATATAGACCTCGAATATAGACTGCATTTCACTTATAATTGCTCCCTATGCGTGGCCATCTATAGAAGAAGGCCTTCAACTAGTTATAATTTATACGAGATGAGCCGCATCCAACCAACCAACCGGCTCGGCTTCTTCGTTTCTTCTTCTTCTTGTCTTCTTTGCTTCTTCGTGTCTTCTTCGCCTCTTCTAAAGACTCTGCTTCGTATAGTTACGGAGTCCCAATGACATCCGCTTCTGGCCCTTCCCTGCCATAAGGCTGACCCCCTGGCGCCCTTTTTTGCTTCTTCCACCGACTTTCTCCATCTCTGCAACAACCAACAACAGCCAGCGATGGACGAACCAACCAACGACGGCAGACAAGGCGAAGACAAGGAGCGAGACACTAGCCGGGGACTAACGGCGGCCAAACCAGGGATCTTTCTGGCCGTCTGCTAGTTCTGGCCTGTCGGATGCCTGCGCCGGCCTCTATCAAACCTGGCCGTGGGTGGCTGCCTGCTGCCTGCGCCGTCTCCTTGACCGCGACTGCGACGGCGGCCAGCGGGACAGGATAGCTGGTTAGTTAGTTAGTTAGTGATAACAAGAGAGGCTTCTCCGGTGCGTTTCCTTACTCTGTTCCGCCTGATTCATCGCTAACAAAGGGCCAGGTATAAGACAAGACAAGACAGACGGACGGACGGAGACGAAGACGAAGACGAAGGAAAACGACCGAGAGGCCGCGCTGTCTTGCTCCACCGCGGAAGACAAACAGGAGCCCACTCTTCGTCTCTGCCTATTTGCCGCTGCTGGGATCCAGGGCAGCGAGAGCCAGAGCCAGAGGGCGAGAGAGGGAGGCAGAGGCTTGACTTCCGGCCGCGGTCTCGGCTGAGAGAAGAAACTCTGCGGGACTGACTGAGTCTTTTCGTGGCTCGTTTCTTGCTTTTTCTTTCCCTCCTCGCTTGGTTTGCACCGCCCGGCGGCCCTTTTTCCTTGTCTGATGCGCCGGAGATTTTGATATATATAACCATCTATACGGCCCCTCGTCTTTCGGACAGATCCGCCACCACGGACAGATACAGACACAAGCTATAAGAACGGCCGAGGAAGACGATATAAGAGAGGAGGGAAGAGACGGCTCTACGACTCCATAACTACTTACGGAGTACGCGTACCGACCCTGGAAAGAAACGGCCAGAGAGGAGGGGATTATTTCGGCGGCAGAAGCAACAGCATGTTTGAAGGCTTTTCGTTCCCGGAGCCAACACGGCCTGCGGTACAGCCCGAGATCGATAGCCTGCAGTTCCAGTGCGACAGCAACCTGGTCTCGCCGCTGTCTTCGCGGTGTCCCTCTCCCCGGCTGCCGTCGCCGTTGAACTCGCGGGATTTCCCTCGTCTTAACCGCCGGTCGAGGCAGTTCCATCACTATCACCACCAACACCAGCAGCAACATCTCGGCCCTGCTCCCACCTCCATCCCGGCAGACTACGCTACAGAACGCAGCCAGCGGTTCTCTATCGGCTCCCTGACGAAGCAGCTTCATGCTCACTCACTTGAGACCGGCGGCAGCCAGGATATCGGCAGCGACAGCGACGATAGCGGACGGTGGCTGCCCATAACCCCCCCACGATGCTCGACCGATGCTCAATATCAGAACTTCGCCCTGCTGGACTCGCTGCCTCCTCAGTCGCCGGAGGACGACCTGGTCCGGCTGTCGTCGCCGTTCTATCCTGCTCCCCTAGACTCCACCTCGTCGCCCCCTCCGAGTCCCCGAGACGCCCATGTCATCAGCCATGGTAACAAGCACGGCAAACTCCCTTCGCAAGAGCAGGATATACCCGCCGAGATATATCACTCCATGCCCCACAGCCGATCAAGTATCGTCGGTAACGGTGGTAGCATCAGCAGCATCAATAATAATATTGCCGAGGATGCTGACCGGCCAGGCGATGTCCGGTACCAGCGTGAGAAATTCTCCATGCTACAGTGCGCCTCATCTTCCATCGCCGACACCGTCCGCCTCGCCATCCTGCTAGATGGAGGTGCCAACTGCCCTCGGGACCGCCGGTCTTCATCATACGCAGAAGCAGCAGCAGCAGCAGGAGTGACTCCCGGTGAGTCTTGCGATACAGCTGCAGGCTACCTCAGCGATGGCCAACATCCGAGCTCGCTCCCTCCATCACGGACACCTTCGAGAAAACGGCTGCTGAAGCCAAAGCAGCATCACCATACCAACCACGCTCACAATCCTCTAGCGAGCGGGTGCGGGACCTCGAGTCGCTTCTCCGGCGCTGGCAGCAAGGGGAAGGTAGAAAAATCGCAGCATCACAGCCATAGCCATGGCGGCAGCGGCACATCGACACCCAATCCGAGCAGGAAGTTCGGCAAGTCGCAATACGGTCTTCGGCGGAGGAGTCTGCTGTTGGCCGCTGTCACGGCGGTCCTGGAACAGGAGGTGGCTGAGTCCACCAGGATGACAGAGTGAAGAAAAGTGCTTATTATATAGAATAACCAGGTTGTCTTTCTCTATTCCTTATACTACGCACACATACACCCCTTAACCGTAACATGATGGCAGAGATACCCAAGTCCTATCTTTAAGAGACTCCATTAGACTATGCAGGACCTTTATTTTTTTGGTGTAACCGACTTGAAGAAACTCCAGATCCGATCTTGAATTATGGACTATTGCTTGCAAAACAGAGAAGAAATCGAGGAAATCTAACAGTCAAAAGGGGAAAAGAAAAGTAGTCACAAAGGGAAAAGAAAGAAAGAAACAAGATAATCAGGGGGGAAGCTTCGTGAAAAGACATCAAGACATGCATCCGGAGATGGGGAAGGGAATTCAGGGGCATCAATCAACATAATCATCATCCTCAACAACAACGGCAACAACAACGTATCAATCCTCCCGCTCACAGGGCAGTTAAGCAGATGGTCAACACCACAAGCAGCGCAATAAGAGTAAACACCCCGTAGGAAACAGCCAGCTGGCTGGCCCAGTACTTGTCCTTGACGTGAAACTCGCTAATGGCTCCCTTGGATCTCCAGCGGATCAACTGGTCGGCCAACTTGCCGTCAAACCCAATATAAGCAACCGCAAACCATCCAAAAGGCACAAAAAGCGAAAAGAGCAAGATCAGCTGTCTTCCAACACGTCGTTGGGCGCTCAAATTTCTGCCTCCATTGACACCTGCTCGTTCAGCGGAGCCTAAAGCATCGACGTTCTGATTCTGGTACTGTCGACGGGGCTGAGGGGTTAGACGCGGTGGCTCGGGGAAGACGTGGCGGCCATAGGTAGAACAATATGCGTCTGGTACGCTGCCGGTTTCTTCATCGATGGTAGCGAAGAATGATGACGCTCCATTGATGATGGTGAATTGCTTTGCTGGCTGGCAGGTTGTCCAGGGGGAACGGACACATGAGTCGTGCAGAGATGGTGAATGGTTTGATAGCACGACTGAAGCTGTTTCGATTCGGTCCAGACGTTCACGAAGCAAGTCATCTGGTTTGGGGCTGCGGAGCTTTCTGGCAGTGCTCACACTTTGGCTGCGCGTCGGAGGGCGGCTGCTGTACCTGGCTGGTGGTGACATGGCAAAGATGGATCTAGGACTGGATACCCGCTCTCGTTCAGCTGGATGCTCGTACTCGTCCATGTTAGATGGAGTCAAGTCGCGTCGATATTCGCCTCTAGATGACGCTCGGGTGTCTGGTCTGGCAGAGAGAAGATGCTCGCCCATGGTAGAGGTTGAATTGTTCGTCAGAGTGCGATGGTGGCGGTGGTCACGGTAGCTTCGAGTCTTGTCGTGAGCAGCTCTAATGGATTTGTATAGAGTACCAGGAGCGTTTCTTGAAGTCGAAGTACCGCCAGATACAAGGCTGCTTAATGAGCTGACGCGAGAACGAGGTGGGACTGATCGATGGCGGCGGGTACGCGTAAGGGGTTCAAGCTCAATATCTTCCTCTGTCGTGCAGGAAACTCGAGGTCCAAGTGAAGATGTCTGTGACCGGGCAGGATGGGATGCAGGAGGGGGTGTCACAGGCAAGGGATTTTTACTGTCAAAGGTGTCAGTTGCTGGAATTTCCCGTGTTGCTGAGCTAGAGGTTGGGTGGTGGTGATGGTGAGGATGAAGATGAGGATGGGCAGAGGAAGAGACGTTGCGGCTGTGAGGAGATGTTCCGTCTCTCACGCCTCTGATGCTGGAAGAAAAAGGGGCAGAGTGAAAGGAGTGCTGGGGCTTCATGGTATTAAAATCTGGCCTTGTCCACCATGCTGATGCTTCCATTGATGATCGAGCAGGCAAGGGACGTAGGCTCCTAATGGGGCCTGAGCCATACTGGGCAGAGTTAAATGGGTTGCTGCTGTTGGTACTGGTTTCATTATCATCTTGAAAGGTCAACTTACTACTGCGAATTGCAGACACAAAGCCGGACTTTGAATCTCGTCCGGCTTTTGCGTGCTGCTCGCTCGGCTGGATCTCGTTCAGGGAAGGGGGAGTGGATTGGAAAGGGTTCGGGTGGGAGTCTCGAAGGGGGGATGGGTGGTGGTACTGGGAGTACGAAGCCGCTCGCGGAGCAGGCTGTTGCGCTGTCGATGCCATCAGAGGCGGCGGAGTGCTGTACAGCATCTCGGGGTCGCTGGGTAACTCGGACATCGAGTAAAGGTGTCGTGGACAACTGGGGGCACTGATTTCAGGGAATCGGCGCTGGCGAGTCGTATGCAACCAGCTCGGTCGGCGGAATCTAGGGGATCTGTCACGGAACGGGAATCTCATTTCACTGCTCCCCTGGGGGGGCTGGGAGGGTATATCTATTATACTTCTGTTGGCCAGAGTCCCAGCACTGGAGTAATTAGCCAAGCTGCTGCCCGACTCCAAGTTTGATATCGGGACTTGGGACCTAGATCCTAACATTAGGCTCTCAGTAACCGTCTCCCAATCTTTTTCAGAGCCTCCTTCGTCTGTGTCAGTATCACTGTCATCATCAAGGACAGAACTAATACTCTGCTTTCCCTTATGTTTTGCCAAAGTCGATATGCTTTGCTCACGCCTCTTGTTTGGCCGCGTGCTGCCAAGGTGAGCATGGAAAAATGGGGGGTAACTTTTGGTTTTATCTTTGGGCTCGAATGGTGCGGCGGACTTTGGACGTTGAGGAGACGCCAATGCCATTGAAGATTCAGTATGCATGCTGAGTCTGTTGCTAGATGAACTCTGGCTGCTTCCGGGGCCCAGATCTTCAAAATGCGTTCCTGCACCGGTCATCATCTCGGTTCGAGCAGGAGAAAATGCTTGATCTGGTGGAGGGTCGAAGACAGACACTCCCATTTGCTGTGCCTGGTCGTCTCTGGGGCCAAATAAAGACGACATGGAGAGCCGCGAAGGGTTTGTACGGCATGCCCCTGAAGAAGAGGCGGCATCAGACGTCTGAGGTCGACGCTCCACCCGACGATCAGCTTTACGATGTCGGGAACGAGCAGACATTGGCCGAGAGAAGTTAGGACCAAATATGCTGGTCCGTTGCATGTTCTTGGGGAGATTCTCAGAAGAAATTTGGTCGGTTGTGCCTGTGAGGATAAAGGACTTCCATTCCTCAAGTCGCTTGCTGTCGGTGAAGGAAAACGGCGGCGAAGGGGTAGCTGGTGGATCATCGTGGTTGTCTTGGGATACAGCCTCGTCAGGTTCACCACCGGCTTTGAGAAGATGAGAAGTAGCAACTTCTTGATGACTAGCAGCAAAGCTATTCCGAGTGGACTCTGGCTGTTGAGACTTTATGGCAGATTCAGTCTGCATCCGTTGTTCTATCTCACCAAGGGCAGATCCAGGCCTAGAGTTCGTTCTCCCGTTGATGATATCATTGATTGTCTTTGGCTTCTCAATGCGGCCACGAGCGCCATGCAAGTTTGGTTGGCGGCGATTCAGGAACGTGGAGATTATCGGGCGCAAACGGCTACACCCAGGAGAAGAAGAGTCGTTTGTGCCATAGAGACGACGCTTCACAAGCTTATTTGGCTTGCTTTCGGTGTTGCAAGGATGGGCGGCTTCGTTTACGGCTTCAGAGGCCGCGGATGCTTCTTCTACCGCAGTCTGACCTTGGGTAATATCTAGGGTAATTGAGTCTAATAAGCCAACTGGGATCTCCTGGGAAGCAGAAGGCTCCACATCCGAGGCTATAGATCGGCCACATTGAGCTAGAGCTTCATGCGGAACCTGTGGCAAATCCTCATAACTATAGGCTGTAGGATTAGTCGGCCTATTCTTGTTGGATGTCCCCGAAGTGATTGAAGAATAGGCGGTTGGAAGGTCTTCAAACAAAGCACGAGAAGGAGTACACCTCCTTTCAGCGCCCAGGGAGGCAGAGCGCCGACGAAGCCTTGGGGGTGGTGATTTTGCTCGCTTGGGGATTTCGATTTCCACGTCTAGGGAAGCTGTACTTGGCATGTCACTTTTGATAGGGCTGCCTACCCCAACCGAAGTTGGAGACATAGAAGAGCCTGTATATCTTTGAGGTGTTAATATCTCAAATGAGACACCCCTATGGCGAAGAGTTCTAGGCAGAGCTGATTCAGAGGCTGATTTGGTATGTGTTGCGAATCTTATTGGTATTTGTCGGATAGAGTCACGTAGGGTTGTCTGGCGCGTCATTATTAGTGAAACTGAAGATAGACAAGAGTATATCACAATTTTTGGACCATAGGTAGACAAATATATATAAAATTATTAGACTTACTTACCAAGGTCCTATATTGGGATTTATTATCTGCTGGTGCTTCATATAGATAATTTTGTGTCAATGTATTTTGGGGTGTTGTGCGTCCAAAATCCGAGAAAGACTCATCTATAGGCGAAACTTCACAGCTCCTAACTAGATCAGACGCGTTGCTGTATCCAGAACCAAAGATAAGATGATCAGGCACAAGGATAGGAGAAACAGGCGGGCTAGGTGTGAAAAAAGAAGGTGGTGCTGGAGGAGTTGCTGGTGGTGAGAGGGGGATGGTGTTCCCTTGTCTGTTGTTCAAATTTGTAGTCTTTGGCTTCCTTTTCAACATTCTCCTCGGAGCTATAGTTGTTCCGTCATCGGCTTCTGGGTGTGACAGTTTCCTACGATATTCATGCAGAGAGAGCTTCCCTGACATAGAACGGGTATGTTGAGGAGTTTGAACAGACACCAGAAGAGTCGGAGCAGGGCTAATCGGGGGCGAGGGGGTCTGGTAGTGAGATGAAGATGTTGACGCGGACCCAATACGAAGAGGAGCCGGGAGGAGAGATCGCCTCAATGCAGGTTGGATGTCTGCACCACCAGTGTGCTCATCCATTAGAAGCAACGACTCCCAGGGAATTTGATTCGTCTGCAAGCTGATCCCAGCCATGGTTTCAGGGATCGGCTGTCTCGCGGAGCTGAGGCGGAGGAAACAAGACAGCAAAGTTCCAGAGATATAGGTAATATAAATTAGAGGTATTAATGCATGTAGTTCAATCTTAGTGAAGAGGTATCCGAGTTGTAGTATGAACACCGCCAACTAGGGTTGAATATGGCTCGAGTTATAGCAGTTTCGTGTTGGTCAACAGGCGTGGATCATGGGGTATCTCGCTCAGTGATAGGAGGTAGTGAATATAGGCCGGTTGAGTGAATATTGAATATCGGAGAATAGGGACGAGCTATGTGTACCGGGTGCATATTCCAAGGGTCAGGCACAAAAGAAAGGAGGAGGAAGAATTATTAATTGAATGCAGAAGAGAGCGGACAATGGCCAGCCACTGTTTGATTCCTTCTTGTAAAAGATATTTGCAATAGCAATGGCCCAAAAGCTAGATCCAAATGGGGAAGATAACGATTGATATAAAAGATCCTGCTGACTGTTCCATGGAGGTTCAAACGAAGTTGACCACAAGGGTATGTTCACATGAAAAGCAAGCGAAGAAAGAAAGAAAAGATGAAGAATGCATCAAAACACAAGGTTAGCAGCAGGAGAAGCGCGGGAGACAAGCCAGTAAAGCTTCTAGCGAATCCCGCAGCAGTATGACCCTGCACCTATCACTGCAGACCCAGGATTCTTCACACCCTCACGCGGGAGAAGGAGAGAAAACATAAAAAAAAAAAACAAATAAAAAACAAAGCAAAGCAGAGACGCTCTGCGTAAAGGCAGAAAGGAAGCAAGGGAGAGGCTATCCTCGAAGGGAGTGTAATGGGACGGGGTTCCCTAGACCCTTTAACGTAGCATCAATCATCCTTATTGATGAAATTTCTTTTGTACGTGTCGTACCTGAGAGGTACCACACCACCCAGAACCAGCATCCACCAAGTGGGTTTTGGGTTACCAGCCAGACCTCTGGGATTTGCTAGTTATGGTATCCTTAATTCGTTTTGCCTCAAGGAACACGACAGCCATCATTTGGTTGCTGTGAGTCGCTGGCTGGAGCGCGGAAGTTGGGTATGAACTCGCCTGGCCCGGGTGGCATCTCTGAGGATGTGAGTGGAAGGGCCAGAGACGCAGCGAAAAAAAGCAACGAGTGGGAACGACCTGCTCGACTGTTAGCCAATCATGGACCCAAGCCTCAATCTACCTGGCACCAAGAGGATATCCTCGCAGCGTATCGCAGCCACTTACAGGCCCGGACGGTGTTTTTCGTCTCTGGATGGTCAAGGGGAGCCGGCGAAGGGCAGCGTCGAGAGGCTGAGGTGGAAGTCAAGATTGCGATCCAAGGCGTCTCATGACCATCCCTCTCTGCCGGCTGGCCGTAACCGACACCGCGAGAAGAGAGCCATCTCTTTTCTCGTCCCTCTGCATGTTCGTCGTTCTCGCTCTTTGCTCTTCGTCTTTTCTTTTCTTTTCGTTGTTCGTTGTTTCGTCTTTTCGTCCCTTTTCGTCCATTTTTTCCCTTTCACGACGTTGCATCCCAGTCACATGACCTCCTTACTTTTTAGCTACATCTCGAAGACGACGACGAGGAAGACGACAAGAAGATTGAAGAAAAGCAAAGAGATGGCAGAGAGGTCACAAAAGGAGTACAAGAGGAACCTGGAGAAGCGGCTTTAGCCAAGGTTGACGTCCCACAAGCTCACCATGGCCGCAGTTGTCATGGCCCTGCCCCTGATCATATCCATGTTCTCGCATCACCAGCCAGCGACTCATGATCAGTCCCCGACCCCCTTCGTACACACCATCTTCCGCTGCCGAACACGCTGTCGAGTGTCATATACACCGGGTGCTGACGCATGTCTTCGCACAAGTCCGAGTTTCGATGGCCAGCAAGCTCCGTCTCCCGTCGTCCTCAGCGTCAATCTATCCACATAGTTTAACTATCGATAGCCAGTCTTGGATTTGATGCATCATGATTTCCCCATGGCTGGCCGATTTACCTTCCCGCAGACCCAATGCATGCAATCAATCATATGAGACACCAATGGGTCTCCAGTATCAAAGGCTAGTATTGTCTTTTCGGCCGTTCGTGCCATGTTTTGCGGAGGGATATAGTTCCAGGCTTATTCTCGCACTTAGCCAGCTCCAAGGCGGAGCGCTCTCAACATGCCACCAGCCTCTTAGGATGCTGGTAGCAAATGGCTGAGCTTCGAGTTAAGCCTCTATATGCAGGGCCGTTGGTGTCACAGACTCTCGGATAGGAAGACCTCCCCTCCTTTCCTCCAGTCTAGCCTGTATCGTGGGGGAGGCTTAGCCCTCCATGAGGAAATAGAGCTGAAGGGGAGGAACAGAAACATGTGAAGAAACTAACGAGTACGGGCCATGTGTACGGAGTAGGTCGATATGTTACTGTTACGCTCTTGTTATATACAGGAGTACATGTTGCTCAGGCGCACCGCCCTGGGACAAGCCGCATTAACCCACCTCCTAGAGCTTCTTAATGTGGCTGACCATGCAGCTCTATATCCGCTTTACGTAGGTACGAGCTGAATATATTAGGAGGCACCTCTAACCGATCTATTTTACGATCAACCTCCCCGTTTCAACGGGCATGCCGAATCCACCTTGAAACCTGAAACTATACGATCATAGCTTTACCAACAGGCCGTTTACAGTGTGGTGGTTATACTTGACCATTCCAAGCCCGCCCTTATTTAGGTGGAGGATTTAAAGAACACAGGAGTATTTAACATGTGAAAGGGAAAAGGAAGGTCATAATAAGGCAGCATCGATATTGTACTCTTTAAAACGGGCTTGTATAAACATCCACCGGGCTGTCCGATTCTGATCAATCTGAGTGTTTTGACATATTAATAGTGTATTGTAGTAACGATAATCTTCCATCTATATACAATACTAGATGCGATGGACAGATAAACATGTGAGATATCAACAAAATGGCTAAGTTATTAGTTAAACATCAAAAAAACAAACAATCTCTGGCAATAGCCGACACGCTAGATATGCGGGAACATAAAGTCAAGTTGTGGTTCAAAAACTCCGGAGCACCCGCCATCTCATACACTATCATCATGAAAGGTTCATTCTGGGAAAGGAAATATAAATAAGAAAATAGGTAAGGAAATATGAGATAAATGGGGGATACCAATGCTCCATCGTAAATATTCATTCACATCTCATCTCGTTTAAAACTGAAATGATTGCCTCTCATCGCGCCAATAAATACCCAAACGCACGGTTAGGAAAAACAAAAAACAAAAGGGAATACGAAGTCGTATCAGAGAGATCGATATTTCTATATGCAACCCATCAGCGAGGGCAATTAAACGGTAAGATTTGGGAAAACCACATACCTCGTCTGCTCGTCTCTTATTCTCCGGATCCAATGTATTTCTCGCACCCAAAAGTGTCTTTCCAACTGCACCGGCAGCACTGATGGCGGGTCCGAGTATTATGGTCGGTGCACTCCTCAAGGCTGCCCGGGCTGCTTCAGTAACATTCTCAGTCTCCATAATTTCCCCTGGCACAGCAATAATTGCATCTCGTGCAACACTCAGGTCTCGCCCCAGCCCTGCGTATGCACCGCGTAGCCCTTGAACAACACCTACAGGCTGATCTGCATACAGTGATATTTGCTGCTTTGCTCCCACGTCAATTGGCTCGTCGTCATCAGGGCCCTCACCAGAGGATTGAGCAGCTCGATTTGCAGGTCTGGAAGCAGGACCGTTGAGATAGCCCTCTGCTCCTTGAAGTACATTTTGTGTCCCAATTGCAAGTTTGGCCCCGATTTTGATAAGTTCACTTGTCGTGGTTTTGGCAAAGGCTGCAGCGCCCTTCTGAAGGCCTCGGACAATTCGGCCGTCTTTCTTGTACTCCCGAATAGGAATGACAACAAGGTCCCTGACACCACTACCGAGAGTCACCAGAGATTTGACAGGTGCCAGTCCAGAGAGAACACCTCCTAGTTGATTGCCGCGTACATCAGGTGTCCAAATATCATTCAGCATCTTTCCAAGCCTTTCAAAGCCGGTAATACCGTAAATTATGACATGACGAAGGACCATATCTGCTTCATCAAGGACGAAAATATTCATCAACTCGGTGGTTCTACCTGAACGAAGAGCAGCATAGTCAAGTCTCTTGGGTTTGAAATCAAGTCGTATCGGTATAGGATTGATTTCTACCCGTTGTAGAAATGGTACATCCCCAGGAACAGGCTCAGATTTACTCGATGATTCGTCCTTGAACTCGAAAAACCGGGTCATAAAGTCAAGTGCATCATGGTCAACATGAAGGCGCAGTGGTAGTACCGTTGCCTATATTCCGGTCAGGTCCTTGAATCACAGCTAAAAATAGATAAAGTGCAACCTTACCTTTAAGATTATCTCAGATGCTGCAAGATCCGCTACTGGTTTCACATTCAGTATTTCAACGTGGACCATGCTGGTACCAATCTCTCTCTCGCCCATATCGTGCATGTACGTGGCAAACTTTCTCCACGTAGAAGTTGGCATATGATCGAATATTTCTAGATCATGAATTCGAACGTCTATCGAGCTCTGAGTTTCTCCGGAATTCGCTGGGAAAACAACCACGTCCGCAGAAACGCCTTTCAGTTCAATTGTCATCTTGTGGTGTTGGCTTCGAGCTAGGCGTAACTTTTCTCGTCTCGAAACTCCATCTTGTGTTGGTACCCCGGATATGGTTGAAGTGGTTACATAGCTTCCGGTCTCACTCAAGCCGTCAATGTTCCGATTAATGTCGCTGGTGAGCTCTCGTGGATCCTTGTTTGAGGGTATTTCAATGTATACAGAATTGAACAAGAAATCATCGATGGTTGGCTCCATTTCTTCCTCTATCTCTCGTGACAACCGTCTATTCGCTACCTTAGCCCTTCTTTCTGCAGCTCGAGTTTGCAGGTTCTTCACTGATTTGGAGATGGTATCTCTAGTTCGCCACCAATCGTATCCATCATATAAATTCCATATAACATGGACATCGCGAACCCTCAATCTCAAAGGGCTATTTTGCAGATTCACCTCATTCGAGAGATTATATGTGTTCCGTGATGCATCCCATCGATGGGCAGTTCCTCCAACGGCGGATTTCTTCGAGAAATGATCCTCATCGAAGTTGAGAGTAGTATGTTCTGGATTGACATGCGCTTCCGAGTGCATGCTATTTGCAAGCAGCTCATATTCTTCGCCCGTAGCATCTTCGCTAGACGTAGCCGATTTAACACTAGCATGGAAGGGGAAGAAATCACTGATGTACCCTAGTTCGGCAGCTGAGACTTCATCGGAACCCCCTAGACCGTCATTTCCACTGCCGCTCTTTTTATTTGGGTTATAAGTGTCGATTGTTTCTGCAGCAAACGATTGAAGCAAGTTGTCGATTGGCATAACCTCTGTCCGATATTTGGCAGCTTCACAGGGAGGCACAGGAGGCGACAAGCCGCTCAGAAGTGATATAAAGGTTTGGGTAGAATCAGCACAAGTCTCAAGGATCAGTAAGTCGTTTTTCAACTCCACATCGAGCGACTTTTGGCCGTCTGCCGCCAGCTGCATGATTTTTAGGTAGATTTGAGCTGATGACGTTTCGCAAACAGATACGTAGCCTGTTTCTTCAAGCCGTTGAACTTGGGGGCTCAAACTGGCAGACCTTTTACGTCGGCCATTAGCTCTAACTGGTTCTTCCGCCTCTACTTTATCCACTATCATCACTGAGGCCTTGGCTACTTTCAAAGTAGCTTCAGAGCGAAGTTCTTGCTGCATGCATCCAGAGAATTCGACATTTGTCAAAACCACGTAACCTTTGGCAGGAGAATTGCGAGGAGTCAAGCCTATAAGGCAGTCTTTCAAAGTAACGGAGAGCCGAAGCGGAGAGGTACTACCAGGGGAAGAGTCAGCAGCAGCTGAACCCTGTGTTGAAGTTTCAAGTTCAGCTGCAGGATGGTCCGGTAGCTCAGCAAAGTTGAGTACTGACTGCGCCATATTGGCTGCTATGCCTTCCGTGGTTGCCTCATCCTCTTGCAGATCCATGAGGGACACAATAGACTCAGCTATGTATTCAACGCGCGTGTTAAAAAGCTTCAGTTTAATAGCAGGTTCCAGCTCTTCTGCTATATACCTCACCATAAACATGGGCAGCTCGTTCTCGGATTTCTTTTCCCCAGGCCTACGGAGAACAGCTGGCCCAAGAAGCTCCTCCTTTTCATTTCGTAAAATGGTAACAGTTGAAACTCTAGAGGCAATGAGGGACGGAAAACTAACATACCCAACTTCAGCGTTGTTTGACTGAAGCCGGAGTTTACCAATCTTACCACCCACAGTGACATTAACCTCGAGTTCTCTGACCAATGCTAAGGCCAGCATCCCTGGTCTATCATCCTCGGGGAGGTATTTTGCAACTCTAGCAAGTTTTGATGCTTCCTCAGCAAGAAGTGATAGCGGTTGTAGGGCAGAAAGGGAGAACACATTGGCAGTCAACCCCCCAACAGTCAAACGAAGAACGGAACCTTGCCTGCGCTGTCGAAGCAGTGTATCGATCATGATATCATCCTCTTCATCGTACTTATTTTTGGATGGTGTTAGAAGAGTCAACAGTCGATCCAAGTCAAATTCTTTTGGAGTAAACAAAAACTCGAACCGGACGTTATCCAATGCCACAAGGGCAGGGGACCCATTCCGAATTTCAGCGTTATGATAATAAAAATGGGGGCCAGTGACTCGAACTCTGTCGACTTGAACTGCAATACCTTCTGATCTTTTGACTAATTTCACCGCGGAGGTTTCCAACTTCGCACTGCATTGCTCTCCCAGTACATGGACAACAACCCCGCCGATTCGTGAGTCCAGCTTCCAAGCAGCCGAGTCAGCAGTAGAGGGTGGCTCTTTAGGGGTACTCGATGTCTGCTCAAAACGTACTGCCCGCGGCCTACGGCCAGTTTCTTGCGATTCACCCGTCACTGTTGTACCCGAAGCAATGGAATTGCCGAGTTCAATAATGGTACTTAGGCCTCCAAGCCAAGTGAGCGTTTCATCCAGCCTCTGAAGGTTGAGTGCTAGATGTAGAGGAAGGGTATTGATAGTAAGCCGGGAGCCTTGGGAGTTTTTGACAGCACTAATGGTGATATCGCTAGAGCTCGACAGGATGTCCCTCGTGGACTCCCGCATTTTCAATCCCTCGTCAAAAGAAAGGAGATCCTCTGATAAGTGGCTGACCTTGAATTTATTAATTGTAATGCGTGTTTTCATAGTGCGAGCTCCAGTTAGCGATTGGAAACCAATGCCTGCTACAATAATCTGGAGCAGCGCATCCTCAGTGTCGGTTAGGGAATTAGACGCCGAAGTTGCCACCCACGGCAAATATGAGCAACCAGGGAGGTGCTCTAGTAGTTTCAAGGAACAACTTGAGACATCAAAAAGAATAGGCACTGCTTGGCCTTCATCAACAGGGAGCTCTGCTGCGTTGTCGGCAGCAGGAGTAGAGTTAAATGATTGAGTAAAATTTTGGCCGATTTTCACCAAGAGCCACCCACAAGCAATATCAAAGTTGACCTGGAGGGAAGATACACTGATTTCGACGGCTGATTCTTTTTTGATGTTCTTCAAGATATCACTCTCATCGTCGATGTTAACACTACCAGTCTGTTGGCCAAACATGATTGAACTTGATGATGCGGAATCCCGGCGATTCCTGTCCGCAAATCGTATTCTTGGAGAGGATGCGGCCATAGAAGATTGGCCGGAGGCCACAGTTGACTCGCGCATGCGCTGGATAGGGTCGACTCGTGCCTCAGGGGACAACTCCTGTGGCGGGTCGCCGCCTAACGGGGGCAACCAGACCATGATTCTGTCAATTTCTAAAATATCCTTGACAATATCAGAGGCTGGGTCTATCAAAGAAGGCCGAGATCGTTCAGGGTAGGATTTGCCAGTGTCGGGTAAATCATTTGTTCCGGGAGCCTGAACAGATGAAGTACTAAATATGGTGCTTCCAGTAGGTGTAGCACCGGATTGATCTTCCTTATTATACAGGGGGTACTCCTGACCATCATCGGGGACCTCCTTTGTTTCCTCGATGATGCTTTCAGAACTATGGTCGCTCCAAGCACCCGGCATGTGGCCCATTAACTTCGACTCTTCTCCACCTTTCATAGCACTCAGGTACATACTGCGAGCTTCCTCGTGGGAGAATATTTTGGACTCAGAGAGTTCATCGAGGTGTGAACGTTCTGAATGGTCTGCACTTGATGTGGATGATCGGCGATCTGGAGAGACCGAGCCTGGTTCATATGGGGTAGTACGGTCCTCCCGGCTGGTATCAGCAAAAAAACTGGTGTTCACAACAGCAGTTGGTGTTGACGGTTCTTCCTCTTCCTCTTCGTCATCGTTCTGGAAGGAGTGGAATGATTGTGTTGACACTGACATAGACAAAGCGGGAGAATTACGGCCAGAAACGTGTAGACCGTCTTCATACGAACTAATATCGGGTATAGATTGCTGTCCTGGAAGATCCGCGATGGAGTCTGCCATATCGACAGAGAGTCTGGGAAGTTCAGGAGTTGAGTCAATCATGTTACTTGAGATACTTGACTCAATGGCGTCGTTCAGAAAAGCATCCATTTCATCTTCTCTTGGTTGAGTATTAGGTGATCCCGGAGCCTGGACCTGCGATCCGATTCTGTACTCTGGTTCATATTCTTCATCAGTGTCTGCATCGTCAAACCTTCCGTCATTTGACGATGAGACTGATTTTTCCAGAATTCGTGACTGCTCAAGCGGCCCTGGTGGTTCAAGTGGATCATCAAGGATAGACGACATTTTCATGGTTGCAGACTGTGCCAGTGAATTACCATATCCAAAGCTCGATGCTTGAGACGACTGACTCTTCACTGACTCCTGTTTTGTCAAGCTTGCTTTAGAAACGAGAGATGCTGTTCCTGGAGGAGCAAAACGAGAGTAGTTCGAAAATAGTGTCTCGTCAGAAACCAATAAAGCATGAAGCTGAGAGAAGACTATCAGTCGTTTTCCTGCCTTGAGTGTAGGATCTTGCGATTCAGGCGATGCCACGCCATCTATCGAGACCTCACCGAGTCTCAAGATAGCAGTTACCGGCTTCATCTTTACGGAAGATGAAGGTTTCTGAAAAGCATCCTGCTGCACCTCCATAATCACTCTCACAGACACATCTCTGATCTTAAACTGCAGACGGTCTACTACCCCTTTGATGAAACCAGCAACGAAAGTGGGTAACGTTACCCCGTCATGTAGTCCAAGAGAGGATTCTTCAGACCCATCATCGCTGAGAATGTCCGACTGGCCGATATACTGAGAGGATTGCGACGTCAACGCTGCCTCAAGTTCAGCTGTTTCTTCAATAGGTTCGGATTCGAGAAATGATTGTGCAAGATCGGTCGTAGACGGTAGTATTTTGTCATGGTCGCCATGGCCAGATCCCTTGTCGTCTTTTCCTTTCCTCCCTTGCCTTTTGCTGCCCGGTTTAGTTGGGGTGTGCTTTAAATCGAGATGGATGCCTTCACTCTCGATGATGATACTGCTAGCGTAGATATCCGCAGGTATAGTCACACGAGCAACAGAAACGCAGGCTTTCGTTATTTCAAACTCCGGCGGGAGCTGTAGGGTCTTTGCAAGATTCTAAGGATATCATACCTGGTCAGTCATGCACAGAGCTCTAGGGTGGCAACCACATCCCAGCAATATTGCCGGTGATGGGACACTTAACATACCTCCAGCCGTAAGCCAACATCCCTTAATTCAAAGGTACTCCGCTGACCCCATGTTATACCCAGGCTATCCAAATTCAACGCATCAGTATCAACGATCTCTAGCCGAGACAGGGCATATCTGAGAAGGCGTTTCTGGAAGAACGAAGGGACGAAGTACGACATAGTTCGGTCCTCCTGCCGACGATGTGCTCCTATCAAAACCTTCTTATGCTGACGGCTTATACGACTCCTGCTAATAGGCCGTCTGCATGATTGCCGAAGAGCGAAGATGAGGCGGGGGATACGGTTCGATAAGAAGATAGAACGTCCACAAGTCGTCCCAGGGCGAGCGATGAGCTGTATATCCTGACCGTAGTCCCTTGCAAAGAAGCGGTTTGGCAGGCCTATGCAAGCCGTATGAAGAGGCAGATATGTTGGTAGATATCCAGCAGTAGATGCGAGCCGTAGATGCGGACCTTGAGGCTCAACAAAATAAAATATACAGGCAAACAGGCTGACTATCAAGCAAGCAGCATCCAGCAAGCTCCAGCAAAACAAGGGAGAGGTCAAAACAAGCCACGAGAGACAGGGCTTGAGGTCTTCTTCTATTAGGTTGAAAGGGCTAAAAAGCCTCCCGAGACAGGCACTTGTCACAGGGACGTACCTAGGCAGTTGATAGAGAGAGAGACAACGGGGGATGGATGGCAGATCACCATGGACGCCCTAGCTACTGATTAAAATAAGAGGCGGAAACAACAGGGGAAACAAAACGCTGCCACGTCTGTCGCCGGCTTGGTCTGCTTGCTGTGAGGCTACGGGCATGATTTGCCATGGGCGATGCCGTGGACTGCGAGCTAGCGATCCAAATATGACGGAGTTGCGACTCGTTGTAGCTTAAACTGATGTGACTAGTTGACTTTAGGCTTTAGTGCAGCTGACTAAGCGGTTGCTCTATCAACGAGACCCAAAGAGGAGCTTCATGACCGACTCAGGCGACTTCTTTTTGCACGTAACAAGACTAAGTCGATGTTGCTATGATAGCCACTAGCTCATCCTAATACAGCCTTGTCTATGGACAGCGATTTCGCTCGCAGAGAAGGCCATGGAAGCCAGCAAAAAATAGAAGATAGAAGAGTTTACTCATGGCCTGGAACGTCGGAGCCAAATTCGAGAATCACCCACTGACAGAACTGCTCAAACTCGATGTGCCAGTTGCGTATGAATTCGCTCTTCTTTCCGGCTCCGGTTATTCCTCGCTTGATGTCTGCAAGCCAGGCCGCGTTGTCTTGGTCCTCGAAGCAGCTCCATCTCAGCGAGTTCTCGGCCATGGTAGCAAGGCCCGAAAGACCAACGTTCTCAAGTCCATTCAGAACCTGACAGAAGTCATGGGTAAGTCCGTTCTTGCCGTGGCCGAGCATCGTCGGGTCATCGTTGCAGAGTGACACAGCTACGCCTCTAGCCAGCAGGGCCGGAAGCGGGTGTGACATGATGGAACTAGTGAACCGTAGCACTTCGTTCGAGATTGGACAGCATTCCACCATAATCTTCTTCTCCTTGACCAGGTCGATCAGCAGGGGGTGCTTGTAGAGCGAGAATGCATGACCAATTCGGCGAGAACCAAGGAGAATAGCATCGTACAGGTTCGAATCTGTCTCATCGCCGTCTCCCAGGCACTCTCCTGCGTGAAACATGAACGGGATCTCGACTCCCTCCACAGCACACTGTTTTTTGAACCAGAATAGCACTGGAATCATGTCAACTAGCGGCCTCCCGTCATCTTCACGCCCGACCAGGTCAAAGCCGCATATGAGCTCAGGGAACTGCAGCTTAGTGAGTATGCACTCTTTCATGCTCTCCACAATGTCACGGTTCGTATAGCGTCGCATGGTCGTCCATATCATCCGCGCGCCGTGGAATCCCTGGCCTGCTTCTGAGGCTTTAAATCTTTCTATCTCTTCTCCAAACGCCTCAAATAGGGAGTCAAAGTTGGAGTCAGGTTCTTCACACTTATCACGGCGATATTCAAATTCAAATGCTAGCCGGAATTCAACATATCGAATGCCATCTTCGTTTAGCTCCGCTAGCATATGTTTGAGACATGCTCGGAATATTGGCTCATAGTAGAGCATTGCATCTACTGCCTGGAATTTTCGATCAAGTACTTCCCAGATAGCCGCACATCCATGATGATGGCTCAAGGATGTCTCTTTCTCGATAGTACATCTCCCTTTAAGCCAATCACGAAACCCTTTGACTCCACCACCTGGGAATTTTTCGGCTGCCTCTTTTACTGGAATGAACAGCTGTGGTTTATACGTTGAACTCCAGATGCTAGTCGCGTCGGATCCAGACCCAACATTTTGTGGCTTGGAAAAATACTGAAGTCGTAAAGGGGAAAGTTGGAGGGCTCCCGCTATCAACGGTTGGTCTGACGCAATGTGAATGCCAGGGAGTGACAGCACTTGGTTTATCAGGACATCCAAGTCAACCATAGCCTCCAGATGGACGTGTAATAAAGCTCCTTCAACAGATAATTAGCCGACATCTATACTTCGCCATCATTTCGTGTCTAGGCCCCGGTACTGTATCACAACCCACCTTTTGGCATCTTCTTCACTATTTTCCATAAATCTGTTCCTTCCATCTTATCCTTGGCTAGTCGGAACATCATTCCCGGGTAAAGCACCGTATCCTGCGTCTTTGCTACATGTTCCTCCGCTTCCTTATTCCAGACGCTCTTTAGTTCTCTATCACGAATATGTGAGATAATCCGGCATGCCTCCTTTGTTGAAACTGACATGCATTTTTGAAAGTGGGCATCTATAGAAAACAGGGTCAGTTATAAACAAGCCTGAATTGCGAAATCATCTGCAACTTGAGAGCTTTTGTATAGTTTTTGGCTGAGATTCCATCCACCCATTTTTTGAAGAGGATATGGGGTGTCTGATGGACTTAATGACTACTCACCATGCCTCTGTTTTTTCTCTTCTTGAATCAAGGAATTCCTCCCTTGTAAGTATTTTTGGATGAACTGGTCTTCAACTTGGGGTATCCCCTCTTCTACTTCCCAGGCAGCAACGTCATCCTGATTCTCGTCTCCCCGGGCCTCGGTATTGAGAGTTAATTCCATCCTATTTTCCTATAGTTAGTAATCACTGATATCTGTTTAATATATGTGTTTCTTACGAAATTGTGTTGTGAGATCAAAGATGCAACTAGCAACATCAACTTCGACTCACAACTACAACTCTATGACACTTGCCTATCTAGGATGATTGTATCTCGTTGATGATTGGCTGAGAGTGTAAATAGACTGGCTCAGGGTAGCAAATACATAGCCAATAGCGGAGCTAGCAATATATATTATCCGGTGGCTTAAATAATTCAGAAACAACACCCACGTGATATGGATTTCGAGCTTTGAGATGGAATTTTTGATGCTTCACGATGCAAGGAAAGCCGGACAGCAAAGCGCCAGCCGGTAATCAATCCACCAAGAGCCTTTGAATTTGTGACTGTTGCATATATTACTGCAGCATTGGCTCCAGCGAACCGCTGATTTCCCCTTACTCGCCAGACAGGCTTGTTTTCTTGGGCGCGGTGCCCAGGAGAGTGCGGCAATCATGAACTCAACACGCAGCCAGCTTCTCCGCATATGCGGAATACCCTTCTCTCAATCAGCCATTAGGCCTGCTGCCTCCTCGATACCGTCTCTTGTTCGCCATGCGCAGCCTCTAGCTACGAGGACAGTAGGAAACATCGCCAGGCCCAACCTGATATCTTCTCCATGTTCTTCTCCTTATTCTACTTCGACATCGACTCAATCTCAAACGCCCGCCTCCGACGCTACCTCCACAACAACAACAACATCCTCCTCAGCTACCACTCTTCCTCCAGGTGTCAGCCGTAGTTTTGGCACTGTCATCTCTGCCGGCCGTATGCAACGCACTGTTCGCGTGGAACAAATACGCACCAAATTCGACAACTCCCTCCAGAAGCGGTTCCTCGAAAAGAAAATTTACATGGTCTCTGACCCCCGCGATTCACTGCGAGAAGGTGACAAGATTGAATTTTGGAGTGGCCGACGCGTGAGCGAGCATGTTAGACATGTAGTTGAAAGGATTATCGTACCTTTTGGATCGGCAATCGAGGACCGCCCACCAGTTATGACATATGCGGAAAGGGTGGAGGAAGAGCTGAGTGCCCGAAAGAACAGAAGACTTAGGAGGCTTGAAAGAATGGCGGATGGTCAGCCCATTGATGCTGAAGTGACCGGAGAGTTAAGAATGGGAAAACTCAAGCAACGAGTGATAAAGAGACTGGAGGCTGAGAAGGAGAAGCAGAAGCAATCCAATGTGTAAGGGATGCATGTTTCCGCATGGCCATGATTGATATTCTTTTTACGCACTTTGTTTAGAAGGTGGTTTTGGCAGCATTTGAAGAGTTCCATGTATTAGTAGCTGAATATTGTAAATTAAAATCACAGAACTAAAATCTGCATACCCATGTTGAAGATACTTTATCTCTTTGCTTGCCATTAGCGCGGACAATTGACCATTTGGTATAGCAACATTAATAAAATCCAACATACTGCAGATTAACCATATCAGGCATTGAGTGTTATTCTTGCTAAAGGCAATTATTTGACTTCGGGGTTTAAACTTGCCTACATAGTTGTATGAATAGCTAGGAGGGCATCGCTGTTGAGCAGATGGGTGCGGTTGAATACATCGGACATTTTAATATATTTTGCGATGCATAACAATACAATTGGAAGCCACCCGTCCAAATCACCCAAGCCGAACCTCAAGAGAACAAATAACGCCAGATGATATGAACCCAGAATGCCACTCAAGCCCACTTCTTCTAGCCCCTTAACTACCTCGGGAGGAAACGCCAGAGAACTTCCATGCAATGCAACTCCCGAGAACACAGAGTCATAGAGGGTTCTCAGCGACTCCAGGAGGTAAAACAATAGACATAAGTTTTTCCAGTAAGCAAATGCAGGGAGAGAAACATATATACGACATATATCACGGGCTGGGTAAAAAAGGGTTTAGCCCCCTCTTTCTCCAAAATTTTTTGCCCATTCATCATAACGATCTAATCCATCTTGACTCACACTGGGCCGGATCGAAAGTAGCGAAGCTTCAAAATCCTTAAAGGAGATAGGGGATATCTTTTCCATTGGTATGTGAAGGAGGTCCTCGCCTAGGTTGCGTAATGGCCCCATTGCCGCATCCTTTGCAAGGGCAGTAATATCAGATCCGGAAAAACCTAGTCAAAGAGTTAGAAACTAAGAGCAATGGACATGAGAAGTGTATGGTGGGTTTCTTACCTTCTGTAAGACTAGATAGTTTATCAATATCAGCATCTGAGAGCTCATGCTTTTGATGGCTCAACAGCTTCCGTAGTTGTAACTTTCGCACCTCAGGTTCTGGGAGAGGTATATACTGCCTTCGAACAAATCTGCGCCGAGCTGCATCATCAATATCCCATGGCATATTCGTTGCTGCGAGAACTAAAACTCGCGATGCATCGCCTACTTTCTTGTCCTTATGGTTTTGTTCTCTGCCAGCAGCAGCTCGTTGTAAATCAGACCACTGGATAAGGAACTCCGTTTTGATCCGCCTGGAGACTTCTGCTTCACTGGACCGGGATCGTGAGGAAAGCAATGCATCAATCTCATCAACGAATATGATAGACGGAGCTAAGGCTTTTGCTAGTCCAAAAAGAGCTCTAACTAGCTTCTCACTGTCCCCATGCCATTTAGAAGCTAAACTCGAAGCCGAGACTGAGAAAAATGTAGACTGCGATTCGGTAGCAACTGCTCTGGCCAACATAGTCTTCCCAGTGCCAGGGGGACCGAAGAGTAGCATGCCTCTGGCGGGCTCACGAAGCCCCATGAAAAGATCCGGGCGAAGGAAAGGGTATACAACAGCCTCTTTTAGAGCTGTCTTTGCAAGTTCTAGACCGGCAACATCATCCCAATGCACTTCATCGCCGTGTACCACTATTTCTTTAAATATTTGTTTAGCAGACTCCTTATCAACCCCTTTTGGCAAACTGCTCAGCGCTCTTTTTAAAGCTAGGTCTTCATCGGGGTCGTATTCGGGCAGGTCAATATCACTGTCAACACTGTCTTCATGAACGGGTATTTCAACCGAGTGTTTACTAGATTTGGATGTTGTTCTCTGTGGTACAACCGCCGGGCGATTTGTGGGTATTGCAGTCTGGATACTTGATTGTCTCGATTTACCGTTAGGAGGCAAGTCATTGCGGCCTTCATTGTTTCTACTAGCGTCTTTTATACTAGGTCGTGGCTTAGAAAGTGCAGAGCTTGGTTTGACAGCCCTTCTCTGGCCAACTTCATCCGGTGAAGCCTTACTTGGGCGAGACTGGGTTGTGGTTAGCCCTGCTGAGACAGATCGTGCAGGTTCGATAGCGGAGCTTTTAAGCGAGGTAGGAGGTCTGGATTGTGGTGGGCTATACCCAGAATCATTCTTCTTATCCAGCTGTTTTGATTTCTCAAAATGGCCTCCTTTAAGTTCCGGAGAAGAATCCTGAAAGCTGTTACAAGATTCTCCTTCCGTTGGTCTTTGAGCGGCGGCTGCCGCCGCGGCAGCACCAGCAGCTAGACTCGCAGCAGAGTGATCTCCCGATATTCTTCGTGTGAGTGGAGAGCTGGAGAAATAATCTAGCCGGTGAGACGCCCGGGTTGGCGGTGAAGCTTCGTCAATAGAACGACGACTTTGGAGAACATCCCTTCGCGAACCCGAGTCACTCGATGTACTTTTGCGCGGAGTCGAAGGCGCAGACTCGTTTACCGGAGAAATCTGGCCACGTCTGGATGAACTTGACTGAGTAACGAAGCTCCATGCCAAACCAGCGGCTTTAGACGCCGGCCTTGAATGCTTGCGTGGTGGTGTGCTGGAGTTCGCAGGAGGTTTCAGATCCTTGCCACGAAGTGTCGTGAGCAAGGTCTTCTTTTTCTCCGGGTTCTGCAGTCGATTTGTATCCCTAGGTATTGTTGGCACTGGAAGCGGGGGAGGAGAGGGTAGGGAATCCAACCCTAGACCACGAACAACACCCGAACTGGTGTGGGAAGTAGGTGTTATCGAATTGAGGCTCTGCTGGCTCTGTGTGGTGGATCGAGGGGGTAATGATGGTGGTCGTGGCAGATCCGGGTAACTCATGGATGGGATAGTTCCCTCACCAATCCATCCCGAATTGCCACTGGTGGAACTCTGAGATCCGTTTACCTGAGGTCTTGGTTTTTCCAGCTTTCCTTTCGGGGCAGGCGTCACTTTCCCATCAACGTCCATGCCGGCCTCTTTACGACTTTCCCGTAGGGTTTCCAGGAGTGTGACTCTTTCTTTGCATTGCAATTCCAGCTCACGCAACGATTCTTGAAGGCCACGCTCAACGTCGTTCTTAGGAATATAAGTAGATGGGACTTTATGCGCATTGTGATAGTAGAGTGCGTCTAGCGCAGCTTTCCAGGTTCGTAAAGCTTCCAGCTCATTATTCTAGGGAAAAGATAAGAGGAAAAAAGTTAGCAACCAACTCCGTACCTAGCGATGTTGATATCCCTCCATCTCGACACCTGTGCCAGAATGGACTGGCGGGGTATTGGAAGCGTAGCCGGAGGGAACAAGGGTAGAATTAAGTACCTGATTCTCGAAATACACGGCCGTCGAGCACATCAAATAGCAGTCATCGTATGTCTTCTGCATAGAAGACGAAGCTTTAGGACGCATCATAGCTGCAGTGGGCAAGCGAATAAAAGGACTCCCCTCACCCCATAGAATTAGACCAACCACCCAAATGTCATCAGTAACCCGAAGAACAACCCTGCGAAACCTGCGCAGGAGGTCATTAAAAGTACCACGACAGAGACAAGTCAGACCGCCCCCCGGAGCTGAGATTCTTCGAGTCAAATGGGCTATTGCCGACGCTGTCTAGCGCTGTTGTCCGCCGGCTCGACGCCAAGAGAATCGGTAGTTATTGGCTGTGGTAAAATCAAAGCGCACGCCGGTGCACAGCGCCGAGAGTAGCTATAATATCTGCGGAGCACCAGGCTGTATGTGTTGGGTGGCAGGTAGTTATGGGCTTCGAGTGTTGAGTGTTGCTATAAACTTGGCTGGACGAACTTCTCGAAGTCGCAAAGTTGCTCCCATCGCCATCGTTGGCGGCGCCACATCCGCACTTAGTCATCCATCGTGGAGAGCGGCAGCCGGATCATGGAAGATGCTGTACACGATGGCTGCAAGACCGCAGTATCTACTGTAAAATGGTTGTTAATGGAGGCTAAGTAGCTAAATAACTGGACATTGCTCCCTGCAGCATGACGTTTTGCCTCGTGGGTAACTAAAGAAGCAAGCATATCGCTGCCCTGGGCGATGTATGGCCGTATCCAGTGGAGATCTCCCGCTCCCTTGTCAAGATTCCATTTGCTTAACATGCACGGAGTATTGAGGTCATCTAAGTCTATTAATCATGTATCTTACATTTATATAATAAGTAAAAGGGCATTTGTGCAGCTGTTGTACAAAAGAGAAGGCAAGAAAAGGAAGCGTCCAAAACTCCGTTACATGCAAAATGTTACGCTCAAAATAGCCACTAAAAGACGGAGAAGAGTGTGATAAAAAGCACCTTAATGTCTTCGGGTGTGCGATTTTACCGCAGGGCGCGTTGATTTGGTCATACGCTTGTTTTCCTCCTGCGCTCGGTGCTTCAGGGTGAAGGCATATGTGCTCAATGGCATCCGGCTGCCAACGAACTTCCCCTGAGGGCTGAACAATTCGACTTTAGGGAAATCATCCGGTTCTCTTGTCCTAGTCCTGACTTGGCAAGTAAGCTCTATCCATCCACAGCCCTCGATAAGGATGTCGACTCCCATTATGCGGTATAATGATGGCAAGGATCCATTAGGAAGAGGTTTGGCGTATCTGGCTGTCACATCATACTTCAATTCAACTATCCCAGCAGAGGTGATTTGCTCCCCGATACCTTCTTTTGCAATGTTTCCTGTGGGGCATTCTCTTTGTTGAGCCAGCATCTCAGCTGCCTTGTCTTTGTGAGTAACATGTGCTTCCAGAGAAACAAAGGGGGAGGCCAGAAAAATCTCGTTCTCTTCCAATGGCTTAATTCCGATCAGGCCTCCAAGAAGAAGCGACTGAGAGGGTTTGATTGTTAGTTGGGTTGGCCTCGGGCGGCTCGTCATCACAAGGTCGGACTTATGCTTGTCTTGTACGAACTCGTCGAGGTTGGAGCGGAAAAGTCCAGGTAGGTCAATAACCTCTCCCCGGTGCTTGTCAAATGGTATTCTGATGGGAGAAGCAGTGGTTCCAGGACGGACAGAGTCAATCGGGAGATTGGGAAAAGGAACTTCCTTTTGTAGCGGCGGAAGCAAGACAGCGACTCCGTCCTCTCCACCATCCAGCTCCTCAACTGCTGTAACATCTGTTTCATCTGGAGGAGTAGAACGGCCTATTATAGTCACTCCTTTGTAATTTTGGATTTTTCTGGCCTTGTATGCAGGTGCCGTCTTTGGGAAAACCGATGTTATCAGTTTGCTTTTGCCAACATTTGCCTTCCCAACCATCCATACGCCACCGCCCTGGTTCCAGATGTCTTCTTTAATCTCCTTTGTCCACCAGCCCCTATAGGAGCTAACCATATGAACATTTCCTAGCCTGATACCATGTTCTTTGCGGTCCAAAGTTTGTCGCAAGATCTCGACCATATTCTTCATTAGCGAATCTGCTTGAGGCTTCACATTCGAAAGTAGGTCAGCTCGGGTGATAACGAAATTAAGCTCCGCTAGATATCGACTAGATCCATACTTCTTCGTATGCGACCTTCGGTTTTGGCTGCGCTGAGGTTGTAACGGCACATATTTTTCGAGATTGGGGATAACGGAGAGTGGAAAATCGGCGGCATCGAGAACATGGTAAATATAGTTGTTATGGAAGGGCGATTCCTCGATTAAGTCGCGTATATAAGATAACGTAGGGTATGGTATTGGGTCCCCTTCTCCATGGTTGATTAGATTGTGGCATCGGTCACAGAGTGGAATTGCTATGTCTTTAGACTCTTTGGATTCCGAGGTGAGTTTATCCTCGGTCTCTAGCTCGAAAGAAGAACTTCCATCTGATTCCTTTTCCTTCGTGGCCTGTCGAATATATTGCTTCACAGGTTTCCGAGTTATAGTATAATACCCAGGCTCCTTAGGATATACCCATTGCGTTAATGCGCCGCAACCATGGCATGTTTCGGGAAGAGCCCATGTTTCTAGACTTTGTGCTGCAGTTTGCAAGCTCTCAGTGGAGTTATATAGTCTTTGCTGTCTCGGGATGAAGGGAAATGTTGCAGGTGGTGTAAAGGATGCGCTATGCGGTTGAAGAGTTCGCCATTGCGACAAACAACGAATGGACGTATATTCTCGGAGGATAGATGGTGTACGGCGGAGGATGTTTCGAGACTGAAACCTGACAATAGGAATTACCATCGCGCACTTATTCCTTTCTTCAATGTATATTGAAACCCAGTCCCTGACAAGTTGCCGAAATTTTGAGCTTCAATTGACCAGGGCCCAGATCTTCCTTATCAGCGTAATATTAAATTTTCCGAGATCCGAAGATCTGATAACGGAAACTTTATTTTCTGTGCTTAAACGGGACCTATGGGTAATGGATATAGACAGTATGCAACAGTAGGGTTCGTTCTTTTGTGGTAATAACTAGGTGATTAATATAATACAACATCAAAAGCCATGACTAGAGCTAATTTGCCAAAAACTCCATGTTCCAGCTGCGCCAACGAATAGAATTAAAACGTAATATCAATATCATGCCCTTGCCTTCCCTTTGCCTTTGGTATCGGTCTCATCAACTTCATCCTCTTCGTCCTCTGACATGAGGTCTTCGTCATCATCGTCCTCGTCATCGAATCCAAAGAACCGTCTGGCTGGCTTCTTTATACTCGCACTAGGCTCGTTAGGAGAATCTTCCTCATCAATGTCCTCCATCTCGCTGTCCTCGCTGGCATCGACGGACCCTCCACTTCCGCTGCTTCCACTAGCTTCGGCGCTGTCCAGGAATCCCCCAACAAGATTATCCTTCCAGGCGCCCCCTGCCATTGCCTGTAGAACAGCCTCACGAGCCTTTTCGCTCATCTCTTCCTTATCTTCCATCCATGCGCCATCAACTTTCCCCTTTCCTTCACCGTTTCGGATCTCTTGCTCCTTCTTCTCTGCAGCCGCAACAGCAGCCTCCCATCGCCTTTTTCGAGCTTCCTTCTCTTTTTTATCCATTTCCGGTTTCAAGGCAAGATATTCTGCCAGGGCCTTTGCCTCTTTCACAGTCCGCAGACGGCGGCCATCGAGATTACGGTTCGAGCCGGTGTTTGTATCCTGGTTCCCCTTTCGCCGACTAGACATTCGGCCTCCGGCAGCTCTGAGCTGAGAGCCAAATCCTCCCTTTCCACCGCATACACGGACACTGAGACGGAGTGGTAGGAAAGTCGAGGTAGGGTTTGCGATGCCATTTTCAACGTCTGGTATAAGGCTCGTAAGTTTTGCAGGCGAAGAAAAGCAGATTTGCTTGTTGCTTGTTGTTGTCAAGATCAAAGGCGATGATTGAGATGCTAAGGGGAAGGGAAGATGGGCGCTTATTCTCTCGGTCAGGTCTGCGATAGAGGATGTTGACGGTAGAGGTATGGCCAAAGTCGGTGGGAGGGAGAGGCCAGGAAAAGATGACAGAAGAACGTTAATAGTTGATGGCGCCATGTTGGAAAAGTATTTATTTGGAGTAGAGAATAAGGTATTGACTTGTCTTTACTCTGTCAATATGAATGACTGCTGCGTTGCCGTGCTCACTTTGAAGAAGTTGCTGCGATCTCAAAACGTACGTTGCCGTCAAAGCTTGGCATATACACGTGATGAAAGATAATCATCACGTGAAATATGATTATTAACAGAATTAGGGCAAATCGTTCGCGAACCCTAAAAATTTGCTTTAACACAACTTCAATCCAGCTTATCGCGAGTTTGGTCTACATTTAACCACCTTCACCCATAACTACGTATCGCATTGTCAAAAGCGATTCCCCGAAAAGCGCCAGGAACTCGCGACAATGTAAGTTAATATTCCTCTCGATTACCAAGTTTCCGTCTACTAACTGTCCGGTTGTAGGTTAATTCCAAAGGCTGACCGCAAGCTCATCCACGAGTACCTCTTCCGCGGTATGCATGCGATTACCCAATCTATAATCTCCAAAATGATATTGCGGAAACTAATTGCTGTATTTCATGTATTTCAGAGGGTGTTCTCGTGGCCAAGAAGGACTACAACCTACCCAAGCACACCGACATTGACACCAAGAACCTCTATGTATGTGCTTGGATATGAAAAAAAAATTTATTATATCGAGGGAACCATGCGCAAATGCTTACGGATATTGATACAGGTCATCAAAGCCTGCCAGTCTTTGACTTCTCGCGGCTACCTCAAGACCCGTTTCTCGTGGCAGTACTACTACTACACCCTCACCCCTGAGGGTCTTGACTACCTCCGTGAATGGCTCCACCTCCCAGCTGAGATTGTGCCAGCTACGCACATCAAGCAGCAGCGCTCGCACGCTCCCCCACGCGGTATGATGGGCGGCGAGGAGCGCGAGAGACGTCCTGGTGGTCGTGGTGGTCCTCGTGGCGAGCGTGGCGACCGTGATGGTGGCTACAGACGCCGTGAGGGTGGTGAGGGCAAGGAGGGTGGTGCCCCTGGTGAATTCAACCCATCTTTCCGTGGTGGATTCGGCCGTGGACGCGGCGGTGCCCCAGCCCCATCTTCTTAGATCAAATCTATCGATATGACTAGACAGGAAGCATATATAAATGTATGCGTTTTGTCTGGACGATTGGTATGATAATGGATGATGGAACGTGACGGGTAAAAAGAAACAAAAACGAATATACAGATATGACGATAGCTAGATATATATCAATGGCATTTAATTCGTCATCAAGGTGCCCTAGGGGTATTTCCAGTTTTATTTTTCACTATCATGGCTAATCTTCGGGGACTGTCTACTTGAATCGCTTCCTATCGTACCTGACAACGGCTTGTAAAATGACAGACGCACCATTCACACAGTCCTCAGCAGATGAAAATTCCTCTGGATGGTGACTGACTCCATCCTTGCACGGCACGAAGACCATACTGGTTGGAACCCTCTTGTTAGTGAAGACACTATCATGCCCAGCTCCGCTGCGAATGGTCCTATACAAAGACTCCGGGCTTGGCTTATCCGCAACAACAGCCTTAGCGGACTCCGTGACGCACTCGATACATTCGGGATGGAACTTGGTAGCAGGAGTCTCAAAGTCCAGCTGCCACTCTACACGGCAGGGCTTGCCTATACCCTTTCCTTCCTCGGCAGCAATGGCATCAAATTCTTTTCTCAGCTCAGCATCGACGACATCTACATCCTCTATTTCAGGACCACGGATATCGAAACTGAAGCTGACGAAGCCTGGCACAGTGTTGACGCTACCTGGTTTGACATCCACAATGCCAACGCTGGCAAGACAGCCGTGCTTATCGGCTACCTCACGGGCTTTCACCATCATTCTTGCAGAGGCGTACATGGCGTCAGCACGGTGCTGGAAGGCAGTGCTACCCGTATGGCAGTCTCGACCGGTTACGTTTATGCGGTACCAGCGATATGCCTGGACCCCTGTGACGACGCCAACATGCTGGCCGGCAGTGACGAGATGAGGGCCCTGTTCGATATGAAGTTCGAAATGGGCTGCCATGGGGAAGGATTTGTAGGAGCAAGGGACGCTGCCTAGGTAGCCGATCTTTTCGAGGGCAGACTTCATGGATTCAGGGGCTGATGCAGCTGAGGGTAGTGAGGCGACTGTTGGCACTTCTAGGAGTGAATGAGCGGTTTCTAGGGATATTCCCTCCGCCCAGACACCTGCCGATATCATGCTCTTGGGGAACCTGGCTCCCTCCTCGCTATTTATGCAACTGTTAGCTTGTACATGCTGGTATGCTTTTTTTTTTGAATAGCGTATACGAACTTTGTCCAATTGACTACGCCAACACCGCCCTCTGTCTCGATCCCCTTCTCTTCGAGGACTTTCAGCATCTCAATACCAGCACAGACACCAAGAATACCATCGTAACGCCCTCCAGTAGGCTGGGTATCCAGGTGACTTCCTACAAATGTAGCTGGTACATCTGCTCTCTTGCCAGGTCTGACAGCGAAGATATTTCCCATGCTGTCAACTGTGACACTGCATCCAAGCGACTTTGTCGTCTCCACAAACCAGTCTCGGACCTGCTTGTCCTCCTGGGACAGCGCGAGACGGGCCATGCCGGTCTCAGTAGGGTGGCTAGGTGTCTGTTAGCTATCTAGATCTTGTAGCGTAGCAAACCCACTTACTCTCCCCATCTAATGCCGGCACCCCATTGGCAGCTATGATGGATCCATTCCTGCAGTCTCTCCTTGTTGGCTTTCAGGCCAGCGACATCAGCTTCAGATAGCTCAGTAGTCAACATCCTGTCTCTCAATCCTGTCTTCTTCTCTGCATTTCCCGTGGAATAGAAGCCATCTTCGGCAAGGGCGTCTCCCCTATTTATATATCGTAGCAAGCAACAGCCGAGCGGGGTGCGGAGAAGCGCCCGGTGGGCTGCTAGCCGGCGCCGAAGTTGTCCATACAGGGCGTGTCCTTTGGTAATCCCGAGAGCGTCACTTTGGGCATATATCCAGTAATCATTTAGTTAGGTATACGCCAGTTATATTGCTTACTTAAAGGCTGATGATGCCGTTCTTGCGCTGCCGCGAGTATCTCGACATCCTCTATGCAAGCAAAAAAGCACACGACACAGCGATACTGCCACGCACGCCTCTCTGGCCTCTACCAGCCCAAACCGCCCTTTTCCTCCCGTTCTTTTTTGATAGACAAAAGTAACAGGGCACAGGGATGCCAAAAGTCAAAATCTCGCGAGCAAAAAATAAAACTATCGACCGACTGTTGTCGATATCAGGAGGTTCAAAGATTGGTGAGCGGAGTATTATGGGCAAAACCACGGCCATCTCTGGTAAAAGGCAAGAAATGGATTCTGAGCTAGTTTGTCCCACTCCTCGCAGTTTCTCCCGTGACTTGCTTATAAGGAGTGGGCCTCGAGGCCGCAGGTTCGAGCCCCTGGCAGCTCCTTCTTTTTTCATTCCTTTTTATTTTCGTTCCCGTCTGTGATGTAATCAGGATCAGGAAGTAAACACCCGCAACACCCCGCGCTCAACATCGACTCCTTCTTCTCTGCATACACGGGCGACTTTCACTAGGCAGTCAACAGTCAGCATCTAACTACTGGCCTTAGACAATGGCTTCCAACGCTGCTTGTATCTTCTGCAGGATCATCAAGGGTAAGCAAACAGCCCTTCAACGATGGTAGTTACTAGTACTAACCATCACAGGTGAAATCCCTTGCATGAAGCTCTTTGAGAGTGACCGCGTCCTTGCATTCCTGGACATCCAGCCTCTCAGCAAAGGTCATGCGGTCAGCTCAACCTAGTCTTTTTTATTTTTTATTATTATTTTTGGGTGGACTAGTTATGGCAGGGAATAATATGCTGACTCGGTTCATCCTGCGTAGCTTGTGATTCCTAAGTATCACGGTGCTAAGCTCACTGATATCCCGGATGCAGACCTGACGGAGCTCTTGGTGCGTTTGACCCATTGGACCCTGTCCCCGGCTGGACTTCCCTCCCAATGCTAACTTAACTGGTTATGAAGCCCGTTGCAAAGAAGATTGCTCTTGCAGCTGGTGTTACTGATTACAACATCCTCCAGAACAACGGCAGGGCAGCTCATCAGGTCGTGGACCATGTAAGTGTTACACCGTCAAATTTACAAATCAAAAGTTGACACAATTGCTAACTGCTGTTTCCTAGCTTCACGTTCATATGGTAAGCCATGGTTTTATCCATCTATCTGTATATCTATATATCACTCTAACCTCCTGTAGATTCCAAAGCCCAATGAAAAGGAGGGTCTTGGTATTGGCTGGCCTGCAAAGGAGGCAAACCAGGACGATCTCAAGGCTCTCTTGGAAGAGCTCAAGTCTAAGATGTAAAGAGCCACGCTGAAAGCGGCGAAGAGAGGTAGCGGAACTAGTAAGAAGGGGTATCTTATTGCCATAATATTCATTTCTTGTAGATATATGGTATATCTCTTCGCACTCAAATACATATATGTACGCACACACAAAAAAATGCCGCAAGGGCCCAGTATAGACCTGCCCCAAGGTGAAGTCTGACGTACACTCCAACTTTATAACCCTCCTCTACCCGAGAAAATAATAATAAAAAAGAAATAAGGGGAAGAAAGTAAAATGAGAAGGAAGTCAAAATTCAACACATACAACCGCAGTATATTATGTTCCATCTTAGAATGTACTCAGGCCTCAATGGCTACGAGGTGATGAGATTCCACGTAGCAATTAGGAGGACATCTAGCCGAGCAGAAAAAAGCTACCCCATGTTTATGCAGAAAGGACGCAAAGCGAAAAAAAAAAAAAAAAAAAAAAAAAAAAAAAAAAAAAAAAAAAAAGGTATAAAAAATGCATGGGATGGCAGGATCAAACAGCAGGGGCAATCTGTTCGGCTGCAACTGGAACAGCATCTCCATTCACCTTCTCAGATAGTTGCGGAGTAGGCGAGAGCTCCTTGGCTTCATCTTCCTTTGAAGGCGGGATGAGGCCCAGGCGATCATACATGGATCTCGCACGGATATATGGGTCAAGCTGCCAGTAGTTCTCACAATATTTCTCAGCAAGCTCAGTCCTGGTCTTCTTTACGGAGCTTTTCTCCTCCTCTTTGGCAGTAGGATCTGACTTGGAAGCGATCCAGGCCAAAGTTGCTTCCTGGAAAGCGCCGGCTATCTCCATTCTGGTCTTAAATAATTCATCGCGGCGGCTAGTATCCCATTGTTTATCATTTTCACCCTCTATGGGCTCGACATATTTATAATCATACTCGTCATCGCCACCAAGGGATTTTAGAAGGTTGTTCCGGGGAATGACAGCTTCCAGGTCCTCGGGGGTCTTGGTGAAATGCACCTTTGCCGCAACCACGGGATCAAGCCACCCCTTTATAACAGCCCAGATGCTGGAGAATATCCAGGGGGCTTTATGGACTAAAATAATGCCCAAGCTTTCGGGATAATTGGCCTCAAAACACTTAATCATGAATTTGATAGGGGTATAGTCCTGTATCCTGTTAGTGTTGATAACGCAAAGAAGGTATTAATTTGAGCATACCATATTTGCAAGTGAGAAATCAGTCATATCGAAGACAAGCGCCTGTTTATAATGTTAGTGTTGCTCCAATGGTGAAGAAAACGCGGGACAGCTTACAGCAGTCTCGACTGGGCTTTTTAAAAGTAGTCTGGACGTCTCAATAAGGTATACAGTGTATCTTTCAAGACTGGACTCGCAGTGAGCTCCAATTCGGTGCAGGCGCACTCGAATGTAGCATATCGGTCGCCCAGCCTTGTCGGTACTATGTATAAAACTCTCACCCAGCTGAAGAAGCTTTGCAAAATCAGAGGCCTCCTGCTTCTTGGCAAGATCCTCGCTTTTGCTCTCTTCTTCCATAAAACAGTCACCTTTAACCATAATATCATCGAGATGCATGGTCTGTGACCTCCATCGGAATGCAGATACTAGCATGACCAGGGCACGGTTGACGTCATACTTGCGTGCACGAAGGAATCGAAGTAATAGTGCATCGGGGTGGTCGTGCTTGACCATGCTCCAGAACGCAAGCCTTATGTCTTCTGGCGAGGTGTCCTTCAGAGCTTCAAGAAACTCCCTTGTCTCGCCGTACTTGTCGTCGGCGTCGGATAACTTCATCCCCGCGACTGAGCTCGCCACGCTATCTGACGACGGGGAGTCACTGGGACTCTCGCTCTTCCTGCTAAAGAAACCCAGTCTCTTCTTAGGTTTCTTCGCATCAGGCGTACTGGTGTCGGAAGGTGTCGCACCCTCTCCATTTCCATTCTGTTGTTCTTGTTTCTGATCGTTCTCGGGCTTCTCACTAGCAACCACCCCGCAAACCTTGAAAAGCGCAGTCCAGAGCTCCTGCAGCTTCTCTTCCTCCTCCTTCGTCAGATTCCCGACATGGCCGGTAGGCTTCTGTTGTTCGGTCATGATGGCGTGGTGGTGGATATGTGGGGGTTCGATTCGCTTTGGAAGTGGGACAGCCGGTAGCGCTGGATGCTGCTGCTCTGGGTCTCGTATATATAATGCACCGAGTGCAAGCCCACTACATAGAATGAGCGCGGAAACAGAAAGTGTCCACACGGAGGACGCCCGCACGATGCGCTCCTGTTCGCAACCGGACCTCGGAAGTGCGCGGGAGGAAAAAGGAGCTCCTGAAGACAGGGTATTCTCCCCTAGGCTGAGCCGGGGCAATTGCACCTGATAACGGACGCAACGGCCAAGAGTCACAGGTTTAATCAACGCGAGCAGCGATTGAGGTGGTATCTTGAAAGGAGAGCGACAGGGGAGTCGATTGCGCATATGTACTTTCGGTAGGAGGATGATGGCTGATGGATACGGGGCCCGTTTCGAACTAAGGCAACTTTGAACACGCGGGAGAGAGGGAGAAAAAAGGCGGGGGAAGGAAAAGGAGAGAAATTAAGAAGAGAAGAAGAGAAGAAGAAGAAAAGAAAAGATGCGGCCTCCGCTAATCCGGGGAATAGGAGAGCAGATCGAAAGTCAGATGGCGGTTAAGGGGGGAGTTGGACCCTGGCTTCATCGTTCGTCGCTTTTCCAACTCTTCGTCGGCAGAAGAAAAAGAAAAAGACCGAGATCGAAGAGATCGGGCGAAGAGCAGTGCACGTGATTTGCATGTGGAGCCTCACGCTTATCAGATGCGAAAAGTGTTATCGACAATCACAACAACAGCGACACTTTGAGTATGACATTAACATGAGGACTGAGACTTGAGCGATACAGCATTTAGACACGATCAGGCGGTAAAAGAGCACTCAGCCATACGGGCCTACAATGGAAGTGAAAAGACAGAGATCTACCTCCCGCCCGCGTCAGCCATCGCGTCCTACGACCCCCCTGAGATCGAGCTCCAGAACGTCCATACGCGATGCACACGGTTTCTCGCTCAGTGGTGGCCCAGGCGGTGGATCCAGACCGGGTATAAATAGTCTAGAGCCTCAATTTGCCGAGCTGGCGGACGCAATGGCGGATTTGGAGGAGAATTTCGTACATCTCCAGCTGATGCATGAGAGTCTGTCAAGGTTCAACGAAAGCTTTGCCAGCTTTTTATACGGGCTAAATATGAACGCATTCTGCGTTGATTTCCCGGAGGTGTGTTTGATTGATACAATCGTAGCATAGTCCAGCCCTTGTATCTAACATTCAATTTGATATAGACGCCTATCCCAGAGTCATTTACTCGTTTCAAGCAAAGGGAGCAAGCCAGAGAGAAAGAAAATGGTATAATATAAATAGAACCTTACCTTACCACCGCATTAATGGTGATATTTACTGACCGTCAATTAGAGCTGCAAGCTGCTTCGGAACAGCAATATCAGTCTAGCGCAAACGACGCAGAGGCAACTTTCCTGTACGCCGCAACCCTAACCAGACATGTTGATGTTGCATGAGACTAACCTTTCCATTTGCTCAGGACTACGGATACTTCGTTCATTGATAATCCTCCAACCACTACTAAATCGTCCGTAAGGTACACAACACCTGCATCGAAGCGAGCCCCTACGACTTCAACACGAGGATCCAGCACCGGCCGATACTCAACCAGGGGAGCTTCAACAACCGGCCGACAAAGAGGGACCAGGCTGGCACGCCCAAGAGGCCGGGGTATACGCTGATCACAGAGGAGCCTAAAACAGAAGAGATCTGATACCAATTCTCCAGTCTACAATGGCTACAGTGGTCGTCTTGCCTTTCGTCCAGAATGTCAAAAGATCACTCACCTTTGTCCTACCAAACCCTTAGGTTGAAGCAATCTTTTTCATATTGAATCAACCAGCTTAACCCGACAACCGTATCCCAATGGCTCCAAGCGGATGGTTGTGGATCACTGTGCTGCCTTCTATTACCAGGTAAACAACCAGAATACTCACAGCATGGACGGGTTATTTTACGGGCAAGGGTCCATCTAGAGAAATGGAGACACTGATCTTTTCGTTACTGGCCTGCTTGATTAATATTCATAAGTCTTTTCAATACATCTCGAATAAAGAAAGCGCCCTGGCTATTTGGCCAAACCATGCAACGATGCTTGATACAGAATAGCCCTTGGCAGCTGCTGTTTATCTCTAGGTAAGAGAATATTGTTACCGAGGGCATTGCCTCAAGTTATATTAGACTTGTAACTCCGTATCATATTTGAACATTTGTATTCGCCTTGATATCGCATCATGGTATTACTGCTGAACGAATCTTTTGTAAAAAAGAGAAAAACACCTATAGTCTAAATGAAAAGGGAAAAGACCACCTCGACCGAATATTGCCATGCCGTGAAAACATCCACAATGTCATCGCAACGCCAGAGTAACAATTATCTTCACCTAACGTACAAACACACCCTAATAAAAAGCAGCAGCCGTGAAAATAACAGATAAAGAAATGATTATATATGGTAAGGTAATGGTTGTCACCAAACATGGTGCATCAAGTTACTTGCGGACACCGTATGCCTGCAAGGTGTAAAAGAGAAGGTAAGCATCGGCTTCGAGAACCTCAGACTCAGCAACGACAGTTACGCGGTCATCATTAAACTTAAACCACTGTTCACCGTGTCGGCAGTAAGCAAGGTAGTGGCCAGAGTCGATATCGCCGATATGGACAACGACGCTCAAGAGGTCGTATTGGAACTGTGACCGGTTCTCTGATCTGGGGCTGGTGGTGTAGGGCATCATGTTGATCGAGGCAGGATATGTGACTTTGGTTTCGACCTTTTCGGAGACAGATCGATTGCGCTCGAACCTCTTCAGTTGCATGCAGAGGATGACTGGCAACTTTCGTAGTCGAAGTTGCTTGGTGACTCCCTTGTTGGAGTTACACTGGGTGCATCCGTATTCGCTAGCTGCGAGCTTTTCAGGAGAGATATACCCTTCCAAGCATCCTTGGAGGGTTGGTGCAACATCGGAGCTCTGCTCCCCGCCGTCAAGGGCACGCTTCTTCTTCTGGACCTGGAGGTCCAGGCTGACGTCCATCACTGGATCTTCGGTGCGGGAAACCTTGCCGCAGTTGCGGCAGGTTATAGTGCTTCTAAGCTTGCCGAAAAATGCGGTGTGGAAGAAGCAGCGACAGGCCGGGTCACAGTCGAGGTGTCCTGTGGTGCTCTCGTGGAGTTGGTTTACCAAGAATTGGTAAAACTCGTGGGCGTCTTGCTGGTGGTAACCGGCAAGGTCGGAGGATTTCTGCCACGAGGCAAGGAGGAGGTTGAGGGCACCGAAGCCCTCGTCTTTCTCTTCGTTGCTAAACTCAGCAAAGGCGTCGGCCAGAGCACAGCCGAAACAGTTCACTTTCTGGCACTCGCTGGTGCTGTGCCCATTCCCAAGAAAGTAGGCCGTCAAGACTGGTTCGTGGAATAGGGTTTGGAGAATGACATTCATGTAACAGGTCTGACCGAGGTTGAACAGGCCTCTTACACCTTCTTTACCGCATATTTTCTTGTTGGTGTTCATGGCGATATAACTTGCGTATTCATCATCCTCCATATTGTCAACTTTGCGTTTCCTTGAGACTACAGGGAGAAGTGAGTAAGGTAGTTCTGATAATACTTTTGGTTGTACAAGCTTACCGATAGGCTCAGTATTATTCTTCAAGACGCCTTCCAAGTCCACATCATAGATAAGGTCGTCACATCCTTGGCAAAAAACATGCTTGCTTCTGTAGTCGGCAACTAGTTTGACAGGCAGATTAGTAACCGTTGCCCTTCATTTTTTTCTAAAGGAGGAGGACGTACAGAAGATGTGCCCTGTTAGTGAGCTATGTTCACAGCGTGCGGCCTTCACACCGATGGCTGGGCATTGGAGACACTGATATTGTGGTTTCAAGGAGAACTTTGGCCCAGGAGCACTCTTTTTTGAAGCGTCAAGACGAACTCGGGATAAGTTCAACGGTCCTTTACCGCTCAATTTAGTGTAATTCTCAGCAAGTCTTGTGGCTGCATCTGTGTCTTTCTCAAAGATATCCTTCAGGTGTTCTGTTGAAATGAGGTCAGAACCACTAGCTTTATATTTCGTATAGAGGGACGTGAACTTACCACAACCATAGGCTGGTTCATATAAAGGAGTAGAAACAGTAGCCATTCCGAATAGAGCGAGATAAAAGAAGCTAATGGTATATGATGGATGGGTAGAGACAGACAATGTGCAGCACCGTCAGGGAGAAATAAAAAATAATCCCAGAGGGGACGCTGAAGTCGACAGCCCAGATCAAAGGTAATTCGGGTATAGACCAGACAATTACGGGCTCTGTGAGGCCACTAAAACAATGTAGAAAAGGAAAATTGAGCCTGAAGTAAGCCAGTGAGATGATGTCTTTAATATGGCACACGTAGGCGATAGCGAAAACAGGATAAGGTCTCTCTGAGGTTCGGGTATCAAGTAACTATGCTCAGGCAAAGGTGATGGAGTATCCTGCTATCGGTATGAGATAGGGCCTGACAAAAAAGGGAGAAGAAGGAGAAGAACAGGGTGGAGGCCAGGATGGAGGTTTATATAAAGATGAAGGTGAAGAAAGGAGGACGTCGCTTTCGGCCAGAGGACAGGACATGATTATGTAACAAAACGATTAGATAATCAAACTTAAGCTTTGATTCGGGAACACTAAACTTAAAACTTTGTTTTCACGCCAGTTGAATATCAAACCTCAACATTCTTCATTGGTTCTCCTTTTCTTTCACCAATTCTGTATTCAGACAATAGTTAGTTAGTCAACAGAGAGAGGACATACGATATCAAAATCTACACTTTCCTATCGTTTATATACTCATCTCGAAATTAAAGTATCCATGGAGTTTAGAAACTCCAAGTCATACTCGTGTTGTCGAACGGCGACTGGAAATTATTGCAAGGCAACGCGATTTAACAAAATTCAACCCGCTCTCTTGTCGGCAGCTTGTTCCACTCTATACCATGGAGGGCAATCCTCGTCTTGAGTCACAAATCTCTTTAAATGCTAAAATTCTCCATGGGCTCAGCCCACTTGTGGTCAAAATATCTCGACCCAATGCGCTACCTGCAGAAAAACTCTCAGGGCAGAACCTTCCCACCATTATTCAAGGGCTTAGCCGAGCAATAGCTAAGAGCAGCGTCATGTGGACTCGCGGATCGACAGCCGTACTTGGCCTCAGCCAAGAAATAGTTATGAAAACTGGTTGTGGCATCGACATCGGCCACCGAGCAACGAGTTCCCCGACTTCGGCCACCTGGTATTCATGGGATTCTCCAGTCTGGGTGCCATGCTTTTGTATTCATGACTCGCATTAGAGGGGAACCGCTTGAAAAGATATTGAAAACGCTTGATAGGAGCCAGAAGGAATCCATAAAAGAACAACTAGGGACCATGTTTTCTGCAATCAGATCTTTGCCTCCTCCTTCTCCGGATGAACCACGTGCTCTCCTCGGGGTGGCATCCCGTAGGGATGGCGAGATGCAGGGAGACATGTACTAGTTGCAGAGTTCCCCATCGAAAGTATGGCCGAGTCTAACCAATTTCTTACCACCGACCCAAAACGTGCGGAAACTGGAAGGTTGAAGATGATTCGTTCGTTCCTTTCCTCTGACCATGAACTTGTCATGACTCACGGTGACCTTCATCCCCGAAACCTCATGGTCATCACTCCTACTATGTCCCATTTGGAATCTTCCGTCTTGGGTTGAAGTTACGGGGTTGGTTGGGAGATGTGCGGCTATTATCCCGATTATTGGGAGTACGTGAAAACATCACATACCATTTATCCCCGGGATGGTCTTCACGATTGGTGGAGTTATCTACCAGCATCAATTGGAGTATGGCCCAAGGAGTACTCTGTTGACGAGCTGATAAGCCGTTGGAGGGGTTAAGAAGATGGCATGCTCCAGACGCAACAAGTCCACGACCTTACCACTCCGTAATCTGAAACTAGTAAGTATGCTAAAGCTGTAACCGAGAATTTTGACGACTAGAGGCGAAAAAGCAACTTCGTTACCTACTCCCTTTACTATGCTATACGTCACTCTACCTCTCCTTTCTTACCTCCCTCATATTATTTATTTCTCTCTTGCCGTGCCTTTGCCCTTTTACCTTTCCTCTCCTATCTTTCTTATCTCCTCTTACCTCCTTCTAGTAGGACTTAAGATACGGTCAGGGTTAAGCCTTAAGAGGCCTAGAATGGGCGTGGGGGATACGTAGTTATATCAATAAAAAAAGAGGAAACGGAGGGAATTAAAAAGAGAGAGGACTTTAATCAGGTGGATGAGAGTTACACGCACACACATACTCTCTCTCTCTCTTCTCAAGGGAATATATTCCTTAGCCACCTCAAGGCCAAAAAGGAGGTAGAAGAGAGGAGAAAGACCAACAAGCATTCCGTAGTAGGAGTCAGAGAGAGATAGTATGGAGAAGATGGAAGCGTATGTAACGTTTTTACAATAAAATTCTCTGTAAGAGTTTAACCACACTAGCTAGATTTAGAATAGATGTTTCAAGTAGGAATTCGTTATGTCTGATATTAATGTTGTTGCCTAACTAGGTAGTTAACTATTTATTTAACTGCAGCATCCACCTAGCTTTCTAGCAAAATTTTGCAACAATAGCAAGTTAGCCAGCGAAACCCTCCTGAATAGCAGATATCAAGGATCTGAACCGAGAAACTTATATCAGCTCCCAATCATTTATTGACTGGCTATCAAAAAAACCTCAACAAGATGGCATTTCCTGGCCTCCATATTATCGAGCCTAAAAGTGTTCATACTCACACCATCCTCCTGCTCCATCCACGTTCTAGCAATGGTCCGGAATTTGCTGAAGAACTTTTTTCTTCAAAAACGTCTCAGAACAAGACGCTCACGGAACATTTCCCTAACTATCGCTGGGTATTTCCTACATCTCGAGATCGATGGTGTTCGGCCTTTGATAAGGATGTAACCGCTTGGTTTGACCAATATTCGCTGTCAAATACTTCTGAGAAGCAAGACCTCCAAATCGATGGCCTGAAAGAGTCAATGCTATATGTTCTAGAGGTTTTGAGTCAAGAGATCGACCTTCTCGGAGGAAGGTCTGAGAAAGTTGTGCTTGGTGGCATGAGCCTAGGCATGGCGACGGCTCTATGGTCATTTCTATGCTCGCCAGGACGATGTAAAGGAAGAATTGGCGCTTTTATTGGGATGTGTGGATGGCTTCCATTCGCAAGTGAAATCCACGACTTACCGTCCCCAAAGGAGATGATTCCAAAGTTTCTTTTGGATACCATTCGATGCGAGGAGGAGGCACGAGGCAGCATAGTGGAGACTAAAACCATGCTATCTACACCGGTACTACTATTGCATGGAACTGATGATGTCTTGGTTAATGTCGAACTGGGTCGGGGGGTGCAGAGAAGTCTCTTGAAGTTGGGGATGAAGGTTGAGTGGAAGGACTATGTCGGAGCACCAAAGGACGGGCACTGGCTTAAGGAACCAGAAGGGTTTGATTCTGTTGTACAATTTTTGGAGACCGCTTTGGCATAATTAAAAGTATACCAATCACTGGTGTGAGGGTAATTGATACTGTATATAATGCTGCAATCCAGTTTGCCAAACAAGCAAAATTGAGTCCATCTTAGCAGTCAGCTGCATCACATAACGAGTTTAGGCAGTGGGGATACTCCACCTGCACTGGATAGATGAACCAGGCCACGGTTACACTTGAATTTACTACACATGAGGCCACATCTCAAGAAGACGCTCGATGTTCGTTCAGGGAGAGAGCTGGACCTAATGGATCTTGAAAAACGTGTTAAAGTTCTGAAATGTAACAAATAGCATGCAATATTCCAATCAGCCTCAAAACGCCAAATGTATATAAAGGGGATGTATTTTTAGTATAATATGGTATCGGGGTTGTGCTTCCCTCAAAGAAGTAATGCATAACGCATAGGTTCATCATTATATTATTCCATTAATATATTTCACACAATTATATTTTAAACACACATTTATCAAGAAAAGCCGCCAAGTAAGTTAGGAGCAAGAATTGAGAGACAGAGGCTAGATTCAGGGCCCCAGCCTTTGGGATGACCCTACGAAGTTCAACTTTATGTTTCTATCACCTGTACCGTTTGTTGGTAGTATACCGTATCGGCCATAGGTTTTCTGGTCCACAGAAACGTAATGAGGCAGTCTTCCGAGTAGATTTAACTTTGTTTCAATCCATCGGAGGACCTTCTCTGGTGGAAATAAGAATTTCAAATATCCCAACCCAACTAAAATGAAGAGAGTATTAGTATGAAGAACGGAGATACTAATGAGAAGTCACTTACGGAGATACCCAACACCGATACAGCACGTGTGGCCCACAAAGCTCGTGTTAGGGAGGATTGACAACACTGCGTTTAAGATCAGTGGAAACGTCCAACTTGGGATTTGATATTTGCCCCAGCTATTTGCAAGAAGTCAGTACTATAGCAATGTGTATATTATAACGAATGTCACGCATGCATACCTAATGTGAGGGTGCGTTTGAAATCTTTTTATAGCCTCGGAGCCAAGGAGTAAGAAAAACCACGAACTAGGAATCATCAGTTAGGAATTGCATGATCAACCTGCCTGCTAAGAATTGAAAACATACCTAGAGCCTAGAACGGGGCTATTGGTATGGAAAATAAACCTGGAAAGTAAGACGTAGATACCCGCCGGTAATGTTGAGAGGGCTGAAAATAAGTATGTAAGCTCTAGCATTATGCGAGTGATGCGAGTCCCAAAACTTACGTCCAAGGAACATAGCCAGAGAAGTAAGAGTGCCATGTTCGGCTTCAAACTTCTCAAGAAGAGGCGTTACAGCCAGCATGTTCAAGAAGGCGTGCAAGAACCCAGAATGTACGATGGGATATGTATTTATTCGGTACACTGCGCATGCATATGACCATTAGCACAAGCTTCAGTATTAGGCAAGTTTAGTAACCTCGCATCAACAAGTGCACCAAACATCGGGTACTTACTTCCTCCTGCAAAGCTGATTTTAGAGGGGTGCAGAGACCCCCATCCCGGCACATTCCACACATGCTGTAAACTCGCCACCCAAAATACAACAATGCATAGCAGGATAAGTCGAGTGAAAAGCGGGAGTCGGAGTAAATAGGACCGCAGACGTGATGGGTCGAACGTCACTCCGGGGATGGAGAACATCCCGATCATATGAAATAATAGGAGTGCGTTATCAATGCAATGGATGGGTCTGGAAGCAGTGTATATAACGCTTAGGCCGTACAATATTCTAGTTCGGGGCGCTGTACTTTATCTCCTGTCCAAGCATCAAGACCTATTGTTCTTAAAAGGTACTGCCAATGGCGGGCTAACACTGTATTATAGTAGGAGTGGAGTGGATTATTGGAAGCCGGATCGATTATATAAATTCAAGACCGCCTCGTTCACGAACTGCTCGTGGTATTCGTCCCTTCTCAGGCAGGCTCGAAAATAGAGGCCTTGAATCGTTTAACTCCCTAGTAACAAGTTAGATAGAGCATTTAGGCACCCGAGGCTGGTGAATTTAGCTAGGAACAATTAAATATGCCCAGAGTTGGTCAGGCATTAACTCACCCACGGTATCGCATCCGACACAAATGTAGCCGGACGCATAGAACAAAAGACAACTTAACGAAACAACTTCCGGGAGTTCCTGGACAAGAGAAATCGAATTTCGTGTCAGCGAAAGTGAAATTATTTGATTAGATCAGCATATAACTATCACGTGCCAGGCAGATGCAAAGATCTGATAAGATTGAACTTTAAAGTTCATTGTTCAAACGTTAAAAAGAGGGCAGCATTTATATTTCAACGTCAGACAAGCAAACAAGACACTGCTGGATTCATTCACGAATTAACTAACTACATTATAGGTTGAGTGACGAGGTTATCGCAAAACAGTCAAGGAATGGTGCAACCGAACCGGCTAATAAAGAGTATAAACGAAAACAGGGTATAAGGCTAAAAACAACAGCAGAAAAACAGACAAGGGAAAATTCGTCCGGCCAGCAATTAATATTAAGGCCGCCGAGTATTGCAAAGCAATTTGCAAGATTTGCGAGAGTTATAATTCAATGATTCACGATGCAACGCTTCTCATATTTCTCATTCGGGAAACTTGAAACCATCCCGAATTGGTGGTGTTGAAACTGAAGTTTTGGTTGCCCATGCCTTGAGAGATATAAGCACGATCTCCCATGCCATGGCAAGGGCAGTGACTCCCATCCCAATCGTGAATACAATCATCGCATTGACATCATAGTATTCCATGGCTGCAACAACATCTGCGGTCTGTATTACCAAGTTAGCAGGTTTCCGTTGACTAATTCATAATCCACGAATCATTGGAACGGAAGAAAGGTGCAATACGGGGGTATGCATACACTTAGCATGAACACAAGTCCACCTGAAATAAGGCAGAATGAGGTGACCAGCTCCGAAGGCGGCCGGGAAGGAAGAATCGAGCTTGGTGGGTTGATGTAGAGTAGAATATATGTGACAGCGCGTGCTAATGAGAATCCCACTAGGAGCATACCCCACTGTTTATGAACCATAGTCGACACCATACTATGTTGGTGATGGGAGCTCATCATCAAGCCTAAAAGCAAGATTATTGTTGCAGGCATAGGGTTGAGAGATACCCCTTGGGACCTGGGCGGCCTCCATTCGTCAGTACCTGATGCGTACTCTTTGTCAAGATAAATTGGAGGTGGTCCCAAAGCAGTCATATTTATCCAATCACGAACCCGGCGAGATTCAGCAAGCATCCCGCACTGATTGATAATAGTCAGCCCAAGCGTTACGATCATAGCCTGAAACAGAGCGGAGAACCTACCAAGCCGCCACCAAAAAACATGATAGTTATCGAGACATGCTCGAGGTCATGGGCCGTCCATGGGCCTCCCCAACCCCCAAGATGCTCTAAGAACATATTGCTGGCCCCATACAAGAAAATAACGAATGATTCCGTGAACTCTGCGGTGGGTATTTTTGCTTTCCATGCCCCTACTATGGCACGTGATGGCTTAATATTCCACGCCCATCCGAAGTCTGCGAAACAACCAAGCCACCGACCAAGAGTCAAGAATCCATACCACATGAAAATCCCACCCTTGATGAAATGCGCGAGTCCGTTAAATATTTGTCGTCCACGCTATATGGCCCGCACCTGTTAGCTAACAAATATCCGCGTAATCTGGATGGATGGCATAACTTACGAAAATTCCAGTATACACAACAGCACCAGAGGTAAGGGCGACAAACCCGAGGATAAGGATTGTTCTCTCAACGATTGTGTGGATTGTACTCAATGCACTGAGTACACGCCGCGAAGTCAGCTGTGGGATTCTGACTTTCAAATATCTATCGAGCGACCCAAATGAAGACAGACGCCGAGAGCTAGGCTTATTGTTTGTCTCGAGATTTGGCATTCCAATTTCCTCAGCTTCTTGTCTGTCATGTTCAAAGGAGCTGCATCGGCTACGGGGTGAATAAGTGTGCTCTTCACTGCCTTGGCCGCTGTCTGCAGACCATCGGTGTTGCCTATTGGTATCCTGGGAATAGGGGCCGGCTCCGCCCAATTGAGTGTTAACGGAAAGGAATGCAATTCTCTCATAGGCCTTATCTTGTGTATGGTCTCTGCTGCTGGAGTACGCGAGGAGTAGGCCCATCACAGCCTCCGCAACCATGACCCATGTGGCCACCCATCCTATCTTGTTATGCACATTATTTTCATAGAGATCTGGAGTTTGATTACTGTATATGAGACCGCATAATACAGCAACAGCGTTGACAATCAAGAAACCAAACTGTGTTGGCAACGCGAATCGGGACTTAGCTACACTAAACACGATGCCTGTGCACCAAGAACAAAATCCAATCGTTAGCTGCATGCTGGGTTCTCCTACACGTCATGAGATTGTGATAATCGTGGATCTCTTACCGACTGGGAGGATGACGACCCAAGCTATAGCCATCAACACGATATGAGCTAGGATCGTCCCCGAATGTTTCTGGTATTTAAAATAGCTCATCAGATGGGCTGTGTCTCCGACAGCCGCGGTCGCTGTCGCTGCGGCGGCTGACGCTACAGATGATGCTGCTTCATTCGATACCGTCATATCCATTGATTCATGGCTAACACCATGCGATATTGCACCCACTACCGTCGCGAAAAGCAGTAGCAAGGAAACATAGGAAGCGTGGTTCGAAAGTTGATGCGGCAACATCGGGATGAACAGCTCGAACGAGATCACCCCAATTCCACAGGTAAGAACGTTTTCTAAGAAGGGTCCCTGCCGTAAACGGAGCCTGGTAGGACTATTTATATAAACACAGTTTGAAACTGCAAGAGTGAAGCTCGCAGGTTATGATATTCAGAGAAGGAGCCTGATACTCAGGGACGGAAGCAAACGGGCATGAGGAAAGCACGGAGGAGACGGAAGCAGCGTTGGGGGCGGGTCGGCCATGCGTTTTGTTATCAACTATTTAAATGTGCCGCCTTGCCCGACATTTGGTTTCTTCATGAAGATCAAGCAAGCTGACAAACCCCTCGAAACGGTCGGCCGCCGGAAGCAGAGGATCCCAGAAGAAAGGCCCCAGCTTCGGCGATGTTCTACCTGACTTTATGACGAAATGTGGTTGGAGAACCTTAACTCAGTGCTTAGGGTTGATGTGCATGATAGGCGGGCCAGGCCATGTACGAAGTACGAAGTACGAGACGCCCTTGTCCAAGCTATCGAGCCTGGCGACCGCATTTTCCTGACGAGTCACCAGACAATGACTCACGTAAGATGTTGCGTCTTGCGCCGTCTGACCATATATATCCCTCTTGAGGAGGATGCTTCGCCATTTCACCGCTGGAAGGACGAGGCCTCGTGAAGCGCAGACTATACATATGCATGCCTTCAGCTGAATCACTTCGAGGTGGCACCGTGGTTGCTCATTTCTCCACAAGAAAGGGTGGGGAACAACATGGAAGTGGGAAGAAAAAAGCAAAGATGACCCTCTCGCTGCTCTCTTTGCAAGGCTCACAAACGCCTTATTTCCACCGCTGATATTTATATTTAAGCGACCAGCCAAGGAGAAACCCTTCAAATGGATGCCTCGAGCAGAGTATGCCTATAGTATTCCTGTCCGAAGGGAGGGTAGGGGTTGATGTGACTCGAACGGAGGAGTTGTGGGTGGTGAGCCGTGCTCTCCGGATGGCCGGGATAGTCCTCCCATAATTTTTGCATGAACTATGCGACTTGGGCCGGACGAAAATGACCGACACTCCGAGGGCATTTTTTTATTTCAGAGCAAGTGAGGTATCTCAAAGGTATTTTTTCACGTGCTCCAGGCGAGAAAGTGACCCAAGCAGTACGGAGTACTTGATTGCTTTTGTCTTTGGTCCCGCTTATCTAGCCGGCGCATCCGCCAGCATTATTAATTTTATACGCAGCAGCCCGAATGCGAAACAACTCAGGCCTCTAACTAATACGTCAGCTATAGCGGACATCCTACCCGTATTATTGCCTACCTGCTGAGGGTCTCATCGAATCTTCCTGCTGACCGTCTAATAGCTCTCGCTTGTGGTGCGGAGTTAAACCCCAAGTATCCCTTCTTGTTCTCCGACTTCAGCACATAACCAAAGATTATTTGCATATTATCCACATGACAGATACGGAGCTAATAAGTTGGAGCCCGGATACACGGAATTTGCTTTGCAATGTTTCTTCCGTCAAATCCGAACTTTCCTCTAACTACCGTTAACTACCTTATGCATGGGTATGACAGTGCGTAACAGGTGTGTGTATGAGCCGTGCTAGGCGTGTGTCTGAAATGAATTGAGTACTCGAAACAGCCGCGCCCTGCTGGACATGTATTATATGCTGGTATGCATATGGCTTCCTCAGACCCCATATTAGACAGAGAACTGAACTTGCACTAAATCTTCTAAACACGCATGCTATCAGGAGCTTCCGCGCTCCATTGGCAACATTTAACAGTTCCTAATATCAGACATCAATCGGTTAAGGAGACCGTGAAAAAAGCTGCTTCCTCCTCTGATTGGACCGAGGAAGCTTGTTTGACCAGTAGCTTGACCGTTCACTAACTAATTAGTTGCTGGCACATTTGCTGGAAAATAAATCAATGTTGCCCAGGCGCCGTTTGCTAATGGCGCAGCTAACGAACTAACTAGAGCTGGCGATTTTAACAGTAACGGCACTCTGGTGTCATTAACTGGATCGCCAGCCATGCGTTTCTGGCTACTGGATTGTGTTTGCTCTTTCAATTTATGAGTGTGCAAAAAAAAAAAAAAAAAAGCCCCACGAGTGAGGAGGAAGACGAAGAAGAAGGCTGACGCCAGCAGGACAATTACGACTCACAAGTCTTGTCGGCTTCTTGCAGAAGCAATCATCACTACTTGCTACTCGCATAAAGGGAGAAAGTGTCTTAACCTGCTAGTTATATTACCCCTCCTGTGCGCTTGTCTCCCGACGTGCCCCAGTTAAACGATCATATAAGCCAGGTCATACCTCCAGAGCCTACTTTCGCCCAAACTTGCCGCGATACAGAGGCAATTAGTGTTATTTTATTGCCTGCAGGTTACCGGAACTATAACTAATCTTTCCAATAATAGTCGTTGATCTCAAAAACCCAATTCCAAATATCCCTAGTACTTTTGATTACTCAGTGTAAAAGCATAGGGAACCTAACTACTGAGATCAATAGCCTATGGAACCGCTATCTCTACATCCGTTTCCTACTTATATCCCCTTCTATCTTTACAAATTGTGGACAGCAAAGTTTGCCAGCAAAATTCACACAGAGCATTTCAAATTCCTCTTTGGTACTGTGTCGTTCAGTAGAAACCTCAAAATTTACAGTGAGATCAGTGATATACTCTGCTTTATATAGCTATACATCTCTAACCATACTAGTCTTATATAAATGACTACAATACTGATTTTTTATCTTTAGAGCTACTAGTTACGCTATCTATGTCTATACAGAAAGGGAGGTGGGAACAGTGGCATATAAGGAAATGACCTAATGCTAAACTTAGATGTTGGAAATATATGAAAATATAGTTACCGTACAGCCCAGTGTACTCATTTGAATTACCGTATCGAGTTTGATCAAGGAATATGGAGCTGCAAATAGGAGAATGCCCCCGTAAGCTTGTCATCCTCCTTGCAAACACATGGCCTCTGGCCTTTGCGGCATTGAACTAGAGACGACGTTGTTCACGATTTCGTAGGATATACGGAGTATTTCTGAGGACTTTGGCTTCAATCAGCCGGCTAATAACAAACTATGCAGTTCCGGGTTGGAGGCTCGACGAGAGTTTTTTAAAGTGGAATTTTGAGTTTAGCGGCCCGCTCGGAAATTCTTTATCCCTTTTTGAAGATTATGTTACGTAATCAAGATAATCACCTAACTCGTCAGGCCAACAAGCTGACTTTGCGTTACAACAACCATCAGTGTTAATCTAATTCTATGCATGCTGTCTATACTATATAATGTGATAACAAGATCAAATACCCGGCTGACCGAACCCCTTTCCCCCCATGAAGGCCACGCGTCAGATCTTTTATACTAAACATGATTCACTTGCTGGAGCCTTTGTCCAATCCAGCCTTGAAGCATCTACTGGGATGGAATGCATTCAGAAGTAAAACTGAAATCACCACGAACACGCTCTCCATCCCGATGAACAGCCCCTCATTGGATAAAAGTGGTCCGTCCCATCCTTCAGATAATTCCGCAATTCGATAGATACTTCGTATGTATATGCAAACCGTCGACCCAGCCAATGCCAATAGAAAGAGCTTGAACTGTGAGGATGAACGAAGGTGGGAGTAATTTGAATCGAGTGCTGCATTCCCCAAGGCACGAATGCGGCGTTGGGTACGAAGGGCGAAGTCAGCAGCCAGGGCCATGAATATTGTCAGAGTAACGACCTGAATGACCAGGCCAGCCACCATGATGTCTTTTCCTAAGTCAGCTTGCGTCCGGTCGTCGTCCCCTGCTGTGCTGGCAATGCCACCGCCGGCACCTTGGAGAGCCAGCGCAAGAATATCACAAGGGATGAAGATTCTGGGATACCACCGTGGGCGTATTCGGGAATTCTCGGGGCCAAAAGCAGTCACGATCCGGGACAAAGTGAGGTATATGCCAGCGGCAAGGAACGCAGGCGCAAGTGTAAGGCAGCATATTTGTATCATGAATGGAATCTAGCTCATTTCGGTCAGCAACCCATTTTTTTTACACCTTTCAATCGTACGGAGACGCATTGAAGAAGAAAAGGATTTGGTGATGATGATACCTGTTTCCATGGATTATCCCACATTAGAATTCTGCCGACATATCCAATCGTCTCGCCTATGGTCCCCAAGACCATGGCAACAGTGAAACCAACAAATCGTCTCGTTGCTATCCCTTGGATGAGGAAGATGACAGCTGAGATAAAAAACAGTGCCGTAAAGATTGTATTTGCGGGCAATGACGGACGGTATTTGTACCACGAGAGAGAGATGTCACATAAGCTAAAGGTGCATAACTCTCTATCAAAAATCTCATCGCGTCTCGCAATGGCTGTGATAGCTGAAATGACACTAGCCATATTGAAGCAGAATATATAGAAGATTCAAAAATAAAGTGTTAATTGTGTTTGGAGAGACAGCTTCTGTTATCTAGACAGGATAATGAGTTTCCCTCCATGGTTCTACCTCTCTAGTATATATACTCCATTGCTCCGTTTGATATCAGCTCCCCTGAAACAAGTATTCCTCCGCTCCGCGAGCTAGTACAGAAATCACTTTACAGAACAACACGAATTTTCGGGGCGATGTGACGGATGGCAATGCCCCTTCGGTGAGCCCCTGCATCAGTACTAGATGCGCTGTTATTCGATGGGCCAGAGTGTTTCGGTATGGATGATGTAGTCGTCGGTTAGGCTAGGACTGAATGAGGATATGTGAATGCCCCTACGCCGAATTTCCAGGGTAGTTAAATTTGGAAGCTAACGTATGCTCTTTCGTGGCTGCCCTGGCTCATTCTCAGAATGGGAAGGAGAGCGATCCAGCAAGTTCGAATGTATGATGGGAGCTCGTATAGAAGGCTTCAACATTCTTCTCCTATGGTTATTGGTTCAGAACCCGAAGGATCTAGGCCCATTGGTCAATGACGAGCGACTCCATCCCAGCCTAAATCCTTCAATGACCGGTTACGTATGTACATCGATCAATTGTTCAGCCTCAAAGGCAATAAACAATAAACGTAATATATTATTACTGCAACTGGAGATTCTAGCTTAACGGCAATGGTATGCGAAAGCTCGCATAGCATACTAAAAATATAATGCCCGGAAGCCCGAAACTAGTAACAAACTTGGAGTTTCTATCTATTGCAATTGGCCGCCAAGACCTAACTACTAGTTAACACTTATCAAATTTCACAAGAACATTGAAATTGTCCGTGTCGAATTTTTGGCCTGAGACCCTCGTGCTGGATTGGTGGCATGTGCGCAGAATGTCCTCTGTGTATGATCCAAGAACAGGACAAGGTATTTCAAACCAGGAATCCCTCTACTGAACCGTTAGTTTCTTCCTTTGAAAGAAAGGGAAATCAAGAAGAAAGAAACCCCTGCCGGTGCATGTCGTCACTCACATCATTGCAGAAAAAAATACCACTATCCCAAGAACAGCTGACCCGAGCGCATGATCGATTTCGAACCCTGCAGTGCGAAGCTTGCGGGACACGTTCGAGGTAGGCAATACCATCTTCGATCTTCCTGCGCCATGCTCTCTCGGCGCCACTGGGGTCACAGATGATATGGCCCTTATGTTATTTTTTCGTTAGATCATAGGGTTTATTCTCAAGTCGTTTAAATCATTGAGCAAGTAGTACTCACAGGCGACCTTTTCTCCAAACTAGGGCTGACACTGAGAGATTGGGTATCTGGGGCGGCAGGGAAATCCTCCGGCCGATAGCTGGGGTTTAACGCGAGAATTTGGCGAAAGATTTCTTCAATAGTGCCCTCAAGAGTCACATTATCGCCGCCTGGTACGATTGGGCCCTCGTATATCATTGGGCTCATACTGAACGATTCCTCGGCGAAGTTTGCTGAAACCTGTAGAAGTTAGACTGTGTTTCTTGTTTAAATAGGCATCTGCTTGAAGGCGTTACCAGGAAGACCGCAAAGGTAAATGCAAGTAAGAGACTCTTCATAACGGCCATATTTTCATAAGCAGAGGTTAAATGTCAGGGTATATTTGAGTTTGGGTTTTCGATGAAGTTGAATTGAAGGCACATGGTATTGTGGTAGGAAGCGGCATTCTCTCTTATAGTCGTTCAGCAAGAATCGTGTCTTCGCAAATTCGCCCTTTATGTTCTACATTTCGCAGTAAGTTGTGTTGTGTTCATGCGTCTACAGCTATCTGTCCCTTCCTCATGTTTCCATAATAGACCCATTCAAAAGGTGTATATGAATGAGTTTCTATGAAACCCATTATTTATGGTTGAACACTATCTGCTTTGAGGTCAGACAGAAGAGCGAATTCATTGCTTCGCAGTAACACGGGAATGGACACCCCACTAGAGTCAAATACAGCTTGCCTGCCGCCATCTGCGATCGGGCTCCTGGTGATAAAGCAGGGTTCAATTAACCCGATCTTCTGCATATATTGAGGACACTCTTCTAGAGGCGCGGGTACCATCGCGCATCAAACATTGGGTATATTTTTGTTGTATGAATCCATTTGTTATTAAGGGCAGCCCTAACGTTACGCAAACTCTCATTGCAGGCACTACCGCACTCTCACATCCAAAGATTCATACAGCGAACGGATGACTTGTTTCTTTGAATGAAATGATATTCCTTAAAGAGCTGCATCAAACGCCAGAATTGAGATGTTCAGATGTTGCAGGAAAGAAAAGCAAAAACGGAGGAACACGGATATATTGTTAAATATCTTGGCATCCGCAGGCCTGTCACGTGAAAGAAGCAGCGCCCCGACTTTATCAACCGTAGATCAAGATAGGAGAAAGAAAGATAGAGAGTTGCAGGAGCAAGAGAGAATCGGCCTTCACTCCCAGATCGTACTTGAGATATACATATGGGACTCAGTGGAGGTGTTCCATGAACGGCTAGTCCCTCATGGCACTGATATGTACGTATAAACTGCCATTGACCATGTGAGAAAGAATCTCAGCTAACCAAACTGTCATTATGACAATATTAGCAACGCTGGTCGCGAAACTCCGCCATGACCCACGGCCACTGTACAAGCTCCCGCCCTATATATCGGTACTCCTTATTCTGGTTGGCGCGATTTGGCTCCTACTCCTTCCCCTGAACGAATACTCGCGAGAAACATACATCTCGGAAAATGCTCTACTCCCTGGCCAAGTACACACGTACTTTGCGGGCAGCGAGCAGAATATATTCCGCGCATACAGACAAGAGCTTGATACTGTGAAGGACCTTGATTATAGCTTGTATGTAAAGCTACCAGCCATCTTAAAGTCGGAGGAAACTCTCGTCAATTAAGGAATACCAGAACTAATTTATTATACAGGGTGTCAGAAAAGCTCCAGTCAGTGTTTCGAGAATCAGGGCTGAAAGTTGCTACACAGAACTACGAATATCAATCTTCTGGGAATGTATACACTGGTCAAAACGTTTACAGCGTTATCCATGCCCCGCGTGGGGATGGCACCGAAGCCATGGTGCTCATAGCAGCCTGGAAGACCGTTGATGGGGAGCTCAACCTCCACGGCGTTGCTCTAGCATTGACGCTGGCAAGATACTTTAAGCGTCTGTCCCCCAACCTATTGATGGGTGCTCAAAATGTACGTTATTAACCTATATTGATTGAAATAGGGTGGTCTTTGTGGTCAAAGGATATCATATTCCTAATCACGCCAGATAGCAAGTCAGGAGCGCAAGCCTGGGTCGATGCTTACCACGATATGCATCCACCCTCTGTTCAACCATTACCACTGAAAAGCGGCGCTATACAAGGTGCCATTGCATTTGAACATCCTCAGAACCACAGATTCGAGTCCCTTCACATTCTGTACGACGGTGTGAATGGGCAACTGCCGAATCTTGATTTGTTCAATACCGCCATTGCTGTTGCTCGCGGTCAGATGGGTATCCCAGTTGACCTGCAGCACGTATGGAATCATGACAATAAATACCAGAAACGCCTCCAGACCATGCTTAAAGGCATGATTCGCCAAGGACTAGGCCATGCCGCTGGAGTCCATAGCAGTTTCATCCCCTACCATATCGACGCTATCACGTTTCAGACCATTGGTCTGGATGGGAAGATGAAATGGCTTTGGGAAGATCCATCGAGGGCCTTGTCCGCAGTATCAACAATCTCCTGGAGCATTTCCATCAAAGCTTCTTCTTTTACCTACTTATGCACACTAAACGCTTCGTCAGCATAGGAACCTATCTTCCTAGTGCAATGCTAATTGCAGGGAATTTTACCATTATGGCAATCGGCCTCTGGCTCAAAAGTGGACGCCGGCCCTCAGATGCAGCCCCAGAAACACATCTCATCGCTCTAGATAGCAAATCAGGGGAAGGAAAACAAAATGACGCTACAACCACTATTGATGGGGTCAACAGAGCTGTAGAAAGGCACCTGTCACTGCCATTGGCTCTGGTACTGGGGTTACATTTCTTAGGGGCCGTTCCATTATACGCTTTCAACAGCCTTCCCCATAATGTATGTGTATCCATATTATACCGGACAACTGTACTTTCGGGCCAGCTAACAAGCTTGTTCTAGCTCCTATCCTATGCGGCGTACCTTTTTGCCGTAGCGAACGTCGCCATTCCCCTCGTCATTTCTGTCCTTGTTGTTCACTTCCTACGGCCAACAACCCAACAATTCATCCTTACTAAATCATTTTCTCTTGTCCTATTGGGATTATTTCTCTCTGCTCTCGCAACACTCAACTTCTCGTTGTCTCTCCTCCTCGGCCTCGTCTGCACACCCCTGACTTTCATTGGCTACATGGAATCCCCTTCAGCTCAAAGGAGAGAGCCCAAAACTAAGTTGCAGGCGGAAGAGGAAAGTGACGCGCGGACTCTACTCATGATAAAAACTGTGTTTGGCATATTGCTCCTTAACATTCTCTCCCCGACTGCTTTGCTCTTTGGTATATGTACAGCCTACAACGTCCCTGTCGAGTTTGTTCTGTCTGAAGCAGCATTTGGATGGAATGTCTGGGGAATGTGGACACAAGTTGCGGTTTGGTGCATATGGTGGCCAGCATGGCTGGTGGGCTGTGTGTTACACTTCTCCTCTATCCTATGATAACTAGAAGAACCAATAAAATGGTTAATAATACATATATACGAATTTAAAGTATTCTTTTACCAGAAACGTTCAGTAAGTAATTGTTATAGTTGATAATTGTTTTCCGGTGTGTAACTTAGAAGCACACCAGGCCACTGCATTTGGCCCTAAAATGGCAATGTCATTGCATGCGCAGTTGATATTGAAACGTTCAATTTGACCAGATGGCCTCAGCTATGCCAAAAAAAGAAAAAAGCTTGCAGCATTTCTACGTTGCCTAGAAGATAATACCCACGAGAATTCATTCATGGGATTATTGATAGCGCGCCAAAAGTGGCTGCGAGTCCCAGATTTCTTCCCTTCGGTGGAAAGCAGACATATAAATCTTAGAGGAGCGGGGTGATTGGATATGTGTAAAGAGTCGAGTAAGTAAAGTTACATATTTTGGAATGTTAACATTAGACATGGGAATCAACAGAGCTGTGATATTTTGGTATGCATATCACTCAATATCAAGCCAGGCCTCCATGGTGGGCCATGTGAGCATAATGTGCCCTAGTACCTTGAGTACAATGGGATAGCTAGAAGAAAGATCCATTCCATTAGTATGTTTGATTAACGTCGGTAACATTGAATTCTTTGGTCTATTCCCCAGTAGGACGCAGTTTAAAGTACACGACTGTTGACCATGAGGATAGAAATCCTTTTATGCAGCCCAGACGTCTTTCCCTACACTTTCAATCCAGTGGCCGAGCTGGTTAACACCAGCATCCCATTCACGTAGTCTCGTGCGCATTCCCTCAATCTGAGTCATGTCTAGAACCTTTGGTTGCACCCAGTGGACGTGTGCTATTTGCGCAACTTGGTCAATTGTCCCCTTCAAGAGACCGAGACTGAGGGCCTTCATAATTAGATGCTCGATTTCATTAGGTTGAACTTTTGTCTCCTCTGATATGGTAGCAAAGGTCATGCTTCTGTTGTGAGGTGGTCGGCGGAAGACCATCTCAGTAAGTGCGGCAAGGGATATTTTCTGATATAAAAATACCTTATGCTGCTGAAGCAATTGATTCTTATCCATGTTGACAGCCAGCACATCATACGCACTCAGATCACCTCGGTTGAAGGCCATAAGCAAGTCTCGAAGCCAGGCATGAGGAGTGCCCTTTAGCTCATCGAGGACAGGGTGAAGTAGTAATTCGCCAAAATTGTATATGGTATCAGAAACTAGTGCAGCAACACTTAGGTCGTATGCTCTAGCAACTCGATGTTCTGGCGCCAAAGATTGCAAATCAATGCACGCTAGATATAGAAGGGCATTTTTGTAGTATGAAGCAAATTCAAGCTTGGCCTGTGATATAGTTTGTCAGCAAAAATATACCTTCCTAAAAGCAGAGTTGCCACTACTTACATGATAGTAGTCTGCGTTGACTTTGTAAAACGCTGCGTGTACTACATTCTCGACTGAGTCAAACATGTCTAGCACTGCCTGCGAAGCATCAAGATCCTTTCGAGCTCCCTCAAAGTCCTTCAGCCGTAGTTTAACGCTAGCAACATCCGCAATCGCATACACATGGGCATCTTTTGACTCAGGCTTATCAACTTTGCTGGCTAACGAAGCTAAGAAGGATAGTCGTTCTTGGTCGTCTAGCAAACAACGTTTGTTAGCAGTCAATCGAACCTAGCCAAAATGTCAAGAAAACGGTCCCACGAACCACCGCATTGTGTTGATGCCATTAGCCCCAGCGTCACGAACTTCAACTGATTTATCTTGTCTGCGAAGGTAAGGATGAAGTTTTTGAAGAATGACAGCCTCTGAGGCGCACTCTCTGGTAGACAGAAATACTCTATCAGAGCATTTGTGAGCTGATGCCATAGCTTTCGTTCCCAAAAGTCTTCAACTTGTAAAAGTAGTGACTGGGATTCATCGAGAGCTTCCCCTCGTTTCTCCGCAAGGAAATCTGGGATCTTGTCAACCTGCATGGTGACCGGTGGTGGGTTTGGCGGAACGGCCGTCGGAGAACGAGAATGAGCAGAAGGGGTCGCGGCGAGGAAAGGACTAGTGATGGTCGAGTGTGGATAGCTGTTCTGGTGGCTGTTAAGAGGTTTTGCTGTCCCTGATATCGCTATCAAAACAGCCGGAAGGAGATAGTTGTTTGTTGCGGCGTTCGAGCAAGGCCGAAACGATGTTGGAGATCAAGAGCTTGAGTGGCCCCTGCGCTCAACCGTACAAGCTTTGATGAGTAAGCTATGCTTAGTCATAAATCGTCCCCAAACTCTCTTTTTAGACTTTACCCAGACATCAAGTCAATAAACCACAACTCGATATCAACATGCATCATTCCGTGCTCTTTTGATAATAAGAGGCAGGACTGTCACCGGAATGCAAGCGGCTGCCTTGATTCTGATAGCCTTGTCCAAGCAGACATCTGACTAGGGCTGACGTATCCCAGGATCTTCAAAAAATGTATCCGAGAATGTGTCCGAGAATGTGGCCGAGGCGCTTTTACACTCTACAACGTAGAGCACCCATTCGTGAAGAACGCTGGCGTGACTCATTGGCGTTGGATATGGAAGTTAAAAGTATCCAGTGATAATGTGGAGATGCCCGAGCTGGCAAGAACTATATAAATAACGACTTCGAACCATGTATTGGGCTATTTCATTCAAAGAACATTTTCCATACATCTGCAGAACGAACATCTTATTATCACTGATTTGGGTTAACTATTGGACTACAAAGATACCACATACAATGTCGAATGTAGCTGCGACAAACGAGGCACATTTTAAGTGAGAATCCTAAAGTTTACCACTGCTTAACACCATATCAAAGGAAAGTCACGACACTGACCATACATTAGTGCCTCTGCTTCAACATATGAAAGCCGTTTTGCAGAGGCCCTTCGAATTATCGGCAATGAGGTTGGAGAACGTTCTGGATGGATTTGCCCTCGATGGGCCGATATGACCGGCAATGCCAAATCGTTCAGGATGCTTGATTACGCATGCGGTGCAGGGTCCATGACTCGAGTATGATGTCTTGGTTACTCCATACATCGATTTGAAATGATACTAATCACATATATAGGCATTACTGTCTCATGTTTCAGAGGTCATTGGAATCGATATCTCCCAAAACATGGTTGAAGAATATAACAAGAACATTACTGCTCTGGGGTTACCAGCAGACAAAATGTTTGCTAAGAAGGGAAACCTGTTGTCAGAGAAGCCCTCGGAGGAATTCTCAGAGCCGGAGTATTTCAATTTCGATCTCGTCATCATCGGCTTTGCTCTTCATCACTTTGAGTCCCCAGCCTTTGCAATGAAGAGGCTTGTTGAGAGACTGGCGCCTGGGGGAATTTTGGTTGTGTTGGACTTCACCGAACACACCCTCAAAGTCGAAGAAGGGGTCACAGCATCTGGCTTTGGCCCTGGCTTAAGACGGCAGTTTGAGGACGCTGGCGTAGGAGACGAGTTTGATTATGTGATACCAGATAGGGGAGTGATGCACGGAAAGCCCCCCAAGGAGTTGCGGTATTTTCTCGCTCGTGGAGAACGACCGAAGAGCACCACACTACAGAGCTAGCTATTTAGAAGCGTCCTGCCTTGTCCAACACCGATGATTTTTGAGATGATTAGTTAGCTATTAAACCCTCTCCTACTGGTCTGATAATCTCCTCCCTGCCGATCTTCTCCCTAGTTTCATCATCCATAAAACGTAGAGCTGTTACTCCAAGCTTCGCTGGAAATCACATTTCTAGAAAGTGATTTTCACGATCTAGTTGTCGTTCTTAATTATCTCTGCACATTTCTCGCCAATTCCGTACGCTGGCATCTGGTTGTGTCCTCCGTGCAACGTGGGCATGACACTGCAGTCCGCAACTCTCAAACCAGTAACGCCTCGTACGCGCAGTTTCTCGTCGAGAACTGCATTTGGATTACCCGATTTACCCATGGCACAAGTTCCACCAGGGTGATAACCTATTTCAGGCTGAATAAGTATAACAATACAACTAATGTGGAGTAACAGCTGCCATCACTTACAGGTTGTGCCATGCTCCTTGACATAGGGTATCCATTCATCCCTGGTCTTGAAGGTATGATGCTTAAGCTCTGGAGGCCAAGAACCCTTAATGATATCCTTCGTTCCAAGTCCCTCGGTCAGAATCTCATTACCAAACCTGCACGCCTCAGTGATAACCAACATATCAAGCGGATCATCAAGGTAGTTGCAGTCTACTGCAGGTGGATCAAGAGGGTCTGTTGATTTCAGTGTCACAGAGCCGCGAGATCTAGGGCCAAAGAGCTCTGCAATAAAGGAGAATGTGTGGCTATTTGTTGGGTAGATATTGTAGTGCTTCGGCCCACCATAGCATTCAGTATTGAACAGCTCGATATTTGGTTGGCATGGAGCGAGTCCCATCGGGTCTCTCCCTTCCTCACGGGGTGCATTTTTCCAGGCTGGCACGTCTGCTAGGAGATCGTCGACACGAGCAAAAGCAAATGATCCAAAGGGGAACGAGGACAAGAATCCCGACTTGCGTTCTTTCCACTCAGCGTAAGACTTTTCAAAGGCGCCCTTGTGATAGACAAGGTGGTCGCTTGTTAGGCCTTCTTCAGTCTCGTAAAAGATAGCTACAATCTAATGATGGTTTAGCGGTGGCTTGAAAGCTGGTTGGGGATCGGCGGGTGACAGATATATAACTACAAGAGTATATATTTCCATTTTTTTTTCCCGCCCAAAGCGTGGTAGTACAACTTACAAGATGGTCCATTAGATTCTTGCCAACCCCGGGGAGGTTGATCTTGCAAGGGATGCCGTGCTTATCGAGTTCTTCTTTTGGCCCGATTCCAGATCGCATGAGAATAGCTGGGCTGCAATAGGCACCGCCACTAATGATAACCTCCCGCGTTGCGTAGAAGGTCTGACGTGAGTTGTCAACGGTTGAGATGGCTGCGACTCCTGTAGCCTTCAAACTGCCGTCATGAGGCTCGACGATGACCTTGTCAACAGAGGTATTGCACAAAATAGTTACGTTTTCTTTGCGGTTGCCTTTGGTGAGATAGTCAGCAGCTATTGAACGGAGCCCCTTATGCACAGTCCTCACAACATGGCCACATCCATGGGACACTTCGCCAGTTGAGAATAAGTCTCCCTTGTATGGGATGCCCTTGGAAACGAACGAATCCAGAATCCGTTTTGATATAGGGGCAAGATCGTGGGGCTCAGTGTGGATCGGCCCGGAAGTTCCATGAGCACCTTCCACGCTTTCCAGCCATGGCTTCGGATGGTATGTTTCCGCCTTGCGCATGTGTCAATCAGCGTCAATTTTTCTCTCATCTCCCGCTTCCACCCTATCACTCTTGTCCTCCTTGAAGGTAAAAGGACTGGGGACGGCACACCTTTGACATGCACTTGAAAAATTCCTCTCCGCTCCAGCCTTCAAGACCCCAATCATCATAGTCTTGCTTGCATCCGCGGATGCACAGAGTACCGTTACATCCACTGCAGCCACCAAGGAATCGTCCTCTACTTAGCTTGATTTCCCTACCATCCACACCCGGCATTGGTTTGGTGATGATATTCCAGTCCGTTTCCGAGTCGAAGTTGTTCAACCAGCTAGGACTTCCTGTTAGTACGCAGACATAACTGTCTTAAGATCGCGAACGGGTCTGTATACCCTCCCACCATGTGGACATTTTCTAAATCTGCACTATCTGGTCCAGCTTCGAGGACTAAGATCTTGAGGTTGGGATCCTCTGCAAGCCGCCCAGCGACAACACAGCCTGAAGTGCCTCCCCTAGACATACATATGTCAATACTTTTCCGGACAAAGACAAAGTTACCAATACCAATGGCCTCGCCGCTTACCCGCATATGATATAGTCGTAAGTCGCACTCATGGCTACCGAGCACTTCGTCGTTCTCTTCGGTCTTTTTATTTTCAAACCGTAAGATTAATGTTAATGGCGTCTGATTCCGCAAATTTGGCGGGATATGTGAAGATGCACAGGCTCTGGGAGCGATTGAATGACTGAAAACCCGGTCCTCACCCCGCCAGCTCAGCGAACCCACTCTAAGGTCTCTCTCGGCTACATGACATTATTGGCCAGCCAGCTGCTCTCAGAGCGCTGTCAGTTCTTCCCGTGTGCGAGGAATTTATGGTACCCCAGAAAGGGTCCCATAGAACTATCGGAACTAGTAGAGGGAGATCGACGGCTTTTCCACGCTACTGTCGTGATGCAGCTTGTGACGCCTCGTATTTTGGCATAAGAGATGCCCTTCCCGCCCCAAATAAAAACCTGCCAAAAGGAAACATCGAGGACGTTCACACAAATGGCTTCGGCGAGGCCAGCCTCCATCTCAGTGAATGTATGGAGTACGTAATATTCATATGTAACTAACTAGTTATCGACCTGACATCTGGCCCTGCACGCAATCAGGGGCTATTCGATCGATCTCACGGATCATCGAACAGTCGAACTTTTTCTCGCTTGCTCGCTCCCGCTTATGCTGCCGGGCCAATAGTCGGCAGCTCGAGGGTCGCCCGCCCCTGGAAGGTTGAGTCCGAGGCTCTCCTCTATCGATCATATTTCCCGTTGTCCATTCTCGTGCTGGTGGCTGCAAGTCCTGCAGAAGGAGACCCAAGAGCCCTAGAATATCATATACTATCTTGTGGTCTCCAGCCGCGTTGCTCGCAAGACGGCTGATATTCTCCTTTTTCTTTTTCATTTTCGTTTTCTTTTTTTCGCCTCCATGAGGTACACGTCTTCAGATGAACGATCAGCGATATGGTTGTGTCTGATTTGACACAGCATATACCCACCACATCGTAGATCGCCCCCAGAGCCATAACTCATGGTCGTTAGTACTGAGATTTCGGCGACTGGAAGGCGCTTGGAATCTTGCCACTAAATAGCTCGAATTGTTGCTGCGGGTTTAGCCAAGGTTAAGGTTGCTTTGCAAGATGTTGATTGATGAAAGGCACTTTTGAGAAACGAAGGCCCGGCGTACGTGAGCATTGCTTTTCCTGTGTGTCGGGGACGATCAAAGCATGGCTGTGACCAGTTTGATATAATACTAGATCAATTTGGCATGGTGATGGCTTTGTTAAACAGTTCAAGTCCTCCCTGCGCGCACCACTATGGCCTCCCGATTATGAACAGAGCGTAGCTCTTTGAAACAGTCGGCTTTGTGGACAATGAGAAGAAGCCTTTAATACCAGCCTATAAAATTCACTGTGCATGTTTTCCCCTTTTCGTCTGGATTATACGAACCGGAAGTGAAATGTGGGATTCAAAATCGACGCCATTCAAGCACGAGGCATGGACAGAGTATGGGATCGGAGTTGCGGTTATCTTGTTGCGAATAGCCGCAAGAATAAAAATCGTGCGTTGGAACTGGCATGGGGATGATTACATTATCATCCTGGTGTTGTTGTTATGGTCGGTTAGTTATTCAAATACAAACTATTCACCAATTTCCCCATGGGCCAAAATGATATAGACAGCTAACTGTCAAGTTAGGGAGAGCTCGCGATGCTAGAACTAATAGGTATGGCCGCGCATGTTGCCTGTTGCGCTCGGAATTTCGCAGACTAAGACCTCTCGTGCAGGACGAACCGGTACCAATATCGGCTTAACAGACGCCCAGCGAGCTGCTCTTACCCCCGAGGAAATCGCAATGTTGGAATTTGGCACCAAATGCAACTTGGCCGGCTGGTTGATGTATACGACTCTTATCTGGTCTCTCAAATCATGCATGCTCTTCTTTTATGCCCGGTTAACGTATGCTGGCCTCCTGTCCTCTTCCACGAGCTTTACCAAGAATGATAGCTAAAATCCCCTTCCAGGATTGGTCTATATAAGGAAAAGATGGTCAAGATTGCTGCCGTCGTATGTGCATGCACGTATGTTATCAGCATGATAACCATCCTAGCGCACTGTCGTCCAATTGAGAAAAACTGGCAGGTCAACCCAGACCCAGGAGGTAAGTTCGTCTTCCAAAGAGAATTATACGGAGCCCTAGATTGCTGAGGTACCAAAATATAGACATTTGTACACTGGGTATTCCGAACTACCTTACAGTTGCACCAACGAATTTGCTGTGAGTATCCCAGGGAGTGTAGACGGGACACAAGCTAACGATCGCATAGCACCGATATGCTTCTTCTATCGATCCCTTTGCCACTCTTGGTAAAAGTTCGGATACCTTTAGCACGGCAAGTTCCCCTCCCTATTTAGAGATGGTACCTATGAGGCTAATGTCTCATATATAGGAAGATGGTCATTGGACTCTTGCTCTGTGGAGGCGTATTTATCATGGTCGCAACCCTTCTCCGTTGTATCTTGTCCATCCAATCAATCAACGGTATCAATATCAGCACGATCTGGGCTATAAGAGAAAGTGTATGTTCCCATCTTCGGCTTATACATACTATGCTCCCACCTACCGACTGCCAGGGCTTCAAATACTGACTGAGTTATTTCTCTAGTTTGTTGCCATTCTCGCTATCAATGCCCCGTGCATAAAGCCAATATTCAGCCCCAGAGCCTGGACTGTTACCAGTGACGAGTCCTCACCCGGAGATAGCGAGAATCCATCTTCGTTAGGGACTGGCAGTTATCAACTCAGCAAAGTGTCCAAGTCATCCAGGTTTGACCAGCTATCTACTCTCCGGACAGTTGATGATCACTGTAGCGAGGAACTATCACTTCCATACTACCAGGCACAAATGGGAATTGCTAGCCACGCTCCTAACAGTGTATGTGGAGCCACTGCATCTACAGGGAACCAATCCCTCGAGATCGAACACTCCGCGCACGGGGGCATTCAAGTCACCACGACTTATGAAGTTACTCCTTCCAAGCCCTTTGAAGAGGGCCACAGGAATGAGCTATGACCCTACCATCCTTGTGTGCAAATACGGTCCCCTTTTTTAGCGTTTGTACAGCACGGAGTTGGCTATTTAGTGGTCTACCGCATGTTTATGGAGGCCCCGGTTCTCTTTTTCCAGGCTACTAAAGGCGGGTTTGGTCATTTTTTTGTCTAGTGGGCGTAAGAGCTTGGGCCTATGGGTATACTAGGGAGAGGATGTATTGATATCGCACTCTGTTTGCAAGGACTCTTGGCGTTCAAGGAAAGGTATTGTTTTGCTTGGTGTTATTCCGTTATCGGTTTTCAGATGCATTAGTTCATAATGCATGTTTTCGAGGGGGGACGAGACTCTTAGACACCGTCGGCAGTAAAGTCGGCCGTCCGTGGCTGTGGTTAGTCTATTCGCCACTTGACGAATTGAGGAGAATATCATATTTTCGTCCACTTGATAGTTCATAAAGTGCGTTGACTTTCTGTAACGTGAGTGCATCGACTCAGCAGTGTGGTAAGCCTCACCAGTCACTTAGGGCTATAGGCGGGTTGACACGCTCTTGGTCTCTAGTGATCAGATTGTGACCGATGACAAAGTTTTGCGTGTGGCACAGCTTGGATAGTACTGTACCGATGTACGAAAAACTCCGATAGACGTACATTTCTCTTGATTGATGTAAAACCAAGCCCAGATTCTCGGGTTCTCGGGTTCACACGGAACGCTTGGACCCAACTGGGAGTTTGGGTTGAGGAGCGTGTAGTTGGTCTTGGGGCAAGGCCATTGGTGTTCCACCGTTGGATCTATGGAATGCAATGATCGTAAAGGTTCCCGCCTCCCCAGCCGAGGTGGCGGTTGGTGAAGCAGTGGCCTTATCTTTGTCTGTTGTTTATTACGAGCCGGGTGCTGGCCGCGGGATGCCCAAGGTCATTTGATGGCGACGGCCCTCTGGTACGTATGTTGCACCACATATCTGCTTGGAACAATTAGAATCTCGTCGATAACCTTCAAGAAGCCTCCACCCTATCATATCTCAGTAATGCCTCAGAAATCAGCTTTCTCATCAGGCATCCTGTTAAGAGGAATGATAGCCGTTGGTAGTGGAACAAGTTTAGAGTACACATTCACGGAAGATCCATCATAATGACACAGGCTTGTGGTCGAGATCAAAAGCCGTATCCTTTCTCCTGGTAGTCGCGAAGTCAAGTATCTTTCTAGCCGTGGAATCAACACGCCTCCGTCTTGTCCGAAGCTGCTATCCTGCCATTCCGTGTTGGCGCGCGAAACAGACACAGTCCGTAACTTTGGCATTATCATCATATCAGTCAAACACAGCCTAGCTGGCTCCCCAGTAGGCAGTGTAGACGATGAGGCTGATGTTTTGAAGCAGAGGAGATGTCGTTAAAAGAAGATGTAAAAGAGAAAAAGTGTCAATGTAATTCGCGTTTCTCCATTGGACGGAGCAGGCTTAAAGCGGCCCTAGTTATGGACGCATTTGGTCTAGCGTCGGCTTCAGACTCTCCCATCAACAACCAGCAATTTATCAACTTCGAGGAACGACAAAGACAAGCCATCGTCAGGCCCCTCTGATATCACAACTCTCTCGACCGGCCCGCGTCTGTGGTGGACTGTTTTGCTCTCGACGGGCGTTAAATGGTTCATTGACCGGGATCACAATGCAGAAGTGCCGCGCCGTGCAGAGCGCCTTGAGCCCCAAGGCCGTTCTCCCACTGTCGACTCCTGTGCGAGCTCAACCTCATATCCAGCGCAGAAACATACAGGATGTCTTCATTACCCGAACCGGATCTCCAATTATAAAAGTGCAGGGTGGACGGTACGTACTTATTAGTCCTGGTGTGGCCGCAATGGCAACGGAGGGAAAGGGAACACTTTCGCTAACATCGGATTCGTCACTAGGTCGTCTCTCGGAGGTATGCTTATAGATAACATATATGCAATTGGGTATTCATAGATTCTAAAAACCACCTTACATTTCAGGCCATACCGCTACTGTTTTCGGCGCAACCGGTTTCTTGGGTCGTTATATTGTGAACAGACTTGGTATGGGATCTCCGTTATGTATGTACGGCAATGGATGTGTTGGCTGATATTGGGATTATACAGCACGTCAAGGATGCACTGTTATTGTCCCATACCGAGAAGAGATGACAAAACGCCACCTAAAGGTTACTGGTGATCTGGGTAGAGTTGTTTTCATGGTACGGGCCCGAAATACTACGATTGGTATACGCTATTTGCTGAACGATGATATCAGGAATATGACCTCCGCAACACTCAATCCATCGAAGAGAGCGTACGCCATTCGGATATTGTCTATAACCTGATCGGCCGAAACTATCCTACAAAGTAAGAACCTATTGTGCGCGACTCTCGAGTGACTGCAGTATTAACCTGGTATAGGAACTTTTCTTATGAGGATATCCACGTTGAAGGAACTGAGCGCATTGTGGAATCTGTTGCGAAGTATGACGTTGACCGATACGTCCATGTTTCCTCTTACAACGCGAGCCTCGACTCTCCCTCGGAGTTCTTTAGGACCAAGGCTCAAGGTGAAAATGTTGCAAGATCCATTTTCCCAGAGACTACTATCGTCAGACCAGCCCCAATGTTCGGATTTGAGGACAGACTCCTGCACAGACTTGCCGGAGTTACCAATATCTTCACATCCAACCATATGCAAGAACGATACTGGCCAGTTCATGTAAGGTCACCCCTGACACACTATCTGAAAGTACTTTTCTGACCGTATCATAGGCTATTGACGTTGGGCGGGCACTTGAACTCATGCTTCAGGAAGAATGGACCACTGCTCAGACCTTCGAGCTCTATGGTCCCAAGAACTATTCCACCAAGGAAATCTCCGAGCTTGTTGACCGCGAAATCATCAAGAAGCGCCGACACATTAACGTTCCAAAAGCCATCATGAAGCCCGCTGCCTACTGGCTGAACAGACTCCTTTGGTGGCCCATCACATCCGCCGATGAAGTCGAAAGAGAATTCATTGACCAGCAAATCGACCCAACTGCTAAGACGTTCAAGGACCTAGGAATCGAGCCAACCGACCTCAACACTCTTACTTTCCACTACTTGGTATGTCTTCCGAACTTTTCTATACTACTTAGAATTTCTACTAACTTTTTCAATTACAGCTTGGATACAGAAGCTCCCAGTACGCAGATCTACCGCCAGCTACCGAGCGCGAGCTCAGGGAGGAGAGAAAATATCTCCATGTTCTGGACTCTCAATAAACTGGTACTATAGTATTGTTTCCTTGCATTTTTAGATCTTGTATGTATGTACACACAGTGTCTTCCTAACGTCTTCAAATTTCTTTGTCTTGTAACTTCCACCTTCCACTTAATCTCTATACCAGTCAAAATGGTTCCATTTATAGAGGGCTATGGTATCCAGGCAGTTATGGTCTTCTTCCTTAAATATTTCTCTCCATCCCATTTAGAGCCCTTGAGTGGAGGTGAAGAGGGATGAAGCCTTTAATAAGATTGAGACCAGTCAATTGACTGTTTATTATACGGAGTACTTTCATAGTCCAAGCCACCCCCCCCCTGGAGAGCAAAATCGATATCCTCTTCGGAAGAGGTGAGAAGGATGAAGATACTGCTTATAGTTTAATAGTTATCGGTTGTTCATCCATTTTGCTAATAATCTCTCTTTCTAAAGGCTCTTCCGCCATATCGACTGAGTACCAAGTACGTTGGCCATTGGTCTTGCCTGGTAGTATCACATTTATTTATTTATTCATATACATCTATTTGAATGTCTAGGTACTTAAATGAGGCTAGCATTTTACAATAATCTTAGTGGTAGCCGCTTAGGAAGCGTATTATTTAAAACTGTAACTCTCTTTTTCCTAAACATTAGGTACCTCGGGAGTTATCTTTACTGTCTATCACTTCATAGTTAACCACCAGCTTTTAACCATGTCATCGTTACCCGTTACGAGAGAGATTCCAATCTATTTTCTTAAGACTAAATCAACTCCTCACGATGGTTATAAAGAATATTTCTCGCCCACCAAAGGCTTCAAGCCATACTTCGTCCCGGTCTTGGAGCACAAGTTCAATCGCAATAACTTAGCAAAGGTGAAAGATCTCATTCTCTCCGGTGCATTAACCGAACAATATGGTGGAATAATATTTACCAGCCAGAGAGCCGTCGAAGGCTTCTCGAAGATGATACAGGATGAGGTAGGGAGTAAGTGCTGGTCTCCTACACTGATGAAGATCGGACATATCAAGCAGCTAACGGAGACCTGGTTTGCTAGTAGACAGCTATACCGTAAACCTCTCTCGCTCTCTATCGTTTTATTCCGTGGGTCCAGCAACATATAGATCCCTCAAGTCGTTGTGCGACGTCTACTTCCCGCATTCGCAGGTTATAGGTGAAGAGGCAGGCACTGGAGAGCGGCTCGCAAGCCTCATTATCCCCCATTATAACGGCCTACAGCAAGGTATATCGGATGAGAACGCGCCTTTAGAGGCTATAAAGAAGGAGAAACTGCCACTTTTGTTTCTCGTTGGCGAGCAACATCGTGATATAATACCGAAGACACTCATGTCTCCGTCTCTTGGCCATGAGGCACGCATCGGAGTTGATACGATGGTAGTCTATGAGACGGGAGTCATGGAGAGCTTTGGACAGGATTTTGTAGCGGCTCTCGAAAAGCAAGACCAAGGTTATGTCGATATACCTGCTGGAAACAAGATCCCACATAAACAGTTATTATGGGTTGTAGTATTCTCGCCTTCTGGCTGTGAGGCGATGCTACGGCACCTAGGTCTTCTAGAGGAAAGTCGACAGCCAGAAGAAGATAAGACATTGATACATCCCGTTGGAAAGAGGAGGACATCGAGCAGATGGTCAAGATTTGACTGTCGAATTGCAACTATTGGGCCAACCACAAGGGACCATTTGGTTTCTAATTTTGGGGTACAGCCGGATGTTTGTGCTGAGAAACCTTCACCAGAGGGACTGGCGGAGGGGATTGAACCTATTATAGCGGAGTGGAATAGGTCTGAAGAGCAAGATAGATGATCTGCATAGATACTATTGAGTATATACCATGCATCTTAATACACTCATAATGATATGCTAAAATCAAGTTCAAAGGAGTATGTATGTATTATTGTGCGGCTATACAAGAAGATACCTTTAAAAGGTAGAAACGACATACTATCTATAACTAGGCACTAAGCAATATCCAAAGCATATAGACATTGATTCAAGACTGCAATGATAGAGGCTACTGTCAAAGATAGCGGGTTTCCCTAGGCCCAGCCATTTGTACCTTAAATCACACGCTGTGTGCGGCTTCCACATTTTTAGTATTCAAAGGGAGTAAAAAAATGGGAAATAAAAAACAGGGGTGTAGAGATTGTTAGATATCGCAAGTAAGAAATAAATGGAAACGAAATGGAAAGGGGGGAGGAATGGATAGGAAGATACCCTAACGCATAATTTCTTCAAATATAAGAACTATATATAGACATGGTGCATTAGTTAGATGTAAAGTATAACGGGTGGAAGAGGGCGGGATGCAACGTACCCTTGAGCTGTTCCTTGCTCAGTGTGTCCTTATCCTTATCAAAATCGAAGAACTCCTCTGGGATGGGGTCCGCCGAGGGCTCATCCTCTGGGTCATGGTAAGGTTCCAAATAAGGGTGGCGTAGCGCTTCCTCCACAGTGATTCGCTTGACGGGGTTAAAAGCAAGAAGTTTCTCCAACAGATCCAATGCCAGATCAGAAGTCTTGGGGAATATAGCCTTGAGGGCGATCTTTTTCTTGAAGGGTAGAGAGCGAATGTATTCACGTGCACGGCGGGACTTGATTCCATAGTAATCCTCCATCGTTGGAGTTCCAAGGATATCCAAAATCAGGGTCAATTGGTGGTGGTCTAGTTACTATTAGTCAAATATACCAATTGATTTGGGTAGGTATAGGGGGAAGTGTGTAAAACGTACAGTCTTTTCCGGGGAAGAGAGGTTTGCCGCTGAGCATTTCGGCAAGAATACAGCCTACACTCCAAACGTCGATAGCTTTGGTGTATTCCTTGAATGTTAACATAATTTCTGGGGCACGGTACCAGCGGGTTGCAACATATTCAGTCATGAACCCGGAGTTGTCGTCTGTTGAGGCGGCAGAACGAGCAAGACCGAAGTCGCAAACTTTCAGGTCACAGTTTGCGTTGAGGAGCAAGTTGGAGGGTTTCAAATCACGGTGAAGCACGTTAGCTGAGTGCATGGCCTTTAGTGCTCTTAGAGTCTGGTAGATGAAGTATTGACAGTGGTCGTCAGAAAGGTCTTGGGTACGGATGACTCGGTGCATATCAGTCTCCATCAATTCCTATAGCGGTGTCAATACGATCAAGCAACCGATATTCTCGTATGAATAGCGCATACCTGAATAAGATACACTTCGGTGAAGCTCTCAAAGTTGCGGGGTTTCTGAATATCAAGAATGGATATAATGTTTTCGTGGTTGAAGTATCTTAGCAGTTTCATCTCTCGTAGAGTGCGCAGACAGAACATGGAGTGGTCGAAAGGGGTGATCTTCTTGATAGCTACTCTCTGGCCGGATGGCTTATGGACAGCGGAGCTAAACACGGAACAGTTAGACACTGGCTATCAGGCGTTGGACGATGGAAGATTCAGCGTTACCAAACAATTCCGTATGCTCCCTCACCGATCACATCCTGGATATCATATTGGTCGGAGACATTGAAGGATATCTTCCTGGAACCCCCGTTGGGAGCTGCTGGTTGAACCATGGTGTCTTTATGTCAAGGAATAGCAAAACCTCCTGGATTTCTGCTGGTAGTAACTGGGTATAGAACCGAGCGATCGGGCTAAGGCAGATATTAGAGGAGTGGTTTTAGAAGAAGTAGAATATGCGGCAGAGAATTTCTTCGAAGCAATGGCTCGGAGCGATGAAAAGTGAGGAGGCGAGGGGACGATCTGTATTGAGAGACCCATTATCAGCATTCAACTAGTCTCATGAATAAGGGGCTTCCTATTCATTTGCGTCTGAACAACAACTCCGCCAGGCTAGCTTGAAACGCCTCAGAGAGCATCACCATCACTTACGTTTGAGCATGGACTCTGCCTGTTATCCCAGTTGAGTGCGCTCAACCACACAGGATAAGCAGGACTTGACTGCCCACCGGGTATAGAATAGGAGATACAGGCACTTTGACGTACCGTCTGGCCGAGCGCGGGGCGAGCAGTTATAATCGGCCTTTTTAACCCTTATTCTCCTTCAAGCAGACAGACAAGGCGATAGCCGGCTCGTTTAACAGTGTTACCACTTGGTTTCCGGTCGTTCGGCGGGTGGCTGGTGGTTGAACCGTTGACTAGCTGGCTCGACAGGTGGTTATCAGACAACAACCATCAAAAGTGACGCGGAGAACCAACACAAACACCGCGACACGACTTGGAAGCAAAGACAGGCCACAAGCAGTCGAAGTGAAGCGCAACAAGAAACACGGCACGGCGCTGTTATCCTGCTGACAATCTGCCTCGAGAGACGACGGGCTAGGGGGAGGACGACAACGAGAGCAAGGATGAGGCTGCTCTGCTTTTCGCCCAAGATGTGATGAAATGTGATGGACTGAGGGGTAACTAAAGCTTACCTACAGAGCACGGAGTAGCAAACAGCAAAAAGGAGGCGCAGGAGGAGAACAGATGGACGCTGCGAGGGCTCGAGTCGGTCGTGAGATGGCACGGAAAGAAAGAGAAGACGGCGACGGCGATCGAGAGAGACACAGGCGGCCGTCTTGTTGCTATATCAACACTCGCTGGACCGGGAGTCGACCAACTTACTAGCAAAACCGCCCCCTCGCCGTGAAACCGGCGGCTAAAAACTAAGCAGGCGCTTTCTCAAACGCCGCAACATCCCAGTCGAAAAAAAAGGGGGCCGGCGGTTACATATAAAACACCACGAGATACACACCCACCCGCCATCTGGAGACGCAGCATGCGATGCAGTGACAGAGACGGGGAACCAGACTGCTGTTTCTATTCGATGCAGGCAGCTTAGCTATTTATAGGACGGCCATGGCTATAAACCGACGGTTATTTATTCGCTTTGACACCGCTGGGATGGATGCTGGCCGTTATATATCCAGTCATATGGCCCTTGTTTCAGCATGCTATTCGCCCGCTATTCAGACAGATCGCCCGTCAGGAGAGCTGTTGTTTAGCGCCCAGTGACGTTTGTCCCTGTTATTGATAGCTGATATCGGAATAGCACCTCTGTCGGTCGAGGTTGGGTCAGCCTGGTTGTTACCTGGCCCCGAGTCCGAAGAGACCAAGATCTATGTTAGGACGGTCAAGCTACTGCCGGAAGACATACCGTTTAGTTCTAATTACAGCAAGAAAAAGAGCTGTGACCAAGGGCTAAGGAGTAATGAAATGAAGGCTACATTACGAAAACGGACTGGGATCAGGGGTTTATGAGTAGTTAAACAAATAAAAGAGATGGCTTGACTGGAAGTCCTTAAAGGATCATTTAGCAAAGTACGAAATAAACAAGCGTGACATATAGGGAAAATCCTCTTTGTAGCTTATATTCATTATTACTTATCAAATTCCAGAGGCTGGATGCACCAAAGAAGATCTTGTATTTAGTTTTGTTTGGAGACTAGTTAAGCATCGCACATTATTATCTGGCGTTAAACGATGAAACAGAGCGAAGATTAAAAAAAAAAAAAGAAGACAGTGAAAAACCAACCCGTCTAGTACTAAGATGCGTTTACTGAATGACCTATAATAGAAAGGAAGATATATATTAGCGGCGTAGTTAGGTTAATAGAAAAGAGGCGCGCTTACCTTCTCTCTCAACAAGCCCATCCATTGTTTTAGACTGACGCTCTGGTCTGCGCGGTCCTCTACAAACATGGACTGTGCCCATAGCCTTAGTCCTGGCTCTCCATCCTCCTTTACTACGTAGAGATGGGGTGAGATGATGCTTCCTACGCCTCGCGACAACGTATCTCGGCTCTTGTTAACGACTGCTCTGACACGCTCATTGAAGTCGTTCTCGGTCTCGGGCAGGAATTGCTTGCCAACTCGGAGATGAGACTTGTCGCTGAGCCCGAATACATCGTTGATAAGCTGTGGGACGGCATCACGGCCAACCCATAGGAATTGAGTCTGGCCGTCGTCAATCAGGTACAGACCATGGGGCACCAGGCGTTCGGATGAAAGGTTAGTCAAAGGCGGGAGCACGATTTCTCCTGTTTCCTCGTGAGGGATGCCGGCGTCATCGGGCATGTCATGAAGCGAGTACATCTTGGGGTAAAGGTACTGTATAAGGAGAGGAAGAGGCAGAGTAGAAAGGAGACAGAGAGCAGCGGATCTCATGTCGGTAGGTATTTGAGCGGATTTCCGGAGACCAAGCTAGACGTTGTTAACGAGGCATTTACACCACTAGCGGCACATAAAGGAGCAGGGAATCTACTTACGTTCTTCATCATTGCCAAGAATAAGATGGGTAGTCCACGCAAGTTTGCAGGGAACTGCAGGCCACCACCGCCTACACTGCCACCAGCCAGCTCCTTCCTGTACGTAGAGAGTAGTTCTATGATCTTAGCCTGCAAGGCATCCCGAGCTGGGTCGAGGCCGCCTCCGAGAGTACGCTCAACAGCCTTATGACTGAAGTAGGTAGCAATGGCGCATTGGTCGGCGGCAGCGTATACGTCGGCGAGATTCTGAGTAGTTGGAAGAGCCAGAGTCAGGACCCTGATTCTTCGTTCGCCATTGCAGGTGGTGTGCAAGACAGCGGTCTGCAGGCACACAACGGGTTTGGTGACGGTTTCATCAATAGCAACCTCTACAACATAGGCTTGGTCGCGGGGGAAGGCAGGGAAAGCGCAGAGATCCGAACTTCTGTTAAAGAAGTTTCCATAGAATGTGTTCATGCGTAGACCGGTGGTTGCGCGGACACGGAGGACGGCCTCAAGCCCAATTTCAGAAGACAGGTAGTCCGAAAACTCCTTGGCAAATTTGATAGCATCCTCGCTCCTAGCGGCATTCCAGCCAGGGTAAAAGTATGTTTGGCCACCGGTGTATCTGGGCAGGTTACTGAGGGAGGCCACGTCTTGGTATTGAGAGGAAAATAAGAACATGTCGACAGATATCTGCTGTTTAGAGCATTCCACAGCAAAGCTCTTGTAAAAGCTGTTGCCGGTCTGGAGCAAACTGCTCTCTTTACTTGTGCCAAGGACTTTCTTATCTTCTCTCATCTCCAAGCTACCGAATCCCATGTTCGGTAATGAGGCAGTCAAGACGGTAAGCTTACCACCAACGGGTCCAATGAGTTGGTGACCTGCTCTAAGCGCCGATCCCATGGCAGATCCAGGGTTTTGGGTATTCTGGAACATCTCTTGTAATTTATCGAGGAAGATCTCGATATTCTCCCGGGATTCAGCTAAAGTTATCAAAAGATCACCGGGAATGGGCATGAACGGTTCGTCCAAGTCGCTAACAACGAGCATGTTGGGCTCAGAGCTCTCCGATCCGTCGCGGGGGATGGTGAAGTAATGAAGACTGGAATCTACCGCAATAAAGCCGATTCTGGTTCGGCGGTCTGCGTTTGGTATCCGGTCAAGGCTTTCTCGGATGCATCGTGCGGCGGTAGCTAGCAATCCACTGGTAACTGATGCATAGCTGACATCAATCAGGAAGAGGTAGACCAGCGGCTGGGGTGGCCGGACCATGTATTCCTGTGGAGCAACGAACTCCACGACGGAGTGGTTGAGGTCCGGTCGCTGCCATCTATCAACTGCCTTTTGTGCAGCGGGATCCCAATCAAACGCCTGCGGTACGTCATTTGTCAAGCTGCACATGTTACATCTCCAACGGTGGCCATGATCAAGAAAGGTAACGAACGGGTTGATGTATGAACGGCAACGTCGACACCGAGAAATTACCTGATCCGATATAACTGGAATTTCGTCCTCGGAGTCATGAAGAGAGGCATATGGCTGGATAACAAGGGCAAGGGGCAGACGAGACTTCTTCAGGAGAGAGTTTGTCGTTGGCACAGCATTGAGAGTAGATCGGACGTATTTTGCTGGGCAGTTTGCGTTCGGCGAAGGTGTTACGCTCGTCTAAAACCATGCTATGTTAAACTGCAGTGTCCTCATGTAGCACAAAGCGTGAAATCTTCAACTTACGTTCGGGGGGAGAATAATTGGAGGTGGTGGGTATTCAAACTCGGCAACGTTGAATCCCTGGGTAAGTAGGTCAGTTGGATAAAGCTGATTGAGCTGCACCGGCCGCTGCATTCCAGGCTGCTGCTGTTGCTGCTGGTCTCCCATGTTCATCTGCCCCATCTGCTGCGTTATCTGTGCCATACCAGGACCTGGCGGAGGCGGGTATGAGGGCATAGGTGCCTGGTATCCTGCGTCTGTGCCAGGATACTGTGCAGCTGGCGCCGGAGCTGGTTGCTGGCCTGGATAAACACCTCCTTGGGGATACCCCTGTGGCTGCTGAGCACTTGGATAGCCGTACCCTTCAGCTCCTACTCCTGGTTGGTTCAGGCCAGCATTGGCGCCAACGCCGAAATCAAATGCCTGGTTGGCGTATGTACGTTTCTTTCGGCCATGGGAGGGTGCCGAAGCAGGCGCACTATCATGTGGAGGCGCATTGGGTGCTCCAGGAGCGCCTAAGACTGTGTGAGTTCGGGGTTTCGTGTTTGGGGGAGGGATGTTCTGTATCTGGGGTTGCTGACCGTAGCCCTCTTGACCCGGAGGCGGGTAGTTCCCCTGCGGAGCTGCCATTTAGACTGCTAGAAGTGCTCCCCTTAACCTCTGACAGCACAGATAGGCGAGTGATAGGCGCTGGTAGTCCTGGAGTGGCAGGTTCAAGGAGGTCTGAAGTTAGGCAGTTCGTTAGCAAGGGCCCGTCAGCGGTCAATCGTCATTGCAGGAGGGGCTTGTCTAGTAGCCTACTGTTGCTGTGTATTGCTTTTTCTTCACAGAGCTAACATCAGGGACGATATATCCTCGAGATAGCAAGACAGTATCACCAAGGTCACGCTGCCGTGGGCCCCTTGGACAAGCTGAGCTGCGAGTGTGAAGTTCGTGGCGAGTCGTGAAGCTGTAGTTTGGCTGTTCAAGCATCGAAGTTTGGATGTTTTTCTTTGGGGTCACGGTGGCCTTCTGCTCCCAGCCAATCACAGAGCAGGACTCGCCGTCTACGGCCACATCGCCAAAGTTGATAAGATTGAAATTTGAACAACACGCAGGCCGCAGTTGGTGTTTGGCAGAAGCCAACAGGAGGAGGAGGAAGAAAGAAGAAGAGGAAGTAAAAGATGTCATTCATTTTCCGTAAGTGAATGAGGTAACAGGATATGCCATTCGACAGAAATATATCAGATACCATAAAAACGCCGCCGCTAAATGCAAGCTATTTCAAAATTGAACAGAACAAAAAATACAGTTCTCCTCTTTCAAGCAATGACAACTCCGTTTCTCATATTTTCCACAGTCTTCACTCCTACTCCCTTCAGCTTCTCGAGCTCAGCAAGGCTGTGAAGCTGGATGTGGTCCCTGGCTCTATCGTCCATGTCACATAGACGGTCGACAATGCCCTCCGCTTTCTTAACTCCTACTCCACGTAGCAGTTTGATCTGATCAATATCTCGTGTATTAATCACTGACAAGATATGAGAAGAACGAGGTGACAGTATCCCCTCTTCTCTTTTTTCTGCATGGCTCGGCTGTGTCTCCGGAGCTGGTAGAGTAACCTTGGAATGGGTCTGTCCTGGTTTCCGACGGGAGGCATCAGTTGCAGACACTTCATCACAATACCCTTCGCAGGACTCCTCTTCATGCTCTGCACGGCTTTCCAACTGGTCAGGGCAGGATGACGACTCTGTCGTAGACTTCTTTCCTGCTGCTTTCTTGCATCGAAGTGCCTCGATCTTAAGGGCTAGCTTGGCATTATTCGGGAAGAATGGCTGCGCAAGTTGGTACATTCTCAGCGCAGATGAATATTCGCCCCGAGCTTGATGCTGTTTAGCCATAAGGAGATACGACAGTCCATCTGCCCTGGAGTCCTCAGTCTCGTCAATCCGCTGTTCTAGGAGTTCAAGTCTACGTTGCATTTGCTTGTTCAACTCCTTGGACTGGGTTTCATAATCATCCGGTTGGCGAGCTGAGAGCACTTCTCTTACTTTCTTCTCAACCAGCTCTTCAAACTTTGCAGCCGACATGCTGCTCATACCGTGTCGTGGCCGCTCCTCTGTTCGAGCCATCTTGAACGGTCTAGAGGCTGGCTGAAGGCCATTTCCGGATCTTCTTTTCAATGGTGACTTGCGTTTGGTGGCCTCAGAGGCCCCTGGCTTGGTGGTATTCTTCGAATGAGATGTGTCAGTATACACCGCAAAGGCCTTGGCTGGCTTTCCGTCTGACGGGTTGCGAGCCTCAGACGTCACAGCTGCAATATTTGCATTTATAGATGCGGTAAGGGGTCTCAAGGGCTGTCTCTTCACTCCAGGGCCAGTGAGACGGCCTGCTACAGGCCGAGGTGGTCCCTTGAACATGGGCTCGTTCTCGATCTCCCGCGACTCGATCTTCTTTGTCCGATTTGCAAAGTTGAGTGAGCTTAGAGTGTCAAGATGGAACGACCGAACAGGAGCAAGGTTCAGAATCATTATGGTAAGGCCATTATTCTGACCTAACCCCAGGATTCTAGTCATCTTAGACTCCCTATATGGCACTCTCGCCTGCTTTTTGTTGATGGCTTCGACGCACTGTGCCAGGACGAACAGGCTTCTGTTGATGCTCGCTGATTCTACCATCCTCTCCTTGCCGTTTTCAGTACGGCGGTTATCTTCAGAGCCTGCAAGATCAATACAGGATGCAGTGCTAACTCGTATCTGCTCCTCGGTAGTCACCGTCAGTTTTACGGAAAGTACCGCATGGGACCTCGAGGAATGCGAATTGAGCTGCCAAACATGTTAATTCCAGGACCTTTTTACATTGGGCTAGAGTGTTAGACCTCACCTTCGTCGCAGATGTCGACCGATTCAGGTTTGCGTGGTCGTATATGACTTCAAAGTCCTTCAAGCTGGTACAAGGCCGCTCCGTCAAGCCAACAACAACGGTTTTGACCCCGTTGTCTCTCAACGGCAAACCAGACGGTGTCCTCTTTTCCACCGGCTCGAGGAGATCGAATATCTTGTCATTATATATCTCATAATAGCTCATCGCGACATCGACATTCGTTCGCCCCTCAGAGTCTCGCTCCAACTTGCGGCATCGTCTATAGATCCCGCTCAACAGTCGAGGAATCACACCCCGGTCCGCCAAACTCTTCCCGCCTCGCATCGTATGCGTCTTCCCGGTTCCTGTAACACCGTATGCGAAGAGAGTGATATCAAACCCGTTGAAAAGATGTTTAAGTGTAGGCGCCACTGCAGGTAACAAGACAATAAGAATAGCCAGTTAATTCCAGTCCCTCTTCGCTTGATCATGTAGTATATACAGCTAAAGAAAACTGCAATAAAAACGAATATTCCCGCCAGCAAAAGCAGGATCAAAAGAAAGTATATTAACTGACCTTCTGCATCAAATATCTCCTGCTGAGTAGCAGTGCCATCATACACCGAGTGGAACTTGAAGCTGAAATCCTCCCCTTCGTTCCTAGGATTCGGTATCTTGACCACCGTAGCTTGCGCAGCCGATAGGTCAGCAGCCTCTCCCTTCCCGCTCTTCCCTTTCTTTGCCTTCAATGGCTTTTCGTTCGCTTTGCTCTTAGATATAGCCTCGTGTCCGCTCGGTACGGCTGACGACGAACTTGACGGACATGGCTGGACAATAACATCGCACTCCCGTTCCGTTTTCAGGAGAGGTCGGATGCGAGCAATGACCTGGACGCTCATGGCTGGGTACCGCGTATAATTCGTGGTTCGTCTCTATTTTCTCCAGATTCGGTTGGCTGTTTATGGCTGCTCACGGAGTAAACAGCAAGCCGGTCAGGTGCAACAGCAGAAGATACAGTTGCAGCAACGCAAGTCATAAGACGATAGACCGTATAAGAGTATCCTGGAGCAGATAATATTCAGCTGAGCTTCGGTTATCGAACTGCAGGCGCTTCGTCAGAAAAACGGGCTTCGAGGCGCTGAAGACAATTAATCAACAAGCAGGCGCTAAACAACGCGGACGAAAAGCAACAGACGAAAAGAAAGAAAAAGAAAAAGAAGAAAGAAATCTCCTCTTCGCTGGGCGTGATACCACTCTTCCTCGGGCGACTTTGAATCTATCAGAGGAAAAGAAGGGCAAGTTCCGATTTTGCTGCCTGCTCATGTTGTAGCTAGTTTGGTGCATTATTTGTGGGCGCAGAAAGTCGCTGTTGTCCGGACAACGACGTCAAGCCCCCTAGTCGGACTTTGGAGTCGCCGATATGTGTTACTTCTTTCTAGCAGTTAGCTACCACGGAATAACTGGTAAGACGTTGATTCTGGATGGAGAGACGAAGATGGTACTTTGTTTATTAACAGTATGATAGGTATAACTATATACTGCATCGGGGCCGTAAGCCGATTACCCCCATTCTAGAATGTGATATCAACCGACTTCCTACCCACCCCTTAACTATAGTTATACGCTGAAAATGCTTGAAAAAATCGAAATATATCGACCAGACGCTCAATCATGCCCGAGAAAGGATCACACACAAATGCCGTAACAAGCCCATGCCCATACCCGTGGGAGGAAGGAAAGGAAAAATATAGAAACAAGAAAAGAAGGTGCTAAACGATTATATCTTCTTCATGATGGTTGTTCCAGCCAGCCTCATGCGGGTGAAGACGAAGAACATGCTGCCAACCAGCAGCATCGAACCAGAAAATACCTGCATTCTCCAGTAATCACCATGGACGACATCAGGGACTAGGGATCCGCCAAGGGGGTTGCCTAGAAGCACGGCTATCGAGACAGTAGCAAACATGGAACCGCTTCTGACGCCGATTTGGCGCACGTCTGAGATGTGTGCGACAAGACTGGGTGGCAGGGAGACAAGGGAGCCAGATCCGAAACCAAAGAGGATTGCGAATATCACGTCTGGAATGGTGCCACGTGAGGGTATCCATATGGCGAAGACAACGATGACGCTGAAGAAGGACATGATGATTACCACGTTGAAGAGCCCAATGCGATCTGCAACGTAGCCGGGGACGGTCCGTCCAAGGATACTATATTCATGCGTTAGCGTCTGTTGCTGCAGAGTATATCAGGCAGAAAAAGGGGACTATATATATACATACCTCGCTGCGTTAAATATCGACACCAGATAACTCGCGAGACTGTCTGGTACGCCGTATCTCCTTGCATGTAAGACTAGGAAGGTGAATGGCAAGAACATGCCGAAGCAGTAGATGAAGGTCGCTGCCGTAAGAAGGACAAATGGCAGCTCCATGAAGGGCGTGAAGAATTCTTTGAGAACCAGAGGCCTAGGATGGGGAGGAATCCTAGCTTTGACGCAGCTGCATGCTACTATGCACAGTCCGAGGATCAAGAAGGCACAGACACGCATCGTCCAAGGGAAACCAAGCATGGGGATGAGCTTGGTGATCATGATTGGCATAATGATTCCTCCAAGACTGGAGCCACTGGCAACGATACCCACGGCAAGGGCACGCTTCTTATAGAACCAGGTGACGGTGCTGTTCATAGTTGGATAGAAGAGAAACCCGGCTCCAAATGGACTGCAGATACCCTGGGCAAGGAGGATCTGGTAATACTCAGTAGAGAGAGAGGTCATCATGAGACCGAATACATGGAATAGCGAGCCACCTATTAGGAGATACCGTGGGCCAAAGTTGTCAAAGCCTTTGCCACATAGAGGTGCCTATAATTATGTGTTAGAGATCACAAGTCATTATTTCATGTCTTTCTCCTTCCTGGATGGAGGACCTACAACAAGGTACATCATGAAGAGTTCTAGAGAAGGGATCCAGGCCACTGCGCTTGGAGAGTATGACTTGAGGTCGTGGGCTTGATAGTAGTCCTGGAAGATACCAACACCTATCCGCATATTATCAGCACTGAATGACTGATACGGAGACTGTTAGTTGATGGAAGAGAAGAAAACTCACAGTTAATCCATCCGAAGCTGACGAAGAGTGCACAGAAGCCGCCAAAGACAACGGTCCATGCCTCTATGCCACCGTCTGGATAGCTGTCTGGATCTATAACGGCGTCCTTGGGAGTTGCCACAACGTCAGGACCCATCTCAACGTCTGTGTCGTCCCCGGAAGCCATGCTATAAGCATCGTTTGAATTTCTTAAACCATCTTCGCTTTCCCTCCTCCAGCTGCTGTTGGTTAACACTGCAACGGCTTGAGGCAGTGCAATGGTCGATACAGAGGAGCTCATAGACTGCGATCGGGCAGTTGGCCCTCCTTCTCCTTCTCCTCCATGAGAACCCTTATTTTCTTCCCCCATGGCGCAGGATTCCGTCGGCAAACAAGCTGAGCAGGCCTTCTGTCGTCAACCTGCACGTCTTTCTCTTCCTTGTTTTTCCCCCTAGTCACATCCTTCGACAAGGAGGCAAGAGAAACAGAAATGCAGGCAAAAGTCTGATGATATAAATACTATTTATTCGATGCAAAGGGAGGGGGGAAAAGAAAGGAACGACAACTCCCCGCATATATGCATATAGATAGTTACAGCAACTGAAGAAGCAAAGGGTAATCAAGATAATAATAATACAAGAAGGAAGTAAAGGGAAAAGAAAATAAAAAAAGCTGCATTGAAGGTTACCGCAATCCAGCGGTGTTTTCGTCTCGACCTGTGGCCGAACACCCGAAAAACACCCGCTATAAGCATCCGGCCAAATGAACCAGGGTTCAAGCCGCGAGTCTGCGACAAGCAGGCCATCCAACAAGAGGCGACGGAGCAGGGGACGTGGAGCCGCCAAGTGGGCATCAGGTTGGGGGTTGAGTTTTGGGCTGTCTGACAGGCTCGCTCCCGGCCTCTGGCTGCAGGATGGACGCTAACACGGAGCATATCTGCGGGAAGGGGAAGGGAGTCGCGCATCCTCAACAAGCAAGCCATCGCCAGCGGTGTGATCCGGGCAGTCAACCAGGTAACCAGCTATCAGAGCGTCATCATCGCCTGTCTTTTCAATAACAACAACAACAACAGGAGCAAGACTCTATAGTTAAAGCCGGCCTAGAGATGCTATCCACACCGGAGGAGAAAAGCTTAGTTAAAACACGGAGCAATAATAGTAACTACACTGAGGCAGACCTGCTAACTCGAGCCTCAAAACGGTTCCATCTTTCGAGACGGGCAAGCCGAGATGCTCCGGCGGGCTGACAGCACAGGCAGCGTGCGTGCTGCTGGCCGCAGTCCCTGTTGGTGTTCATCAGATCTCCATCTCGTTTATCCCTGGTAGTTATGGTTCGTTCGAGCGTTCAAGAAGACAAGTAGAAGGATGATGATGCGTCACCAAGCCAGGGGTTCAAGCTTGAGTTCTTGCAGGGAAGGCAGAGCAGGGCCAATGCTCGTATTTCACCGGCCTCGTTCGGCGGCAAGACAAGCCATCAGGATGGGTGTATTATTAAAGCGCCAGCGAGTCAGCAGGTCGAGAACGTCGTCGTTCGTCGTTCTCGAGTTGTTCAGTGTCAGGCAAGTAGTTACGTCCTGGTGCAGACGCCATCCGTCTGGCTTGTGAAACCTGTGGCTGATCTTGGCCATGTGTTTAAACTGATCTCAGCAGTCATGAACCAACCAGCCATATTTCGCCCTTGGCCCGGAACGCCATGTACGTATGTTTGTATGTATGTAAGTGGATAAATGTATGAACATCTGTGAAGAAGAAATATACAGAGCCAGAAGCCCTTCCATGCTCGTCTTTTGCCGTTGTCCATCTTGTACCATGGAGCGTTAGCTTAACCAAGTAATAGGGTCTATTAATAAGAAAATAATTACCAGCTACTCCTACAAGTAGCCTGCTATAGTCATACTTGACTATACCAGGGCTAAAGTCTCTGAGTCGCTAACCCAGTGAATATAGTGATTCACTCTTCGCATCCTCTTCTTCTTCTTCTTCCTGTTTGTCGCCTTTCTGGTCAGCTTCGTCCTTTTACTTCAACTTCAACTTCTACCTCGTCTGCTTCTGCTTCTGTTTCTTCTCCCTTATATTATCACTATCTAGCACCATGGGTTCGCGGCCTCCATTCAACCCGCTGCCCATATGTCCTAATCCCATACAATGGGACATACCAAAACGAATCACCGACCTCGAGGCCGTCCGTGATAAGCCTGAGACACCTAATGAGCAAAAAATAAATATCCAGGTGGCTATCGACGTATATAAGGAGAAGAAATGTGCTGTGCCACGGTTCTACATACAAGATGGCAAGATTATCGACCTCCAAAGCCTGAATCCTAGACGTATACATTGGGCAGATGTAATTATTCCTCCTTATACGGAGTAGACGCTCACGTTTCATCCACTCCACTGCTTACCCACGTTCTGTCTAGGGCTTTGTCAACAGTACTAAACCCGAGAGACTGTTACTAGCGAGAACGTTTCTTTCCTTCAACAGATGTTGTTGTATTCCCAGCCCGGCGATGAGAATACCCCTATCCCTGAGTTCGAGGTGGAGGTCGGTGATACCCTTGATAACTATCCTCTCCACCAACGGAGGCCGTGTCCGATGCTGTAGATATAAGTTTATATCAAAAATTCAGCCACTACACTAAAAGGAGCGAGTCCACACTAATAGCGAGCAGATATGAAGCTTGACCGTATGTCAACCTGTTCTACTCACTGTTACGGAGACTTGCTAACTAACATTCTTAGACCTTAGCCTGCAGGTCAACAGCTTGCGCACCGGATGATTACCGGCAGCGATTTGATAACTGTCTTTGACACAGATTTGATCGCACTGGGCGTCCCTCAGCCAGCCAGTTGAACAGTTTGGCTTACCAACTGCAGTATCTACGGCTAGTGGAAGTGTCTTACGCCAAGGCATCATGGCCGAGATTCAGCTGTTGGGGCTTTCTGGGTGATCCCAATTCGCGCTGGACATTAGAGGAGGGAATCATTGTCCCGTCTGCCGAAGGTGGGATGAGGCTAGTTATCCGGCCGCGGGATGAGGGCGCCGTCTTTATATTGCAACTGTTCCAGGGAATGCTCGTCTGTATGTCGTGCAACAGAAGAACGGAGCTGTGCAGCAACTTCCTGTTTAGTTCCAATAATATGTATACATAGAATACCACAATGATTCTTGTTTTGCCAAACCTAACAGGTAGTTAAACACTTCTACTTTGAGGTAGTTCTTCGAAAGCCCGGACGAGGAACTTCGTGCCGTCAACGATAACCGCTCGACCAGGCGATCGCCAAAGCCCTTCTCCCTCGCCGCTGAACTGCAGGCTCTCGCCGGCGGCCACCAGAGATGGAAGCCTATCACACTCGGCGCCGACGGCATACTTGACGGCAGCGTTCTGTCCTGTGGTGGCATCCCACATCTCTCGCCGACCGGACACCTCTCCTCCAACTTTGGTCACGGCTGGCTTCCCATCGACCTGCTTCTCTTGGTACCACTGCGTCTGTCTCAGAGCGATGTAGTGGCCTGGCACACGGCCCAAGAACGTCTTCACCACCTTTGCGCCCTTATACTCTTCTTGCCCGAGCACTGTGATGCTAGGGAGCATCTCTTCTGACTCGAGAATCCATGCATATCCACGTCCCTTCGGCACAGACGTGGGAATGTCGAGACTTCGCCATAGCTCTTCATATTCACAATATGGAGCTCCCGGTAGGTCGTGGCGGATCATCTTGCCCATTTCTAGGTCATCTCCATTAGACAGCTTCTGGAAGGTGCCTATATCTGCTGTATCGAACAGCTGGAGCGAGTCGATGGCGTGAGTGAACACGACGATAGCTGTAGCGGTTACCATTAACTAGTTGTTCGTAGTTAACCAGCAGTCTTGTACTTACACGGAGACTCGCTCTCAACGACTCTCTGGCCCGCCATCGCCCACTCGACCTTGCCAGACTCACGCTCGATCCGCAGGTCGACGTACCATCCGCCTACCGAGAGCGAGGCCGTGTCGGTCGTCTCGAACGCGGGCTCTGGCGGCCATCTCAACGACACCCGCGTAGAGATATTCGCCGTGCTTGCAGCCATAGTAGAAGACCGTCTGTCTCGCTAGACGACGTTATTTCGGTATCGAACAAACTGACGTCGTTGCCCCCCCTTGCTTATACCCTTGGAAATACGTGCTTAACTAAAGACGTGGGATAAGAACCCCGGGCCTGTTCTTTACGGGGATCTTCGTATATAACTACTAGAACTGCGATGCGATGCTTGGTCGTTTTCTCTGGATAACCCATCAGCCAGAGAGTGCGTTTTAAGTCAGTCTAACCCTTCATTAATATGTTCAAAGGTAGCATAGGTAAGTATACAACAGGCAGGCAATGCCAAAACGGCTATATGCATGTAGATATGTTCGAGCGATGTCAATGTACTTCGGTGGCGCGACGAAAACCAGCTTCATCGCCCTTGAAAATCAGCCCAAAAGTTACAAGCGGTGCTCGTAGTCCATGAGAACTGGAGGCTTTGGTCGAGGCCGTGTTACGGACCCGCTGCCACTTCCAGCACGGAACTGCCATAGCATCTGCATTCGCTTTATCTGACCAGGACTGAACTCAGTCAAGCATGAGCTAGAAGAGGGGGTCATTAGTCTTGTGTACGAGCAAAATGATACGTATGTAAGAAGAGAAACTTACTCGTAGCTGTAGTCCATGTAGTTATGGATGGAGTCGACACCTTGCTGCGGGCAGGAGTCCTTCCCTGTAGGGCATCCGCTGGAGGCGGAACCCTGGACAGGAGTATCCTCAATCATGTCACCGTCCTGCTGGCAGTTTCCTTCCTGCTCGTTGAAGACATGGTAGAGACCTTTATAATTCAGTTAGATACTGTACAAGTTCCACCATCAAGGCTAATTATGAATAACGTACCCATGAAATGGCCAACTTCGTGGGTGGTGGTCTTGCCCTCATTGTAGTTCTGCGCTGAGCCTCCTGGGACAGAATTGGAGTTGATGACGCATCCATCCTTGATCTTTTGCCCCTCAGACGGGTTTTTCATAGGGAAGTAGCAGAACTATGTTGATGTTAGTTGTTTTCCAGTTGATAAGTTTGAAGGTAAGTAGTAAAATAGTATACGTACACCAAGGAGGCCCTCCCTAAGCATGGGGACAAAGTAGACATTGAGGGTATCGTAGCCACCCTTTCGGAGGGCACTCTTCATGCCCATATCATCCTCGCCAGCGGCCCAGGTAGGGTTGTCGACTGAGTCGGATGCCACGAGTTTGAAGCTGAATCCAGATGCTTTGTAGTCAGAATTCAAGACAGCGATTTGCTTCTGCAAAGTTTCATCCTGTATAGTTATCAAGTTAGCAGCCAACGAGCAAGCCCCAAAGACACTAGACGATAACTGTCATACACTAATCTTGCCAGTGTTGCCATCAGTGATGACATGGAAGTAGGTGTTGATGGTAACGTTGGAGGTAACATTGCTGAAGCTAGAGGTGCGGGAATTTTCCATGGCCTCCTTCAGCTCATTGCTGAAGGCTTTGTGAGGGATAGATCCGCAGCTACGCTGAGCAGCAACGGCAGAGCTAAGGGCAGCAATGGCTGGAAGAAAGACTGAGAAACGCATCTTGAAAACGAGAGAAGTGTGTAGATCCTGGAGACAAGAGAAGCTCTGAAGAATTTTCAGGGGAAGATTCCAGGAGAGAGGAGAGGAACGGATGGGCAGCCATTCTTATATTTATACCCTCCTCACTTCCCCCTGGTAAAACCCTGTGCTCTCCTTTACCCGGGGGTTATTCTTGGTAGTGTTGGGTTGAGTATCATGTTACCGCCTTGTGAGTCTCATCTCTGATCCAGTCATAAGATATCAAAGCACTGATTGGAGGGTATCATATGGATGGAACAGATCACAACGGTAAAGAGAGCATGAAGTTTTCCAGCCTTCGTCTGGATGAAAGGAACCCTCCTTACCCATGTTACTGGTCGGCTTCCTTCCACACTGCGCCAAGTGACTCCGCCATCGGGAAGAAAGGTGGTGGAGCTTTGATGCAAGGGCCGAAGGGAAATTCTCGAATAGCCGCCTGTGAAGGGTAGGCTAGGGCCGCCATCAAAGCGTCTGACTGCTACGCGGAGGATGCTAAAAGAATCAAGCCGCGGCAGAGAAGCGCAGTTGAGACACAGGACAGCATCACGTCGGTATTTATACAGACGTCAAATGCGCTATATCAGAAGGTGCCGCTCCTGACCAACGTGAGAACCAGTGGCAACGCATTTGCCGTGGTCAGGCCATTCTTATGTATAGATCGCCATCTGCGTTGAAGTTAAAAAGGACCTGCAACATGGAGTTAATTCTCCTGTGCATGACAGAAGTGAGACGATCGCTTCCTGAGACGTGGAAATGATAAGCCCCGAGAAGGTTTCGTGATGCCAGGATATATGCATATCAAACGCCATCTGTACCCCATACTCCACCTCTGTAACACCAAGCCACGGCTGGAGTGTGCTGGTCAGGCATCCTTTTCTCCGAATCACGATGATGGACGGCGAATGATGCTGTTCCCACACTCTCTCTTACCAGTGAAGTCGAGGTTTTTAATGGTTTGAAACGCTAGGGAAGGTTTCAACCTGAGTCTAATTTTAGGGTTCGGTGTCTCCGCGTATTGGCGGCTGCTTGGCCCAATATGGTCTAGCGAAGGCCGCTCCACGCGAACCTGTTGGGTTATGTCATCAAATCAGATTAAGCTATATAGTCGCCTAATAAGCTGGGATAGGTCTGAGCTCACTTTGCAAACGTGTGCAATTTATTCTATCTAGCGGCTAATTATGTGCGAGACGGGTATTTTTTTATATTTTGGAATCACATATCCACGTAATGTAATACCCTACATCATTATTAAGCCGAGAACCAAAACAGATATGTAAATATATTCAATATATATTTGTATGGACATTTTCGAGTTGACACGTGACCTAATCATAACGAGTAAGTGCTGTGTGTATTATGTAATCTCAATATCCATCTCGTATTGTTTAGCCGGTGGTGCGATGAAAATATGTTACACCCTTGAAATTCGTCCCGAACTCACAAGCTCAGCCTCGGCCTAGCAATTCTCGGGCTGGAGGGTTTGGTTGTTGTTCATTTGGACCTCATCCTCTGTGGACGACGCCAATGTTGCCATATCATGTGCATTCGATGTATCTGGCCAGGAGTAAACGTGTCCATGCAGGAACTTGAAAGGAATCATTAGCCGTTATAAGAGAGAGATTATAGGGCATATATAAGATAACATACTCATCACTGTAGTCCATATAGTTGTGGATGTTGTCTTTACCCGAATATTCGGGGCAGGTGTCCTTGGATTCCGGGCAGCCACTAGTGGCATTGGCCTGTCGGGGAGTGTCATCAATCCCGTCAGCATCTTCGTCGCAGCCTCCCGCTTCGGGGTTAGAAAAGGGGTGTTTGAGCCCTTGAGGGTGCAGTTAGATACCATATAAAATTAATTATCAAGATGGAGAATACTCTGTAACTTACCCAAGAAGTGGCCAACTTCGTGGACGGTGGTCATACCCATGTTGAGTTCTGGTTCTTCGGTACCAGGGAGGGTACCAGTCCAAATGGAACATCCGTCGTACACAATATCAATCTTGTCTGGGTCTTCCTTGGGATACTTGCAGACCTATGATAATATTAGTTCACTTCTAGATACTAAGGAGCAGCTTGGACAAGGAAACATACGCCAATAATATCATCAACATACTCAGTGATGTAGAAAAGATTAAGGGTAGCGTAGTCGCCCTGTCGGAGCGCAGACACCATGCTCCTATCAGTGTAAGCTTGCTTAACCCACTCATTGTTCTTGGTCCGTGTAGTTTCCAGGAGCCTGAAACTGAATCCGGCTGGTGCAAAGCGCTCATTCAAAACCTCGATTTGCCTCTCAAAGTAGATATTCTATAAAAAGTTAGTGGCCAACGAGCCAGTTCCAAGGATTTTAGACGGTAGCTACCGCACACTTAGTTTGCCCTGTCCATCTCCGAAGACGAAGTGGACGTAGGTGTCAATGGTAACGTGAGGGGTGCTGGAACCATGAAAATCCTTGTGGCCAGAGTCACCCTCCTCGCGCCTCAATCTCCCTATCTCGGCATCAAAGGAGTCATGGGGGGAACTTCCGCAGCCATGAGTGGCAACAACAGGCCTGAGAGCTGCAATGACGGAGAGTACAACAGAGAACCGCATCTTGGAGAACAAGAGATGCGAAGACCCTTGACAAGGATAGGAAAAGCTCTACGATTCCAAAGGAAGAAGGAAAAGACGAATGGAGCGGGAAGCCATCCTTTATATTTCTTATATCTTTTTCTCCCACAATAAAGATCTGCAACCTCTGCTCTCTGTCTGTCTCTCCCAACCCGTCCTGGAGTTGCTGATATTGTTGAATATTCAGGCACCTCTGTATGACTTGATCCAGCTTTGCGCCTCTCACCTGTTAATTCTGAATCCGGTTGTGGGATCTAGAAAGAAACACCAACGGAGGGTATCACGGAAGAACCGGTAAAAAAACTGCATATCGCAGCAGGGGATATGTTTTCTGTCCCTGCGTTTGGTGAAAGGAGTTCCTATAACTACCACCTCGCGTCGGCTATTACCGAGCAACCCAGTGAAATGTGGCGAAGCTTGATGCAAGAGAGCAACAAAGCTGTTCTTTAAAATAAGAGACGCCGGTAAGCCTGAGTCATGGAGGCTATCAAGGCGCCTGATGGCTACGTAAAGCGCGCTCAGGGTGGCGGTGATAGAGAAGTGACGTCCAGCCACAAGATGAAGTAGTATCGATATGTTTATTGTTGACTGGCTATAGTTATCAGAAGATGCCAATCCTGATCAGCCTAGGAACCAGTGGAAGCCCGCCTTCTATCGCATAATTGGTTAAGGATATATTGAATCTGCAGCCATATCAGTTGCCTATTATTTAGTTAATGTGCTTGCTAAACACCTATACTCCATTCCGTAGCCCACTAGTTATAAGGTACTACCTCGTTGCCTTGGAGGCCGGAGACCAAGCATCCGCTGCCTCTCTTTCAACCCATAGTGCCTGGTCCACCATGTATTTCAAGTGAACCATCATGACGACGACAGGTGTTCGTGGATAGGGCCTCAGGTGTTTTCTTGTTATCCCCCATGCTCGGTCTTCTTAATAGTAAGTATAGTTAAATATTTAGCATGATCCCTGAGTTAACTAGCATAAAGTTATATCCTAGTCGTTATTGACTAGTTAGGTACCTAAATTATTTAGTTATGTATGTACTCTCATCATATTTTCTTCTGGCTGCTGCCTGCTGTCCACATCGTACCAACATCGAGCAAAGCAGACGGGTAGCCGAAGACGCTTGATACCAAGGCCCTCCCGCCCTTAGGCCCGATTGAACCGTATGCGCCTTCAAATAGTTAACTAGTTAGCAGTCCGCCAGGCCTACCAGTATAGCTAGTTGCTGGTATTTCGTGATACCCACACATCTTGCGAGAATTATCTACGAGGTAGCATCATGGCCGACCCAAGAAGCCCACCCCTCGCCCTCACCACGCTTCCAAGTGAAATTATGCAGATGATTGGAGAGCATCTTGATCCACGGGACCTCAGAGCTCTTGTCAGAACTGCAAAGCGACTCTGTACGGAGTTCACCCCTAATACGATGAAGAACGCACTGAGTCAACTCGGCCAAGGGTTGAATACTGCTAAACCTGAAACTATCCTCGACTGGTCGATATATTCGGGCCATACAGAAATGGCGAACATGCTGCTAGATATTCTGAAAGCGGACAAATCATTGCCACGAAGGAATGGACACTCGGGGCGTCGCTTCACCCGTCGCGATTGCTATAAGTCTGCATTGGAGAATTCTGCACAAAAGGGGTATCTGGATATCGTCCAGAAAATATTACATGATAGTGTGGATTTATCAGATCCATCAAATGATTGTGCAGATGCATTGAATGACGCGATTGTATCTGGTTTTCCGGAGATATACATGCTACTAATCGATGCTGGAGTCCGGCTTAAAATGCCAGAAAGACATGGTTCTTTGTCCACAAGAGGAATTCGAGCGATACATGCCGCTGCCTGCCAGGGTCGTGTTGATTTACTTTCGCTCATTATGGCCCATGGCTGCTCTCTTAGCGAAGCCGACATTTATTTAGGATGGCAGCCGCTGCATTTTGCGGCATTCCACGGTCAGAAACCTGCTGTAGAGTTTCTTCTCAATAACGGAGTCAACCCTGCCGAAGAGACTAAATCCCAGGAAACTGCCTTGATGACCATATCTTCTAAAATGAACTCTGCTCCCCACCATAGCACAGAGTTTAAACATAGAGATACTGAATTCTCTACTGGCCACAGAGAGATAATTGATTTACTTCTCAGCCATGGCTTGGAGCTTTCCAAACGAGGTAGTAACGACCGTACAGTTTTGCACACAGCATCTATGAATGGCAATGCAGAGCTGGTTAAATATCTAGTTAGCCTTGGAGCAGATATAACTGCTCAAGATAACTATCAACGGACTCCGCTTCACCTTGCGATTTGTCACAATCATATTGCAGTATCAGAGATTCTTTTGGCCGCAGGCGCTTCTGTAACTGCTAAAGATTATCGAGGAGCCTGTGCGATACATTTTGCTGCCACTGCTGGGTATCCCTTGACAGCCATCTCAAGGCTCCTTGCCAGTAAGGGGGCTGATCCTTCCGCCCTCGATGCTAGAGGCCAAGCACCCATCCACTATGCCATTCATTATGGACATTTTAACGTTGTCAAATATTTTCTAGAGATCACCGGCGCAGAGTCTATACCTGAACCAATTCATAGCATGACGTTACACGGCGCAATTGTTAAACATGACGTAGAGATGCTCCGGTATCTTTTAAATGCAGGTGTGAAGGCTTCCAGTTTACAGCCAGGTCGTTATACAACATCGCCTCCCCTTCACGTTTCGATAAAACACGGGGTTGAGGATATCATTAGACTCCTGCTTGATCATGGGGCAGATCCTAACTGGCAACAACTATTTAGTAATGATACCCCGATTATTTATGCTATCGAAAGAGAGTCCTTGGGGGCTGTTCGGTTACTTCTAGAGAAGGGCGCAGATATCTCAAAATGTGGAGATTTAAGGATAGGAGAAACGGAAGAAAAGAATATTCCTCCGTTAATTGCAGCTGTTATAGCCGGCAATCTAGATATTGCCGCATTACTACTTGACTGGGATGCTGATATCAACATTCGCACTGAGGAGGGCTGTGGCGTCCTTGAAGCTGTCGCCTTGTCCAAGGGTGTTTCAAGAAAGCAACGCGAACTGATCGTGCGTCTACTTCTTGATAGAGGTGTAGATGTCTCACTCCCAAATCGGCGTGGTGGATCTATTATATCTCCATTTTGCTTGATGGGCGGTAGCCAGGAGCCAATTATCAAGCTACTAGTGGAAGCCGGAGCTGACGTCAAAGTCCAAGATGAGTTTGGCAACACAGTCCTCCACGATATTGCTCATCGTTGCAACGATCGGAGCAAAACATTTGCAACTGGCCTCTTTCGGTATCTCTTGGATAAAGGAGCTGATCCGTCCTTAGTGAACCAGTCCTTGTTGACCCCCATACACCTCGCGTGTATTAGTGAATTAGATTATGATCTGACGCAACTGCTTGCCGCCGGTATCGATCCCGCTAGCCGGGATAGTCGAGGATGCACGGCTCTTCATTATGCTTCATTGGGAGGGCATATTTTGCAGCTTTCTCAACTCATCAAGGCTCTGAAACAACGCACACAAGAGGACGAGTCTTCAAACTTGGATACTGTGGATCCGAATGGCCCAAGTGGCAACGAACCGGCAAGCACTTCAAGTCCATATGTTCGGTCAATTCTTAACCTACAGGATCCCAATGGCTGGACAGCCCTACATTTAGCTGTGTTGGAAACGAATTTGCTGTTCGAAAACCCGATGGGAAATCTTTCCTCCCTATACTACCTATACTTGCCGTACCCTCTCCCCCTGCCATTTGAAAGCTCCAAAGTGGTCCAGCTGTTGCTACATTCAGGCGCGGATCCTTCCATTCTAAACGACGAACAACAAACGCCACTTGATTTGGCAGAGATAAAGAAATCTCCGGGCGGAGTTGGTTATGAAGCTAGAGAATCAAATAGAAAACGTTCACTCCGTATGCTGGAGGAAGCTGGCGCCCAGAGGGGACCGGGATATAAACCCTTTTGCGGATATAGGACAAAACATAAGCTGCATGAATTTTCTTCCTAGTTATAGGGGAATTAAGTAGTTAATGATACTATCACCGTCCAAATCGTGCTTAACACAGTATATAGAGTTACCTAGAAATACTTTGAATAAATATAGGGCTAAGCGTAAGCTTTTCTACGCTCTATTGGTAAATGTATAACTTTTACCGTTGCCGAATGGGGTTCGCTAAGGGTTGTATATGAAAGATAACCATCTATGCAGTACATTTGGCACTAAGAAACAACTATAGTAGCGTAAGCAGCAGTAATAATACACGGGCAGCCTAAAGCGTAAAGGCTTTAGTATTCTTTCCCCTTAAGTCTGCTCTCAAGAGCCTATTCAGTGGACTTGATGTCGACTTTTCCGTCTTGAAGGACACTTGCAACGCTTTGCCGTTGGTAGTTTTCCTTTTTGGCAGCAGCCTTGCCAGCAATTTCCTCAGGCGACGGCACTTCAGTTGCTTCCACTGCAGCCCTAGTGGCTCCTGGGGTGGCATCGGCGATTTCATTTACCTCTCGGTCGGTTAAGATATCGTTAATGCGCGCGGCTCGAGATTGCACAAGTAGGGTGGTAGGACCTTGGAATTGCAAAAAGAGCTATTGTTATGGATTATAAGCGGATAGGTCACAGCTTTAGCATTGGCTTGAGAACTTACCCTATCACCCCAAATAGTCCTTCTTGTCCACGTTCTAAATGTATGAAAGATTCTCATGAGTGCCATCCAAGTGTCTGACTTTGATAGATTTGACACAATGTTCGTATTCGATAGGCGTTTCCCAACACCCAGATTAGGTACCTGGAATCTTAGGGTCGTTGACTTGAACCTGTAAGGTTGGGGAGGAGTTGATGTCATGGTATAGGCAACGACATTACTTCACGGTAGACATTAGTGTATGAATGGAAATTTTGGATCAGTTCCACATACCTTGGGTGGGCGATATACTGTTCCCCTTCCTTCAGGTCTATAGAGTATACTTGCCCCTTTCCAGCCAGTGCAATGAGGCCTCTCCCTGTAACTTCAGAATTTCCCCAATGCATTATACTCTTCACAGATTAGCTTACTCGTTCGTAGACATGCGTTGAAAAATAAGGTATGGCAATATATACCAATTGGTTGTTGACTCTTGGTTTTACTGTCAACGAGTGACCTGTCCACGCCAAAAGAGCATTCCGCTGTGCTAGCATCCAATCTACCGTCCCATTAAGCTGTAGAAGGGCAAGCGATGTCACTGGCGATTTCACGGTAATCAGCGCAGACACGGGACTGGTGGAGGATACCTACAAATCAAAACAGTCAGAAACAAGGAAGAGCTGTTTTGAGATAAGAGTATTCTAACCTTTTGGTATAGAAATGGAATTCCGAGTGCCGCCCGCCGGAACGGCTCAAGGATCCGCAGAGTAGAAACAACCTTTTATGAATTTTTTCAATTCAGCCATATATTCCAACACCTTTTCCGTATATATTGACAGCCATACGTTTTCTGCTTTCCCACTTAGCCCAACGAGCGTTCCACGCCTTGTATAAAGATTCTGGGATGCCGATAGGGAGACGGAAAGTAACGAATAGGGCGAACCGACAACTTCGAATTTTGCATCTGTAACTCTAGGTCAACATACGAAGTTGACGTAAATTAAGAGAAGATACACTAACCGGGAGATATAGCAGATCTAGCAGTAGTAGACACAGTGTGGAAGTTTTCGTTTGTCACTGAATGAAGTTGGCTGCTCGGGATGGCTTGGATATGGATGTGTCTCCTCCGGCCGCATCTTGAGCTCGGCCTAAGGTGGCTCGAGGGCCTGGCGCCCCCTCTGGGTATTAATCGCCTCATTGATGCGACTGTGTATTCCGCAAGCTGAGTAGACATGCAATGCCTGCCCTCTTGCTGCGGGTTTCTGTGATTCTTTGCTGAAAGCAACTCGAGGTTCAGGAAAATATGACGGTGAAAACAAACAAGACAAACAAGCTTGATAAGGCGAACCCAATTTATCACGCAAAGGCGCGGCTTGATTGCCTGCTTGGTGCAAATATTCGACAGCTTTTTATCTCGCTGCTCTTGAGCAAGCCGTGGGCATCAGGACTCTTCAGGAAGAGCAGGAGAAGTGGGATACGATATCCGGTAGCTAAGTGTTCTATACTCTATTGTTGGAGCGCTCCGCTAAACCAACCTCTTCCCCCAGGTCGTGGATAGACACATGCAACTAATCGCCCTACCATGACATCATGAATTTTCGAAAGACCGGGACAGTCAATTACTAGAATACATACCCTGCGTTAGCTGCAGACCCTACTTACTGTGAGACGACATGCTTCTGCGAACCGCGCAATTGCATTCCCGTTGCGCATAGAAACCTTTCCTGGTCTCGTGTCCATATTTCGAGTCGGTCAGGCCATGGATTGTATCGCCATGGCGGAGCATGCTGCACATTCACAACGAGGGGAGGGCTGCTGAAAGAGAAACCTGGTGACCCTGTTAAGCAGACTGCGCAGCTTGGTAACGGAGTAACATTGTCTAATACCGACAAAGTGCGGAGTACTGGAGAGAAGGATGTCGCGGGCTTAAAACCAGGAAACAAGAAACCGGGAGCTTTGCTCTCGGAGGCTACTGTCACGTCGAAGGAACAGAGAAAAGTGGACTGGGCTATCATGAAAGAGATGGCGAAATATCTTTGGCCAAAGGTGGGCAGCAATTGAGCATTGCTCAATGCATTGAATATCATGACTAAATGATACTAGGATGACTGGAACACAAAACTTCGAGTCGGGATAGCTTTATCTCTGCTTATAGGCGGAAAGGTTTGTTGTCATGGAGCCTCGGATGTCATTATCTTTTCCGGCTAATCAACACTAGATTCTCAATGTTCAAGTCCCTTTTTATTTTAAAAGCATAGTCGACTCTATGAATGTTGATTTTGCCGCTATAGGCGGAACCGCCTGGACAGTTGGGGGATCCATGATTATAGCATGTATGAACTGGTCCTTTTTTGACTATTTGAACCTTCAATCCCTAACTACATGACCTGGATATAGATGGCGTAACAAGAATCGGAGCAACTTTGTTTCAAGAGTTGAGAAACGCTGTGTTTGCTAGCGTTGCTCAAAAGGCGATCCGTAAGGTTGCTCGAAATGTTTTTGACCACCTTCTCAGACTCGACCTGAATTTTCATTTGAGTCGCCAAACAGGAGGACTTACTCGCGCCATCGACAGAGGAACGAAAGGCATCAGCTTTTTGTTGACGTCCATGGTCTTTCATGTTTTCCCAACAGCATTAGAAATCTCAATGGTTTGCGGAATTTTGGTATGGCGTTCTTTCATAAATTTATATTAATCGCAAACTACTAACCCTTTTTTTTAGACGTATCAATACGGCGCTAAGTTTGCTGCAATCACTGCTGCAACCATGCTAGCCTATACTGCTTTTACCATTACTACCACAGCCTGGCGAACAAAGTTTCGAAAACAGGCAAATGCAGCCGATAACCAGGGGGCAACAGTAGCAGTCGATTCCCTGATTAACTACGAGGCTGTCAAATATTTCAATAATGAACAGTTTGAAGTTTCACGATATGACCAGGCGTTGAAGAAGTACGAAGCTGCTTCAATCAAAGTCACAACTTCACTAGCGTTTTTAAATTCCGGCCAAAACATGATCTTCTCGAGTGCACTGGCTGCCATGATGTACCTGGCGTCCGATGGTGTGGCTACCGGCCAGTTAACAGTTGGCGATCTTGTGATGGTTAACCAACTGGTATTCCAACTCTCGATGCCACTCAACTTCCTAGGTTCTGTGTACCGGGAACTCAGACAGTCCTTAATGGACATGGAGACTCTTTTCAACTTGCAAAAGGTTAACATCAACATTAAGGAAGCACCCAATGCGAAACCCTTACAGCTTAGGCAAGGCGGCGAAATCCGATTCGAGAATGTTACTTTTGGTTATCTACCAGACAGGCCAATCTTGAAAAACGTATCCTTCACCATTCCAGCTGGCAAAAAAATCGCCATTGTCGGGCCAAGTGGGTGTGGAAAATCAACAATACTTCGACTCCTTTTCCGATTTTATGACGTGCATGAGGGTCGTATATTGATCGATGGCCAAGATATTCGTGGCCTGACTGTGTCCAGCCTGAGAAAGGCGATTGGAGTTGTGCCACAAGACACCCCTCTGTTTAATAACACAATCGAACATAATATCCGCTACGGGAAAATCGATGCTACTACTGAGGAGGTGAAGCAGGCCGCACAACGAGCCCATATCCATGACCTGATCGAGCGATTACCTGCCGGATACGACACACCTGTTGGAGAGCGGGGGATGATGATATCAGGTGGTGAAAAACAGAGGCTTGCGGTCTCCCGATTGATTTTAAAAGACCCGCCCTTACTTTTCTTCGATGAAGCGGTGTGTTTATTCCCTTGTATCTCTCGCAATGAACTCGCAGATCAGCGTTTACTAATTCTTGGTGAAACAGACCTCTGCTCTCGACACGTATACCGAGCAGGCTCTACTTCAAAACATCAACAGCATTCTAAAGGACAAGGCTCGAACAAGTGTGTTTGTGGCTCATCGACTTCGTACAATCTATGACAGCGACCAGATTATTGTTCTAAAAGATGGCCATGTGGTAGAAAGTGGTACCCATATTGAACTCCTCGATTTAGGCGGCGTGTATGCAGAGCTATGGAATAGTAAGTCCCTTCCTAGGCTCAGCCCCCATATTCAAAGCCAACATACTGACACGTCCCAAAACAGCCCAAGAGACCGACATTGCCGCCATATAATACACAGCTGGGGTCGATGTGGAATTAGAAAATAAAACTGAAGGTTATATAGAGGCTCTCGGCGGTCGTATACCCATTTTCTGGTGTTTTTGTGCAAGGGCTCTTCTTCCCATTTTTAAGGACATTCTAAATATCCCAATAGATGCGTTCAGTGTTCAGTATAGATGCCAGTTTCGTTGTATGTTTGCGAATGCGCACTATTGCTACGCTATTGTCACTCCTTCGTACCCCTTTCTACCTAGCCTCTGCCTTTCGAATAAACCAGTAACTTCGTATCCAAGTATCTGCTTCAACAGGGATATGTATGTAAATTGTCATTGAATTCACCTCATGAACGAAGTATGACGCTGGTCAGACGATGCTTACGTAATATATACAAGTGACTGTCGTGAACTTTCCCCAGAATTTCTTCGGCGTCCGCTTGCTTGCTTGCATCCCAAGGCAGATTTGGCCCGTTCTTATTCATTTCCATTTCTCCGGGCCTGAGCCTGCGGAACCTTCTTTTCCTTGTTATTATAGGGCCGCTCTCTCCTCCTCCTTTCCTACCTCGGTGCTTTTGATCTTACGGGAACTACGACGGCCAGGGAAACATAACTCACTCAGACATGCTTGACCACAGGAATGGACTTCGAAGCCAGCAGTTTGAGAACAGAAGAACAGTTCTGGAATGGTGAGTAGGGATATGCCTGGGGATCTACCCTTTCATGCGCCTCTAGGACGCTGGTGAATCAGTGGTTATAGTACCGTCTTAGTTTTGAATATGGTTTGCTAACCAAATGGCTTCGACGGTAGAATTGGACGATGTTCTAAAACGGCAATGCGATTCACATGAAGAGATCGACGACAGCTTGCGCACATATTTATCATTGCTCGAGAGTTGCAGAGGTATTTAAACTGCCCTCCCGTGGGAATAGTTGTCAGCATTTTCGATCGTTGACACAAAACTCCTGCGCAGATGACTTCTTCGACCTCGACCATGACATTACACGGTGTACAGAGCTGGTTTTGTCATCTCCGCTATTTACAAAAAATGCAGATTATATACGACTTCAAATAATATACAGCTTGCTCCAGGTATACATGGGTACTTCCAGCCTCGTTTTGGTGTAAGGCATCACAGCTAATGGGTGGTAATTCGTCTCATAGGAAGATTCGCATGACAATCTTCTCGGGATTGTGTCGTTCCTCCTTTTCGACGGGTGTGAGAATGAAACCACCTTTGAGATGATGTGTGAAGAAGGGGCGTTTTGTCGACTATTGGAATTAATACAATCACTAAAGGGCGATGACCATTCTGGAAGTAGTATTGAAGCCAGCCTTCATCGGTTGTTGATGGATCTGTTGTATGAAATGTCAAGAATCCAGCGGGTTAAGATTGAAGACCTAGGTGAGTCCCGGGGTGATAACTGGGCTTCTGTGCTGCCAGGTGGCTGGTACTGGCTTGATGCGATTATTTACTTACCTCTTCACCTTATAGTGACTGTGGACGATGAGTTCATAAAATATCTCCTACAAATAATCGAAGAGCCCCCGGAAGAGCCAAATGACCCCTATCATTATGCTGTGATTCGTGTTTTAGTAAGATACCCTTTTCACCTCTTCCGGCCTGGTCAATTCTGACTTGGCTGCTTTATAGCTAGTTCTCAATGAGCAATTCATGGTATCAAGCCATGACCCAACCGGAGATAGGACTACAACTGTGCCATTGACGAACAAAGTAATGAAAGTTTTGTCAATGCATGGCAGTCTCTATAAAACTTTTGGAGAAAATATTATTCTTCTCCTTAACCGCGAGGGTACCTTTTCCGCTTCCACCCCTGAAACTCCGTCGTACGCTAATCACATGGAAATAGATGAAACTTCCTTACAGCTTCTCACTCTCAAGATTCTATACTTGCTATTCACGACGCCCTCAACTTATGAATATTTTTATACTAATGACCTTCGTGTTCTTGTCGATATTCTTATCCGTAACCTTTATGATCTCCCTGAAGATGCAATGCCCCTCCGCCATACATATCTCAGAGTTCTATACCCACTTCTTGCTCACACTCAACTGAAGTACCCTCCGCACGATAGACGAGAGGAACTTAGAAAGCTCTTCACAACTCTAATTAGGGGCCAATGGTCTGATACAGAAGATGGTGATAATAGTGAAAGGATTCTTCATTTCAACGAAGTGGATGACACCACAAAAAGACTTGTCTTGCGGTGTGCACAAGTTGACTGGATATGTGAGGGAACTAATTGGTTCGCAAAGGAGTTATCTGAACCAGTATCGATTGAGAATTCGAGGACGAATGGCCATTCCAATACAGATTCCCTGGGAAGCGTGGAAGCCCCTAGTATCGGTTCACCAATTTCACCTCAGACGAGCCTAGACGAGAATCTGCACGGACATGATACCTCATCATCACCGATTCAACATCCGGCTACTGCGTCAGCCGCCCCCGGGTTTGAGTCTGCACGCTCTTCATCCCATAGCATTGCAAAGGTAGCTTCTCACAAAGAAAGGCCTGGCGTCATTGTACCGAGCAAAGGGGCGGCGAAACAAAAGCCAGAGCCCCCAGTGGCACGCCGTTCCAGAGCACGTCGACGAGCTGAATCAAAGGAAAAGGATGAGAAGGGAAGCACTAGTCGTGGATGTCGAGGATTCTCAGAATCAGGGATATCGAAATTACATCCGGCAGAACTGGAAAATGCAGCAGACAATGCTACGTCGGCCTCCTCTCCTGTTCGTAAACCTGAAGACAATACTTCTTGCTCGAGCCCAAGGGAACCTGTGGTTCAATCGCCTGATCCGATCACACCTGCCTCTTCATACTGCTTCCCTCCATCTTCTGCCTCGCACAAGACTCATATTCACCACCCTACAACCCCCCCAGCAGTTCCTCCTCCTCGCAGATCTTCACAATCAGTGCCTCCACCTCATCCCGTCAAATCCCATTCCCACCACCACACCAGGCAGCAGCACTCGGCCACACGCCCTCCTCCGCCCCCTCCGCACAATCCACATAACTGCCCGCCTAGCCGGCCATCCCAGAAGCCAGAACCACCCAGAACCAGACGCTGGCGTGCGCATCAGCACCACCAGAAGCATGAAGACAGCAATGGCCATGTTACTCCCGATGCCCAAATTTGCACACCATCCCCTACCGAAGCCAACCACAGTTTACATCCATCTCAGCAGCAAACATCGCACACAAACGGAGGGACAGAATCTCCCGCCACTCCAATCATAACAGTGGAAATGGTTGAGAACAAACTTTCAGAGCAGATGCAGAAATCGCATGTCACCTAAGGGTTTTATTTATTTTTGCCAGGTTCGTACTTATTGCATAGCGATTTAAATTTATATCATTTTCTTCTTGCCATGGCTGTAATTGCTGCATCCCATCAAAGTAATTCAGTACCACTTCTACAAATGCAAAGTGGCAAAGCAGGTAGCATTTTGGTGACAGAAGGGGTTTTGATTTGATGTGCTAAAGTATACTAAGCTAATATATACATCCCCTTTGAAACAACCACCTTGGGTTTTAATCATTTTTTTGCTCTTTTCCTCCTTTTTGTAGTTCCTTTTCCCGTCCTTTCAAATTCGACTGCATATCGTCATAATGTGTTTTCACTTTAGTTGCAGCATCCTTTCGTTTCTCGTAAAATCAGCATGCTCATATCTTCCTGATGAACGACAATAAGACAGGCGAGTTATTTCAGTCACTGTTCACTGCATACCCCAGTACTTCTCTGCGCCGAAAGTGTTAGGGCCGTCTACCTTCCATGGATCATCGAAGGCGGAGAACAACATCAGCTCTCCATTGGTATCTTTGTACGCCTGCTTCAAGCTCTCGATAGCAATACGTTGATTCTCTCGTGACGGAAGTGCTTCTCCATTTCCATAACCGCCGTGAGGCCATCCGGTTTCAGTGACAATAACTCGCTTGGCTCCATGTACTGCATTAGAAACGGCCTTAGACTGCTCTCTAACAAACTGTCCAGCTTCAGCGGCGGAAGTATGAGGATCAAAGAACGGGTGGATGTTGACAGCACAGAAATCAGATGCGTGGCAGATTTCAGGGTGAGCGACCATAGCATTGACGGTGTCGACGGCTACGACTGGGCCGTTGTATCCATTGGAGCGAAGAACAGCACGGGAATGGTTGACGGCATTGGCGAGGGCATCAGCTGATGATTTCCCGGTGTTGACAACCTCATTGCCAATGGCAACGGCGTAAATGTATGACCAGTTGTTCTTTGCGGCGGCAAGAAAGATGTTCAACTCAGAATCGATATTCTGAATGGTGAATAGCCCAAGCATAACTTTCTTGTTGTAGATCTTTGCTGCACTGAGCATCATTGCAATTTGGTTGCAGTCAATACCATAGGAACGAACAATTCCATACTCATTTAGCTTTGCAAAGTCTACGTTGACTTGATCTTGGGTCTTACATTTTCCAGCAGCAGTATATGGCGCATAGCATATTCCAAATCCGTTTCCAGGCTTCCCTTCTTCAGCAGGGTTCTTAGGAGGCGAGACAGTAGGAGCTGGAGGTTTGTGGGGTGTCTTTGGTACATTTGAAGACTTGCTTGGAGTTAAAGTCTGAGCAGAAGTGGTCTTCGAATCTGTAGGCCCAGCTTCAGTTGGGCTCACTCTAGTGGTCGTAGGCCCAGTAGATTTGATTTCAGTTAATTTAGCCGTGGTCTCTGGACCCGTAATGGTAGGCTCATGTGGCTTGGCCTCTGTGGTCTTTGGCTCAGTCATTGTTGGTTCAACTGGCTTCACTCCAGTTAGCTTATCAGTCATCTTTGGCTCTGTAATCACGGGCTGAGTAGGCTTGATGATCGTGGCCTTCGGCCCAGTTGGGTTGGTTTCCGTGGGCTTTAGTTCAGGGATCTTCATCTCAGTAGTAGGGGTTGGCTTGGAGACAGAGGTGAATGGAGAAGTGGGTATATTGGTAACCGTAGGAGTGGCCATGGTAGGGGTATTAGGAGTAGCGATAGTGCCAATATCACCATTGTTAGGGGTTGGATGGACCCTGGTAAACGTCTTTATATCCCCCTTGGTCTCAATAGTGATAGTACTACCAGTATTATCAACCCAGTTAATGACCTCAGGAACCTTAACAACAATGGTATCAGTTACATAGGCGCGTTTCTCCACGCGGCTAGCATGATTGTGGTCTGTAGTAAAAGTAAATAAGTGTATGGTCCAAGATAAGACGCGTAGTAACGCCCCTGAGTGAAAGGCGTTAAAAGCAGAACGTACTATGAGGTCTAGCAGCCACAGAGCCTGCAAGAAAGAGACTCGCAAAGATGAAGGTATTAGTCTTCATCTTACTTCTCATTGTATCTAGAAGATACACAGGTAGACACGGAAGAAGGCGTCTAGATGGTATGATACTATGGTTAGCAGCGTTATAGATGCGTCTCTTAACAAAGTAGATCTAGATAAATATATAAGGAATGCAGCAAAGGAGTAAGCGGCTTACCAGCAAGCAGCTTGTAGTTAATGGGTCTTTTTGTGGTATCAATTGTGTTAGGGGGTTGAAGGAAGAAGAAGAAGAAGAAAAAGAAGAAGAGAGAAAGAAAAAGTTTAAGAAAAATAAATAGGGGGGTTTAAGAAAGACGCGTAGGTGAAGGAGAGACAACATAAAGTGACGTGAGGAAGGACAGAGTGAAACGAATTGATATTAAGCCTACTAGCCTCAAACTGGTTGCATCATTGATTCAGCCATCTGAAGCTTTGCATTTGATACAACGCCCTTCTCAACCAATCTTGCAACAACTCGAACGGTCCAACCTTGGCAGTTCTCCGTCACTGATTGCCGGTTTGGCGCCTGAGGAGGGATTTCGTTCTCGGCGACCTCTTTCACCACCGCGGCCTGTTCCGTAGTCACAACAGCCAAATGGTACATAGTCAAGAAAGACTCAGAAATAGTTATGTCAATCGGGAGGTCCGAAGGCGTGTACGTCATGTATTCTGCATCTCCCTTGACCTGATATACCATGCCCGGCTGGTTTTCGCGGGCAACAAGTAGAGCCCAATGTAAAGGTTCGCCCTCGCCCTGTCTGTGGTGAACCAGCGAGAGATCAAGAGGCTGGGACTGGGACTGGCTGGCTGGTGATGGGGTATTGTCGGGTTGGTATTCAAGCCATTGCTGAGTGCCCAGCTTTCTACGGAAGTGACGGCCATTGACCTCGCATATCTCTCTCAGACCAGCTCTCTTGACAGGAGTATCAGAAGTTGGATAGTCGCTCATTTCCTGCTTCAAGTTTAGTAATATGGAATAAATAGGTGCTCCATCACCCACTCACGATGTTATTTGTGTGTTAAGTCATTGATTTTCATCAGGTTTTGCTTGACTCTCGTACTTTTTGATGCAGCAATCACGTCCGTTTATGTTGGAATATTCCACTTTAGCTACAACTCGCACACATTACCCAGGGTATCCTTGGGGCATTAGGCCTTCGAATTTTTGTTTTGTGATAGATATTAGGTGATAAACGGATGTGATTGCTGTATCGAAAAGTGCAATCTGAGGTGAGGTCCCGACCTTCGGAACGGAACAGGTGTACTCCGGCTCAATTCTCTTTCTAGATGGATGGCAAATAATTACAACCTTGGGTATAACGTTTGACGGTGTCGATATCAAAATGCTTCCTTAAGAGCCTACCTAGGTAGTAATGCATCGTACGGAGTATTGCTCTCGCTATACTGTACTTATAGTTATGGATGCTGTCCTAATAAGTAACTACGGCAACGTGCAAAAGACTGTGGTGGAGCCACTAAAAAAAGCCACTGACAGGGGGTGTTAGGGGGTATAGTGGCCGCTCTTACCCTTTTAGGAAACCTAGGGCAGATTTTATCTTCCAGGACAGTCAAAAATACGCAGCTTGACCATGATCTGAACGAAGCTGGCTGCTAACGGTCTTTCTCCAACATGTCTTGCACAACTGAAAACCCTTCAGATGGCCTTCCTTTCCAAACTCAATATATGCGAGAGGGCAAGCATTACATCAAATCTGATGAAAAAGTATTCCCCTGTTCAAGCAACATTAATCCATTAAGTCTTCCTCCGGAGCAGGAAGTAATCACCGTCCTTAGCAAACAGATGGGCCGGTTAGTACTTGTGCATGACTTTTCGTTGGTGAACAAGTCTGGGCATGGCGTGCGGCGTGCTGAGGCTGAAGCGATGAGAATGGTATTTAAAAACACTTCGGTTCCTGTGCCTGAGGTCCTTTTCGCAAAATTCAGGCCTGACCATGGGAGCATTGGGATGACTTTTATTGAAGGGGTTACCCTAGAAAAGAAGTGGAATACACTGGACGAAGAGAGCAAAAGGTCTGTTTGCCTTCAAGTCTGGAATATGATCTCTCAGATACGAACTATCCCTCGTCCCCCGGAACTTAAGGGTCTTTTCCAGTGCGCGGCCGATGGCTCCCTTACAAGAAGCCCATTGCTTGCAGACCTGGAGGATCCAGCCCGACCCCTGAAGAGTGATCCAGATTTGCGCGCCCGCATCTTCGAACGTTATCTACACTTTGGAGGTCGTCGATACGAGCATGAGCTACCTGACATGTTGCCGCGTTCTAACAGGTCAGTGTTTACGCATGCTGATATCGCGCCTCGCAATATTATGATCGACGAGCAGAACAATATCACGGGAATATTGGACTGGGAATACGCAGGGTGGTATCCGGATTATTGGGAATATGCACAGATTTTGAGACCTGCTTTCTGGGGCGACTGGTCAGAGTGGATGGATTTGACTGCGCCGCAGAAGTGGGATCTTAGTGGTATCAATGCCGCCAGGAGGGTTTTGTTCTGATAGAGATCAAGGGTAGTCGAGAACACGCGGCCATGACCTTGACTCCTTTTTCTGGGCCCTCCCCAGATATGCACCTAATATGACGGCCCCCTCATTAAAGGGGATGGAAGGGTGGAAACTACAAGACACACTCTCTACAACTCGTCATGTGCGTCAAACCTACTGCGGTGGAAGGAGTTTGATATGAAATTTGTATTCAGTCATGAGGAAAGCACTCCAAAAAGCTCAAAAAGATCGTATTATTATCAGGCTTAGTTAATTGAATTATTTCCATGTACATTGAACACTTAGCTAACTAGTTAATATACGGGGTGCATTAAGATGGCTGGTAGAGGCAAATGCTGCTTTATATTTCATCTAGCTGCGCGTACGGTCAAACAGATATCTTCGCTACCTGTGTCAATATAAGCGTGGCCTCCATTTGTATGCATGTACGGAAATGCACTTTTGCCAGACTTCGCACGATGGCTCGAGAGTGTCGTTAGCCATTCGGGGTGAGTTCTCCCGGGCAAAAATCCGCTCGGCATGATGTTGTTCCTAGCGACCCGCTTTAACTACCTAGGTATCGAGCTCACTTCACTTGCGTTTGCCGTATTCACCAGCTCTATCAAAATAAAATGGCCTTGCATCGACATCAGCCATCTTTAGGAACGGTCTCACTAAAATTCTCAACAGCGTGAAACGGCAACCACTCTTCTAGCCTTACGGCGTCGAGCAGGATCCCGCTCATATCTTGAACATGTTCAACCCCATGCGGCGTACTTCCACAGCGAGGAAATGAAACTATCCGCCGCAGCTATAAACCGGCATCACTCATCCAGGCCACGTTTGAACATATTGAAGCTCAAGATGAATTCCTCTTGTTCTTTTTTTCAGCTCCTTTACGAAAACCTATGCCCAGGCGTAACGGACTCGACGGAGTTGCACCCCGGGACACTGACCTAGTATGTCTGCTGGAATGTATTGTGTCTTTCGTTATACCCACAAAACGCTCTAGAGCGACTCGAAGAAGAATGTACTCCGGATTTTGAATATGTTTGATCCTGGCATCACTCATCTTATTAACGGCCCGAAAATGGGCAGCCCGTCGAATGCTGTCACATTGACACATGACTACTATCTGTCATTCGGTGAGTTCCTGATATGTTTCGAACCAACAGGCATCTAGTATCAATACAGGATTGATACAATGGAGCAAAGCCCCGTCCTACGCGATCTGCTATTACCAGCCACCCGCACGCTAACTCTTGTCCCTGGTCGGAACCTGGAGCGTATTATCTGGGAACAGAGCTTGAAGAAATATCAAAGATTTAACTTCACCCTGCCGACCCGACCACTGGTATGATGTGGGCTCACTCTAACCCCAGCCTTAACCTAACCAAAGCATCAAAAAATACACTATTGACCCGCCGTCAACTTGACTCCTCGGTGTCCATCGAGCCAGTGCAAGGATTATGAATCTTAGCGGCTAAGGAAAGGTCGGCGGTTGACGCTCTATCCTCAGATGACAAAACAGCGTACTTAACCGCGCGTCACTCACTCGACTGGCAGACCCGTTACTCCAAGCTTTCTCTGTCTTTACCAGTTATTCCAGACTTGCTTGATATCGTTACCAAGGCACGAACTAAGAAGAAGCATCAGTCTGCATGTCTGCTTGATGGGTACACAGCGTGCTCGCCTGTCGACTCTCAGCCTTGGGAGTTCCGCGCCTTGATGGTCCAAAGTCGGGATCCCGCTCTTGTTGCTACTTACCCGTCTACCCGCTTTACAATGACGCGTCCGAAGTGCCTTATTTTCTTATATCCCAGCTCCTGGTCCACTATTAAAGCTGAGTTCAATCTTTAGCTTCATCAACGTGATCGTTGTCTTTCTTCGAAGCCCAGCACCATGTCACATATCCTGTATCTATTATCACATGACAATGGACAAAAAGGCCTAATGCCCGCTCCAGGATACCTTGGGTAATGTGTGCGAGTGGTAGCTAAAGTGGAATATATTAACACTTTAGCTTAGCTTATTTAATAGTAGACTAATGGTCTACCATATCAATCATGTGCTCCTGCAGAACTGGCTGCATCAAGCTGGTTACCATTACAGATATCTCAAGAGGCTTCTTCGGCCGTTGATGTGGTATTACAGCCAGTAAATAACATGTTAATACCCTTAAGATTAGGCCCAGAGTATGAGCCCCAGTTAAGAAGTGATGTGAGATCTCGGTCTATGGGAGATGTATGCCTGCCTACTCTGGACTCGGCCTAGGGCCAGATGATATTTCTTGACCCCTTGCTCACACTGGACATATGCCTTGTAACTGCCCGAGGTGCACTGTTGATATTGTTTCCTCCTCCATCCGGATGCAAAAACGTCGGTAAAGTTAGCGTGCTGTTGTAATAAGGTTGGCTAAGCTAGAGTATAGTTAAACTTGATACTCGTAGGGGCCAGTTGGATTGCCAAGAGCCGACCAACTTGATATTTAAGCACATAAAAGGTTACACTGAAAGTCAACACAAGGTTCGAACCCCAATTGTGTTGATCTGGTAAGATTAGAATGTATGATCGCAAGCTCCAGCATTAACGAAGGGGCTTTTGCCATATCTTTGAAATAGCGGTAGTTGGCGGTTCCCAAGATTTCTTCGTGGCTCCTGTTGAGCACTTCCCACATAGGATGCTCTACAATGGATATTTGTCGCCCAAGGCCAGTTCTGCTTGTTCAGCTCTACTGCTTCTATCTTGAAAGTTGAATAGCTGTCTAAATAACCGATAAAAATAATTTTCAGTGCATATACCGATAGATAAACGTTGAGAGACGAGGTTGGGAATATTTTCAGCCTTGGAAGTTAAGGTTCTTTCCGGGATAAAAGTTTGCCAAGCAAATCAGTCGGATGCCAAGTCTTAACCTTAAGCGCAGTTGATTGGCCAAAAACGAGCGAATCAGAGCTCGCCGGTCCGTCCCTTCTATCTATACAGGATGGGAGGTGTCCTAGGCCTACGTCTAATATAAAAGACGCACCCTGATCATGGATAGTAAATGGGAGAATGTCCTACCACATCTAGATTTTGCTACAAGAAGAGCATAGACTATCTTCTTTCATCTGTCACCCATCATGGCCACTGATACCTCCTTGCGGGAGCCAGTTATGGCAAGCCCTATCAACAAGACCACCGACGAAGAGTCCCAGAGCCAATCGCCCCCCATAATGACCGAAGCCGACTCTCCATCTCCCTTAGATGACCAGGGAATGGAAGATAATTCTGCAGTACCTAGAATGTCGTACCTGGCGCTCTTTTGGTTCTTCTTTTACCATTTCGGCCTGTTCGCTTGGGGTGGTCCAGTTGCCCAAATTGCCCTTATCAAGGAGAAGTTGGTACTCCAGGACAAATGGATAACCTTGCCGCGTTTTCAGCGTGTCTTCGCTGTTTATCAGATCCTCCCAGGTCCTGAAGCCGCAGAGCTGTGTATGTTCTTTGGTTGCTTATCACGAGGCAGGATCGGTGGTATTGTGGCAGGGATAGGGTTCATCTTGCCGGGACTCGTTTTGATGCTTCTGGCCAGCTATCTCTATTCTCTGGCCGGCTTTGAGAACAAATATTTCAACGCTTCGTTCCGGGCGCTCCAGCCGGTAGTGGCAGCTATGGTAACAACCCTTTTCTTTCTGTTTCTTTGCTTACACGGCACATTGCGATGTAACCCGAAGGCCTTCTGCTCATGATGAGGATAATGATGGTGCTAACCTCTGGTTTTAGATACTGCGGGCAACCCACAAGATCGCGGACCACTCTGTTCGGAAGCAGAATAAGAAAATAAACCCTTTCCTCGTCATGGCGGCAGTCTGCACCGCAATCAATAGTGCTCTCCGAATCAACATGTTGGTTATCTTCTCACTTGTTTTTGTGCATTGCTTTAAAATTGGCTCTGGGTATATTGAGACTGACATCATTCTCGTCTTTCGTAGATTCATCTCTCTTGGGCTGTATGGTATTATCTACACCCTAATTGCGCGAAGGTGGTGGATCCCGGCAGGCATCCTTTTCGCGCTACAGTACGTGGGCTATGCGTTGTACGTTGTCTTCCGAGGGGTACCCTCGCCCGTGTCACTCGCGCTAGGCATCGCCAGGACACCATCTCTCATCAATCTTTTTGTCCTCGGACTCGTCGCTGGCGCGTTGTCATTTGGTGGTGCGTACACGGCAATCCCATTCATACAGGTTGAAGCAGTTCTCCTGGGAGCTTGGCTTCCACAGAGAGTCTTCATCGACTGCATTGCTATTGGAAACGTCCTTCCCGCGCCACTCGTTATCTTTGCGACGTTTGTTGGTTTCCAGGGTGGATATGTAGATGGATCCCTGGGAAAGGCCTTTGCCGGTGCCGTTATCATCACTATCGGAATATTCCTTCCTTGTTTTGTGTTCACTATCGCCGGTCACCGACTGCTGGAGAAACTAGTGAGAAATAAGGTAAGTAAACCTCCTGTCCCCAATCTTGGCATCAATACGGTCATTACTTGGTCTCTTGCAAGTTGCTAATATTCCTTGCCTTCTCCCTAGTTTCTTGCTAGTTTCTTTGATGGCCTTTGCGGCTCTGTGATCGGGGTAATAGCTGTCATAGCGGCCCAGCTTCTGAAGGCTTGTGTGGAGGGTTCTGTAGATCGGATAAAGGGCAAGCCTATGGATGAGGTGGTCGGAGCGGTAGCACAGGTAGGGCCTGCTGCAGTCCTCTATGTTCTGGCATTGGGAGCTCTTTACAAGTTTAGCAACAAGTACACTGCCCTCTTGTTAGTTATAATAGGTGCCGTTGCTGGACAGTTCTTGTTTGTGGATTAAGACCATAATTGTGTGCAAAGTACCCCTCCTTCCGGAGACTTGCTTCATGGGGTGATAATGATAGGATATATAGGCACCTTGATATATGATTTGGCAGGGTAGTGAGAAGGAGAGGGTAGATTTAGCTCTTCGTTTGCGGAATATAAACGCATCATGCTTGGAGGAAACGAAAAGTTATTCCCAAACGCGCTCCAGTGCTTCCCACATAGCATTGTTCTTAACTCGACAACCGCCGCTTTTGCTATCCTTAACACATCCTTTCTCCAGAGCTTCCGCAATCTGGTCAATTTTTTCTTCTGAGGTAGCAAAGCGCATCAGCATCTCACGAGCCTGGGAACATTCTACCCCGCCGGTATGGTCATCATCGCTTTGCTTGTTGGATACTGGGGGTATCTGATGGACATCGGTGTTTGGGTTGTTAGCTAATATTGTTAGGAGCCTACAGGGTGGAAGTGTAGCTGTTGGAGCACACTCAGAAGGTGGCTCATTTGCACAAGAGGTCGGCTGTGAATGTGATACTCCCGGACAGTCGGTAGAGGAAGGCATTGCACAAGCACCGCCTGACGCACACTTGTTACTCTCCAAGAGGACGCTAGGCTCTTTAGCGGATATCTGTCGCAAGTCGGGAGTCAACCCTACATGTCCTTGGTTCGCCAGGGATATTCCAAGAGGTGTAGTCTGATCAGAGTGGCTTATGCAAAGTGAGGCTTTAGGCTGCACGACTACTTCTGGCCTCGATCCTTGTTCGGTAGGCTTGGACTTGTCCGTATCATACACCAGGGCATTGATCGCATTGTCGCCTAAACCACGGTCACGGAGTATCTGCCGCAAGCGCGAGTTTTCCCAGGCGACCCTCCGGGCAGCTGCTTGCACTTCCTTGGACGCTTGGATGCCTTGCTCGCGGGCTTCAGCCAGGCGACGCTCAAGGTCTGCCACATACTCCCTCTGCCGTAGTCGGTGCCTCCGCTTGTTTTCTCTCACACGGAGGGCACGCTCCGAGCTCTAGAAGATAGATGGCAGTTGGTAACAGTTGTAGTTTAGTCTTGTGCAACACTGACCTTTTCTTGTCCAGAGGCCATATGAAGGTGACATAAAACAAGCAGCGTCCCTGTGTTCCGTGCAAAGCAGACAAGCGCTGAGGATGTCGCAGGCGCCCTTGACTTCCCGCTGCAGTTGATCGCCTGTGCCTATTCAATATCGGCTTAATTGGTAACTCCTTTGTTGATGTCAAACTAGAATATTAGTAATCAAATAACACTCAAGGCTACGAAACTCTAACCAGGAAGCCCCTTAATATCACGTGATGATATCTCGATCCTCCCTGCGACTTATCAAAATAAAATGAAAAAAGTCGAGCTCAAAGAGAGAGCGAGAGAGAGAGCAAAACACCTCCGTCCTCCATCCGCCTCTCGTCGAGGAGCTCGTCGTCGACCTATATCACTTCCTATAACGCGATACCAAGCCGGTTGGAGCGCCCTCTCGTTAATTGACGCTTTCTCCAGCCTTCATCCCTCTCCTCCCGACGCCTCCGTTTCTACTCCCTGCTAAATCTCCAACCCAATCGATAAGGGAAATCTGCAGCCTAGCGAAGAACCAAAGGGATACACAATGACATGATGGACCTTCAGGAGACGCAAAGAATCACCCTTGAATACCTCCATGTCCTAGCCGATCAGTTCCAGCGTGTTCCCGGCTCAGCCATCGTGCTCCGGTACATCAAGTCAAGTTATCAGAATGACCCTGTTCGTTCGGCCGTGGAGCTTTTCCTGTTCCTGTTCGCAGTGAGATATCTTCTTGCACCGAAGTACTCGACCAAGCGTGACTTCGTGCCTCTTTCAGAGGAGGTATGTGTTTATTATTCCCTTTGTTTTACTTCGCTTCTTCGTCTCCAGGCGGGTTGCTGAGTTGATGTGCCTTGTAGGAGATCGATGATTTGGTAGACGATTGGACTCCGGAACCTCTTGTTACACCCCCGACAACACAAGACGAAGAAGATGTTGAGAAACGAGTTGTACTTACTGGGTGAGTCGGTCCTTGTGAATGCATCGAGGTGTTGTTCATTGCTTACTGGTTTTTAGTCCTACCGGTCCAAAATCTAAGCTTGTAAACGGACGAACTGTTACAAACCTTGCATCATACAACTTCTACAACTTCGTTGCAAATGACGCTCTGAAAGAGAAAGCCATTCAGACCGTTCGAACGTACGGTGTTGGACCATGTGGCCCTCCCGGATTCTATGGAACTCAGGACGTGCACATGCGGACTGAGGCTGATGTTGCTACATTCCTCGGTACTCCTGCTTGTATTATCTATTCTCAGGCCTTCTCGACAATCTCCAGTGTTATTCCGGCATTTTCCAAGCGTGGTGATATCATTGTTGTCGACAAGGGAGTTAATCATGCTATTCGGAAAGGTATTCAGATCTCGAGAAGCACAGTCAGATGGTATGAGCATAACGATATGGATGACCTGGAACGCGTTTTGAGCAAAATTACCAAGGAGCAGGCAAAGAAGCCGCTAACCCGGAGATTTATCATCACCGAGGGGTTGTTTCAGGATAAGGGTGACATGTGTGATTTGCCCAAGATCGTACGTCTACTACTCTTTCTCTTGGTATACTATTTATGACAATGGCTAACGTATGCAGGTCGAGTTGAAACTTCGATACAAGTTCAGACTTATCCTGGATGAGAGTGTCTCCTTTGGTGTGCTTGGCCGTACTGGCCGTGGTATCACTGAGCACCAGAACGTCGACCCGGCAGAAGCTGACATGATCATCGGCTCCTTGTCTGGAGCGTTCATTGGCGGCGGCGGCTTCTGTGCCGGATCTAAGGAAATTGTCAACCACCAGCGTATCTCTGCCTCTGCCTACTGCTTCTCTGCTGCCTTGACTGCCCTGTTAGCCACGACTGCAAGCGAGACTATAACGCTGTTGCACAATAGTCCCGAGCTCATCGTTCAACTCCGAGAGAACATCAAGACCATGTGGACTCAACTCGATCCTCGCAGTGACTGGGTATACTGCACTAGTTCTCCAGAGAACCCCGTCATGATGCTTGTGCTCAAGCCCGAAGTGGTCTCGTCCAAACGCCTCACCATCGAGGATCAGCACCACATCTTACAGGAAATTGTCGATGAGACTCTGGCTAACGGAGTACTTATCACCCGTCTCAAGCCTGTCCCTGATGAGACTGCCTCTAAACAGAACTATCTCCCTCCTGCCCCTGCACTCAAGGTCTGCATTACTACCGGTTTGTCCAAGAAGGAGATCGAGAAGGCAGGCATCATCATCCGTCATGCTATCACGAAGATCCTTCGACAAAAGCGATGAATCTAGACACGGAACACAAACATCCTTTTACCACCCCCTTAATATTATCACTGTACATCTAGCTTCTCCTTCGCTATGGTCATCCTACAGGCAACTTCCCCCGTTACTGGGGCTCACTGTACTTTCTCCTAAATATTACATATATATTTTTAATCAACGAAATGGACTAATGTGGATATGTACTGGCCTTTTCTGGGTCTCCTGATGGTGTAAATGTACAGAATAGGGACGGCGATGGCTCCAAGTATGTATGTTCTGACTGACTGATACCCTTCGGCTTTGAGATATATGGCTAATCAAACGCCCTTTCCATATAGGCCTCTGATCAGGTTGTCTTGGTATGTTGCTGAATATACCCATGTAATATCCTCATACCCTATATCCAGTATCTACTATGTGTATTAGCAGAGGCTCTCCTATAATGAATATACCAATTAATACCTATGGTTGACACCTGTTACAAGAGTAAACAAGAATATGTTTGGCTACAGCAGGCGTTTTATTTAGCGAAAACTTCCGACCCTTTTTTCGCTCTTCTTCCTTCAGACCATCTTGTTTCCACGATATTTCTTTCATTTGTATTCACTCACAATACGGCGGATACCATTCTACTTCATCAGAATTAAACATAACCCGATCCACGTTCCACATCCACCATTTTAAGATTATCTCTTTAGGCTGGGCATATCGGGTTGTTCGAAGCTTACGTCAGTTTGTACCTCTGCATAAACTGTTGGAATACTCTATTAGCTACGACTTGCACCCATTACCAGGCCTTTTAGTCCTTTGTGGTCCAACATCAATTGCCCTTACTTTGTCTCCAGAATGTGCCTGCCTCCCTCTGTCATCACACACTTGATAGAGGAGAGAGTCTGATGAAGGCTTCTACAGACCCCCCTTTCTTGTTTGTAAACAAGATAGAAAAATTTGTCCTTCTCCCAAATACCCTTCAACTCCCCAACCACCACCCCAAGCGCAGAGCCCATAACTACCCTCTCTCCGGTGCAAAAAATCCTGCTAGAAATCTTATCTAATGCAGTGCCCTACCAGACCATTAAAATGCTATACTTCTATCTCATTCGCGCGATTTTGGTCGCACTGCATATCTATGAGCTATAGCCCTTTTCTCCAAAGTAATATTACCCCCACACTCTCCTATTAATTGGTAGTATACTAATGGCTTACTTTAAACTAGAATATCCTTCTCAAAAGAAAAGGGGCTATCAATCTCTTTCATGAGGAAAGATAAGAAAATGTGAGTATTCAATATACATAAGGGTTGTATAGAAACATATTAATATTTCTATAGTCACAAAGTCACTGAACTGAAGACTTGACAGGAATAAACGGTTGTATCGAAGAAATTAAGAACACCACTACAGAAATGAAGGGCTGCATCGAAGAGCTAAGAAAGACTGCAATAGAGATGAGAGATTGTGCTGCAGAGATGAAGAACTATTATGGGGGCGAAGAAGTCGAAGTCGGTTTACTCAGATACTGTTGGACCACAAGGGACAAAAAAGGCCTAATGCCCTAAGGTATCTATGTATCCTTGGGTAATGAGTGCGAGTCGTGGCTAGAAGTGGAATATTCCAACAGATAACTACCACGGTACAAAAAAATTGTTCAGCGAACCTCAAGCAGTCATGGGTGTGTTGGTTGTCTAGTGTACTATGTTTATAACCTTTGGTTAATATTTTTATCCACTCTTAAGAAACATTGCTTCCACATCTCCATTCTACTTAAGACTTTATTCACAGCATCAACTCCATGATAGTAGCAACAAGAACAGCCCAAACTGATACTCCAGAAAATGGCACCATAGTCAATGCTCCAAGTGATTAACTTATCTTTTACCATGTATTGCAACAGAGCCTAAAGCGGTCACCTTGAGGATTTGGAAGTCCATACTTTTCGGTACTTTTTACACAACTGCAGGAGACTGTCAGGAGTCCCTAAGTGACTTGAAGGGACTGTCAAAGGCCTACTAAATCATTGACCGATGACGCAAGGACGAGCTACGCTTCAATATTCTGTCAGCTATTCACTGCAGGATCTCAGTGAAGTGCAACCTTCAATATGCAGCATTTCTACCTTATTCATGTTGTGGCAACTACTCTCCACATCTACACCCTTCAACCGTATACCCTGGCCTCAAGGAAATGAAACATTTGATCGCAGAGACAAATACTATTATTACCACGGAAATGAGAGACTACACCAAGGAAATGAAGAAGTCGAAGTCATCTTGAGGATTTGGAAGCCCATAGAAGAGCTGATTGGCTTTCCGGTACTACTTACAAAAGCGCAGGCAAAATTTACTGGGATCTCCTACCTAATTATTGACGAGAAATTGACGATTGACGTTCAGCAACTTTTATAGCTCGACCAGGCTTGCTATCTAATATTCCCCAAATAATAATAATAATACTCGTTTTAGCGGGCTTAATATTATTCTTGCAGGAGATTTTTATCAGTTACCCCTAGCTGCACAAAAGACTTTATATTGCAGCAAAAGCAATCTCGATAGACCTGAGCTCATTCAAGGAAAGGAGAACTATGAGGCCTTTAATGAAACTATTGAACTGGACACTATCCAACGTCAGCAGGATACAGACCCGATCAGTATTGGTTTCCGCAGGGCTTTTGACAGCCTACGGGAGGATAAGGTGACGCGAGCTGAAAAAAGTCCCAAGGACAGAAGTCCCCCATAAAGTGGACTACTTCGGGCAGCTGGAGTTTCGGGGGCTCACGGCTCAGAGAGCTGCTGCCCTTTGTCTGCGATCGGGTATTGAAAAATAAGGATAAGGTCACCATATTCACCTTGTTCCCTGGCCAAGCATACAAGAGCGAGACCAGCTGGTTCAAGCTTCACCACGGACCGAGATTCGACGATAGACCTACTGATCCAACATACAACTGCGATGTCCTTTTAACAACGTGGGTCTTAACTTGCACGGCAATTGCAACACCATCATATTGGTGGAGCCAGCACAGAACGTCAATATAACCGTCCAAGCAATTGGCCGGCTCCACCGTCCGGGCCAAAAAAAGGAGCAAGAGGTCTATATCTTGTTTTTAAAACACTCATGGGAGATTTGTCGAGTATAACTCGGCGAAGAAGATGGCCGGACAGATCGTGGCCGACAATTCAGATATGCTCGACAACTTTCTCCGAGAAGGTCTGAGCCTCCAGCATCTATGCCACCACGCAATCCTATTCGATTATCCGCCGAATGAAACTCTCAGGGTACAGGCTATCGGCCGCCTCCAGCGCGTGGACCAGCGGTTTGTTGTCCTGGTAGAAGAGCTAAGGCTGCCTGGGACTTTCAACACCAGACTAGACTGTCGAAAGCCATCCCGTCGATGGTAGCAGAGCTAAACAAACAAATTTTTAGAGCAAAAGAAGAAGGCAATGAGATTGATTTGGGCCAGTGGGCTGTCGGGGCGGACGGGGCGTTAGTGAAGCGGGGGGAAGAAGGGGAGAGAATGGAGGAGGATGCGGAAAGCACTTGGCTTGTGGGGGAGGATGTGGTTCGCCGATTGCCTCAGTTGATGGGCGGAGAGGAGTGTCCCGTGCCTTAAGCGATTCCAAGGGTCCAAGGCTAATATGAATAATAAATACAGGCAAAGTCTTCGTTTCATCATTTGTAGAGCGATCTCTACTCCGTACCTATTCTCCATTTCGCGAATCACAAGACCTCCTTTTCCACCAATTGAGTCTAATCGGCTGCACGAAGTCCATGCTCATTGAAACGCTCTATAGCGGCGCTGCCACCCTCGCCATGCCCATCGCAAAGGCTGACAGTACCCGATCTTCTCGAGGGGCTGCCTTTGGCCAGGTAGCGCTGGGATCTGCCGGAAGGTATAGTTTTATTTATGAGACGCTTGATGTTGCTGTTTTCGGGGATAAGATAGAGAATATGTACTCCGTACGCCGCAATAGTATCACTGGTAGTAAAAGCCACTGTAGGAATGCAAGTGGGCCTGAAGGCTTTTTTGAGACTGGCAAACATGATAGTTGTAGTTTGAGAAAAGGTTGCCCCAACTCGGAAGAAAGACGCCGGATGAACGGGCCGTCTGATAGACCAGATAGTGATACACCGGCATCTCGGTCCGTATGACCGCAGCATGAAAACGGCTTTCCAGCAACTAACCGGCTGTCAAACATTCATGCAGGTGCTACGACATTTGACCAACCAACCGATAGAGAGAAAGCAAAAATAAGATAAAAATAAGAGAGTCCTGAATATCATAAAGCTAGATGTAGTGTTTTTGTTCGAATTACGAGTATTATTCAAGGTAGTAGGAAAGAGAAAGAAGAAAACAGACACCCAGTAACATGTTAGAAGATAGAACATTAGTCTAATACAAGGCCAGAAGCCTACAGTGTATGTTGGTTGATCAATAGGAGGGTGGAAAGGGATAAGGGAAAAGATAGCAAACTGACACAATCCAACTCCGCATCTTGAGGGGGGGAAAGGAGACAAGTAAAAACACACAAGAGCGTTTCATTCCATTATAGAGGTGGTGAGAAATGCAAAATGCGAAAGGCAACAGGAAAGACAACAAGATAAGAGAGGATAGGAAAATACCGTACATAATGGGGTGTTTATTTTCGCCCACAGCCCGGGCAAGCTTTGTTCGTAACATGTTTCTTTCTTCTTTTTTTAGTGTTTTGTATTTTTGCTTTGGTTCAGCACACCCCCACCGGTAGATGGCATGCTGAAGGCTGACCTGGAGAGATGAAATGGCGTGAAAAGGTGAAGATATCGATGGCTGCTTTTTATTCGTTCATTTAGAAGCGGAATAGTTTGGCGCCGTCAGTGCTCTCCGCTGCAGCGCCACCGCTTTGCTTTCCGGTTAGGCTGGAGCTGGTGTCGTTATTGTTGAGTCCGCTGGGCTGCGACAGCTTCAGAGGGATTTCTGGGAGGCTGATCTTGAGAGTCTTCATGATTAGTGGGCCAGCGATAACAATGGCAAAGAGGAAGAACATGGTGAAGTATAGGATCGCAAAGCGGATGACACGACGCTTGCGGAGCTTCGACTGCTTGAGAGAGTAGATTGGAGGGCGGATTTGACGACTACAAACATTGTAAGTATATATATAATCATTAAGAACTGTTGCAGGGATATGCTTACCTTGGTCTGAGCCAGAAGAGAATGACGGAGTGACCCTTGTCAACGTATGGAATACACAGGGCCGGAAGCATGAGAATCAAGATGACATGGCCGAGGATAAAGTCAGCAGCAAACATGCCGAGTTCAGTGATCTTGCAAAGGAATTCACGGCCGGGCTGAGACAGAGAGTGCCAACCCATACCGTACCATTTACCAGTCCACCAGGCAATGTTAGCATCATCTTGTCGGAATTCTCTAGTCAAAGCAAGACCAATGATGAGCTTGAAGACGAATCGCTGGATAGCAGTGACAGCAATCATTCCAGCAAGGGTACGGCTGAATGAGAAGCCCTCAAGGAAGAACATGACTTCGAAGAAGATGAGGAGGCCGACAACAGCGAATCCGTGGGCAATGGCAGCTAGGACAGCACCGAATTTCTTGCAGCACATGCTGAGGACTGGTCCCATACAGCAGGCCATGCCGAACATAGCAATAGCGACACCTGCATTGAGTGCAATGGGGCCCAGAGCGACAAGACCAACTCGGATAAGGGAGTTGGTTGCTTCAATCTTCTTAGCATCAGGGTTGTTCTCCTTTCGAACACCAGTTTGAGCGTTGATAAAGAGGTACGGAATGAGAGTCACGGCAACAAGTACCAATGGACCAACAATTTCACTGAAGAAGATGTTGGAGAACTTGGCTCGTGGGATATCACCAGACAGCTTCTGAGATGGCGAACCAAGGACCTTTCGCTTGTAACCAGTGATTCGGGTACGTGATAGACGGCAATAGGCGATCCAAGACGAGGCATGGGAACGCGAGTTACCACGAGACAGCCATCTCAAGTAGTCACGGTAGTCAATGAAGAAGTCATTCCAGGAGAACTGGTGAGGGTTGAAGAGGAAGGGTGAGATGCAGAGAGCAAGAAGAGATACCCAGAAGTACAACAAGCCAGGCAACCAGACGGTAGCAGTTGCGAACAAAAGCATCATCAGTGATCGTGCACCAAGGTAGATTGACGGACCGGCGAAACGCGAGTAAAGAATACCGAACGGAATACGGGCGGTAGCAAAACCACGACCAGTACCAATATATCGGGCACCACCGAACGACAAGTTGTTGTGAAGAGAGTTGGCATAGATCTGACACACGAACACTTCGAATAGCGGAGAGAAGGATCCGAAATGCTTAGCCAAACGGGTAGCAGCTCTCCAAAAACCACGCTCAGTCAATTCTTGAACAACTAGCGGCAAGAAGGACAGTAGGAAAACGATACAAATAGACAAGATACAACGGTTGACCCAGTCCTTGATAGGGTTGAGATCAGCACATCCAGTTGGCAGCAGTGCGTCGGTAATTGGAACACCCTTCTTAACTTGGCAAAGAATAGTCTCATGCTTCAAGGCTCCGAGGTTGATAAGACAGATCATGAACAGTTGCACAGACAAAATAATGAAGATGTTGTTGATGTGGAAACCAGGATGGGCGTAGAAGAAGGACAAGAATCTGTCGAGCGGCAGTTGAGTTCCAAGGTAGTAGTATTCACGAGAAAGCATCTGCTCACCCATACCAGTTCCGATCTTGGTGGTAAAGTTAAGAATAGAGCCAAATCCAAGATCACGACCCTTACCACACTGGTAGTATTCGCAGTGCTTGATACGACCACCACGAAGCAAAGCATTCATACCGATATAAATATCCTCATTAAGATGTAGACCCTTTTGAGCCTTGGAGACACCGCCACGGGTACACATGAAGATAGCGTTAAGGAAATCAGGATGTCCGTAATGGAGCTTGCCACCAATCTGAGCAAGAGTACGAGCGAAGAGAGTACCGAATGTCTGTTCCTTTCCGGCAGCAACGTCACCGAGGATACCAATGTTCTCAGAGAAAATGTATTCACGAGCTCCAAGAATGGCAACGGGGTCAAAGTTGACTGGTGGAAGTCCGGGGGTGTATGGGGAGATGTTCTCGGTAGTCATTTCCTCGAATTCAGCAAGCACACTTCGAATCTTCAAGCATTCTTCCAAATAGTTGTCCTGGTTGGCGTCGACAAGCTGGATGTATTCACCACGGTGGAAGATGATAGCGTGATTCTGGTTGTCAGACTTTCCGTCACCAAGAATAGGGTTACCAGAGAGCTGAACTCTGAACTTTGGTCGTCGAAGGCCATTCTCCAAGATTTCAGAGTGTCCGTCGATAAGGGCAGAGAACAGACGGGGCTCCTCACCCTCGTTCGCTGGGGGCTCTTCGTCAAGATAAGCGATCTGAAGGTCGGGGTAAGCACGAAGCAAGAATTCAGTGTTTTCACGTTCCTCTTTGTTGAACTTGGCGAATCGCTGCATAGAAACACAAATCTTGAACTTGCGGCGAGCCATGCGTTCCAATTCACGTTCCAATTTGTCAGAGTTACCGCCAAACATTTGGACAACTTCAGGGTTTTCAACACGGTAGAGCAACTTAATGGCACGGCTGTAGTTCATAAACCCAGAAATAGTACGGTACAGAGTCTGAGAGCGGAGCGAAGCCCAGATACGGGTACGAAGGGTATACTCGGGAGCAGCAGACTTGAAACCGATGCAGTAGAATGGAAGGTCATTGATCTTGCTCTTCTGAGCATCCTTTGCATTCTTCTCATCGTCTCCGTTGAACTGGGAGGTCTCATCGGCCAGAATCTTGGTATCCTTGACGAAGCAGTCCCATTCGTGTGGGTGAAGCTGTTTGAGGTATTCCAATAGAGTGACACGGGAGTATGGCTCATCTTCACGAATAATCTCACGCAGGGACAAGAGGATCTTCTCGCTGTAGTGGGGGATCAGGACAGTGAAAGTTGGCATGTTGTCGACAGGTACTGGCTCAGGAATTGGAGTGGACAGAGACTGAGCAAAGAAGGAGATACGACGTTCAGCTTCGCTAAGAGGCGGGAAGAACTCGGTCTTGAAGGAGTGATCTTCCTGGGAGACGAAGAAAGTTGGTGCACGAAGGGTGCGCTTTCCTTCCTGCTCAGATGGAACCTGATGATAGAGGAGCTTTTGAACGTGGTCGATAGCCAGGAGATGCTCACGGTACATAGAGATGACAACTGCGTTCCACACCTGAGAGATCAGAACTTTGGGCTTGTACTTGATTTCCATGTCTGTGGTAGCAAGAACCTTGGAGTAGATACGCTTGGGCAGACGAGAGAAGATATTTCTCCAGGGAGTCCATATGGAAACACCAAGGTAAAAAGATCTGGCAACGGAGAAGATTGCGTTGAGGATAATGTACCACAAGTAAGTATCCAAGAAAAAGAGGACTAGATCAGTGAAGAACATGAGTCCGAGAAGGATCTTTGGCTGCTGCTTGCAAAGAATATCACCCAAGATCGCATCGCCATAACAGATACCAATCTTGGTGTTGGACAGAATTCGAATTGGATCTTTGAGCGAAAGAGTCAGGAAGACATAGGACTCTCCTAGCTTAGC